AACCGTAAGTTTTTTCCAAGTCGGGAATGTCTTTCGACAGAACCGACAAGGCTCGTTAGATGGCTTATCTGACGTGTCAACATGGCACGACTCTACTCTCGACCACGTGCGGTCACCACCACCGGCCTTCTTGATGGCAGCTTTCGTCTTGATTTTTGGCTCTGCGAACTTATGCTCACGAACGAGATGCTGTAAGAAATTGTCACGTCTGTAGCAGATGTGTCGGCAGTCGTCAACGTCGCATGTCCACCACTCGAGATGACGATGACCTTCATTTTCATGACGGACCCAGTCTGCTTTTCTTTTGAACATCTTAGGATTGGGGCATTTCTCCCAGGTGCATGTGAACGGTTGAACATCCTCGTGGACGTGCTTGGTCCAGTCAGAAGGTTTCTGGAACTTTTTACTCGTGAAACACAGTTGGCACTCAAACTCTGCTGGGAGGGACGAAGTCGGAGGCATAGGGATACCTTGCGGGAAACTTTCCGAGCTAATACCGCCTTCGAGTGGCGTGGTGTCGCCGTCGGAAGAATCTGGTCGAGCCGATAGGGGGTCAAGACCTCGCTCGTTGCCTCTGCCATCTAAGGGAACAGCTGACCCACCAAGATCAATGCATTGTGTTCCACTATGACACTTTTGCTGTCGAACCTGATTTAGATGCTTGATTTTAGCGGTCTGAAGTTGCTTATAGCGTATAACCATCTGATGCGCAATACGGTCGGCTAGCCATCCATTCTCCCTCGGAAGACCAGGATTTTGATCAAATACATGTTCTCGGAAACCCGCGAAAGTTGGTTCGATGTGTTTCGATTTGTTCGACTCGGTCTTTATGTCCGCGTCGTCAAACCCTTCATCATCTTCATCTTCATCGTCGTCGTCATCCTGTTCTATTGTCGACCGCGTCCCCGCTAGTGCAGCAACTGGTGGACCACCTTGCTTTTTCAACATCTCCACGAGATTTGGGTGTGAGAAGTATTCCGGGTTAGAACTCTTCGGAAGCTCCGTCTTACTCCTCGGCCTCCTGAGAGTATTTTTGACGGAGGGTATACTGAGAGCTCCAAATGAACTCTTCGGCGAAGTCACCGATGCACTAATTGAACCGCTCCGAACGTGAGCTGTCCCGATTGAAGCGGCTCCTGTAGCCATTCCGAACAATGCGGTATTTAAACTAGGAGGCTGCTTCTTAGTAATCCCCCAACTAGAGGTACGCGGCGGCGGCGCCAACGTATCTTTAGACTCTCGACGTTCACGTTCTCCAACATCCTCTGGTGGCACTTCACTAGCATTGCTTCCTTTACGCTTCAATAACTGGCTGGTGCTAGGTTTCCGTACAAGGCTGGGAATTCTCTTCATGAAACTTGGCCGACGACTGTGTCCACTAATGGACAGTTTCTTGAAGAAATTTCCGCTGAGAATTTCCTCCATGTCCACGATGCTAGGTAGGCTTCGCCGGCGTGTCCCCCAGGTGGCTGCTCTCGAGACAATTGAGTCGGTATCCTGGCATTGCCGGTTAAACCTTTCGATAGCAGCTTGCGATGTTGCAGGCTGATACTGGGTGCCGGATTGAATAGCATGAATTGTCGGCGCATCCCCCCAGGTAGGGAACTGTCGCATCATATCAATATCAGTGTGCGTAATAGGCCCACCAGGTCCGTCGACATTAAAATACGTCTGATTATGAATGTACTTGTTCTCAGTTGTATCTCCTAGAGGAATTTCGGTGGAAGGTATATTATCATCTCCCGAACCCCGTCCGCCAGCAAGCCTTTCCAGACTATCCGGGACGTCGCTCGGGTTACCAGCCGATCGGGAGACCCATTCGAAAACCTCTTTATTCTTCTCTGCGCGTTCCCTTTGGGTGGCTTGCTGATTAGGACTTGGGGTCTCCTCGGAAGGACGGTTTCCTGGAGCAAGGCCTCGATATCCTCCGGCAGACTGTGGTAACCAGTTACCCTGTGCATCTCGTGACACTGTGGTCTCCTGGGTATTTTCGCCAGCCAAATCTCCGGCCAAGTTTTGTGAAACGTGCACAGTCTGAGGGCTTTCGGCGCCCGCGATAAAGGACCTCTCTACACCTTGTATTGGAGTTTCTGCATCCCGATTCCACATGGAAACGGTAACGCGGGGACTTTGGGTAGCCATAGCAAGCGTAGTTAGCGCAAGGCTATCATCACTCGAGAAACTACCGTCGTTGGTATCAGGTGTTAGCTGAGGCGCGGATTGATTCGAATCGATGGAGCTGGTAAAGGGCTGAACTTGATTTGCGAAATGCTGAGATTCAGTGGAATTCGCCAAGCCAGCACTGGCGTCTATACTACCACCGAAAGTTGCTGTCGATGGTACGGCAGGCGTCTGATGAGGACTCAGAGGATATATAGCATCTCTAGTGACACAGTTTTGGATGGGTATATGGGCTATGGGTTCCTGAATACCGTCGAACCCTTCGAGGAATTGAGGCAATGTATCCTGGGTGTCGTTGAAGTCAACCCCAAGAAATGGGTCATCAAATTCGCTACTAAACTCGCTCGGCTGGTAGAAGTCGGTAGAGACGGTGTCCGCGGGGGTGTTGAGATTAGCTATAGGGGAGGCGGAGTTACTATGAACGTGGGAGGAATACGGCGACAATAGATGAGACTCAACAGGCGTGACGGGGCACTTCTGGTTATGATTGTATTTGTAGTTGTAGCTATGGTGAGCGTCGCGGCGGGGTTGCTGTGTGCGATCATTGAGGTGATCGCGAAGGTCGAGCGACGCAGGCGAAACTGTGTATCCCGCACTCATGGTCATAGCTGGGATTAGGATATGTGGGCGATCCAAGGTTAGTATATATTAGGATAACGTATAATACTGGAACCGCGCAGCTCTTGATAGACGTCGTCAAGGGGAAACCATGTTCCTCCTATACTATAAGCAGCGGGCGCGACAATTGTGAAGATGGCTGAGCCAGAGCCTTGCGATCTCAATGCGACGAATGTCTTCAGGATCAACTATCTTTAGCTATTTCACGGGATAATTGACGATATACGGAAAAGAAAAGGTATGATATCTAGGATGACGGATCTAGTTCTCGATTGAATATCAAAAGACTTGATTTAGAAATTAGAAGAGGATCTAGTAGAGTCGTTGGTTACAATGCTGGGAGGGATGTTAAGTCGGCAAGCCGATACTGCGGCGGCGGCGCTTAAGGTGAGTGGAGTTGAACGGAAATCGGCGCCAAAATGGAAATACCCCCAGCTTAGCGCGACCTCTTTTCTCCGCCCAAGACAATCTGATCGAAACCTGTGCCGACGGATTTGCAAGGGGGCCGTGCAAAGTACAAGGGGAGCCAGGGGGGAGAGGGGGAGATGACAGAAACTGGTGATCGATGGCTTAAGAGTTTAGTATTTCAGTGGACGAGGGGAACTGTAGACTGGAGACTAGAGACAGAATACGGATAAAGGGGCAGAGAAGTTGAAAGATGGAGGATGAGGTGACCTGAGATGGGCAGTACACTTGTCTATGTCGATGGGCAAAGAGGTAGACAAGGCAATTTTCTCGCGAATCGATACATTGATGATAGGGCTCGCGCACTACTGCGGCTCCCCTTCGAAAGTATCTTGCGCCATTTGATTGGGTCCCTGTCCGTCACTTTGTCATCGCCAGCCCGTCGAGGCGTTCTGCCTATTGAGTGAGCAGGGGTTGTAAGGCACTCTTCGCTTCCTTCTCAGCCCCGAATAAGTCCAGGGCACCCCACTTGTGAGCCCACCATGTTGCATAGATGGCATATAGATGGCATAGATGTGTGTACACTCGACCAAACGAGATCGCAAGGCACTTCAGATGACAGGCGGGTACTATGCAGGTGAGGCTTGTTGTAAGTCAAACTGCAAAATGATGACATTTGCTGACCCGTACTGCCGTGACCAATTCATACATATGGCGGTGCTCTGAGGAGTTTGTGGCAGTAACTAAAACATACCAACTAAACCATACCGAGATCTAAGACGGGCCATTTCCCTCGAGATTCTAGGTTGGTAGACATGATGATAAACGTATACAGGTGCTACACGTCTAGAATGCGGGAGCCGAATCAAGATGCTATCCCCTGTTGCTCTAGCCGTATCGTGGATTCTGATTGGGGGGGAAAATCGGATATTCTCTAACTGCTGTCTCGATCCTCTCATTAGGAGAGACAGTGGTTAGTGAATGCTACTGTAGCACGAGCCGATATAAATATGGTCCGCTAGCTAAAACGCGAACTTCCACGGTTGGTGGTATAGCAGACATGTTCTTATCGCAATTATACCGTCTTAGTGGGCTTGGAGGAAATGGAAGAACTTCTTCGGGTTCCTTCAGCGTATATGGTCAATTGAATATGATTAATTGATGTCCCTGCCTCGATAGCCTGCAGTAGCGTGAAATCCATGGCGGTCTATTGAGTGTAGAATGCAGAGGGTATAGCACAGCCACGACTGCGCTGGCATATCTACCTAGAGGTAGAAAAGTGTGTAACAGGGTCAGGCAGAAGTGACCACAAAAATCATTGCCAGGGAGCCGTCTTCGACGTGTATGTAGAAGCGAGCATCACGGACGTGGGGACTGAGTTCATCAAGATTCCAAAGTCTTCGAAGTATAGTACTAGGTATGTACGGGATCTGGGACGTGGTTTGTGTCAAACGATAGAGATGTAACGATGCAAGCGCGTAAGTGTATAAGGAAACCAAGGAAACGGAATAAGCTGCCATGCTGGTATTAAGTCGGTGTTAAGTTACCTAAGTTAGTAATAAGCAAGTCTGCTCCCCAACAGTTAATGTTGAAGAACGGCACAGCGCCGGATCTGATGTTTTTAACCGCGCAACCGCGATGCAACACGGCCGTTTATAGAGAACTAATCTCTGCATCTTTAACTTGCGTGCTAAGTTTGCGGGTATCGCTGTGCCGCAAAGGTTGCATCATTTGCGTATCAAACCCGTTAGGATTTTGGTTTAAAATCCAACAAGTTCCAAATTCGAAAAGCAGCAAGCAAATAACCGGAAAGAGTCACGTGCTCGTTCTATGGCTTCCCGTAGTTCCCGTCCCAATCCGTACCTCTTGTGGAAATATGTATGGAGGTGGGGGGCTTACATAGGTACACTAGTACCCTCCCCCCTTCCCCCCGCAACAACACCATTCGCCATCCTTAGGCAAGTCTCAACCGCCTAACCTTTTTACGTGCCCTTCTCATGTACCATCGACGTCACATAACCACCATATCATAATGCGCGTTTATTAAGATAAAAATAAAGATAAATCCAAGTTATACTAGGAAATATGTTTCAGGTAAGTTGGCTCATTCCTCTTGCTACCTTAAGAGAGATGCATGCCTGTCTCCCAATATGCAGGAAGATATTCTTACTAGCATCGCCCTAAAATAACAATGTAATCCCACGCGACGCTTCCCCTAATATATCATTACCCTGATATATCATATCATTGCATGTACGTAACCAGTTAGGTATTGACTTGCCATGTTCTAGCCAAATCCAGAAGATCGTCTTCATCTTCGAATGCACCGCGCCCGTTCGGTCATTCTCACAACCCAAGAGTACGTCAAACACTCCTAAATCCCTTGAGTTGGGGCTCAACTCTACCCGCATAGATACCTTATACGGCAGGTCTCAGTATTATGTAGCTACTCACATTAGAAAACCCGACTGCGGGTATGAGCCTCACGTGTACTTTGTAGACGCCGGAAACTCATAACTAACTCGCAATTCTTCGCTCCGCACAGGCTGGTAGAGATCCGAGCTGCTCAGAGGACCTTTGAAGGGGCTTATATGCGGACCGCTCTCTCGCAGTTCAGCTTTGCTCTAATCATACTCAAGATCTTCACCTCGGAATTTTACGCCATAGGCGCTCTCTTCGCCGTTTATGGTGCGGCAGTCTTACTATGCTCCGTATATCGTCGGTACCAGGGTAACACGCAGTTTTTTACCTTGACCGCTAACGATGGCGAGGTGAAAAACAAGTTCCGCACCAGCGGTAATAGCGTCCTGCTCCTTACCTTTCTAAGTATCGGGGCTTATGTTGGTCTAATGGTTCTAACTTGGCAACTGGAAGGGTGAAGAATGATGACTAGAAACCTACAAAGTCTCAAAGCTCGAAACGGAACCCTGCATCATCTGCTGGCTATCATTTCCAATACGTTTCCAGGATTAGTAACGCCTCTTAAAGTAGATAGTCGCCGGTCTTTGGTCTTTTCGGTGGGAGTATGCTAGACCGAGGTGTTGTACAATGGTGTAGGTAACGTCAGCTTACGCAACTATTATGGTAGAGCACACGGCATATAAAATAATGGAGCATCCAGACGGGATATTTATTGTGCATCTAAGACATCATAGGCACGATGACGCCGAAGAGAGCTCGCGCTGTATTGCTGTGTAACGAGTAACGAGTAATCTCGCCAAACTCCCAGACATATCCAGGTTGTGTTACTGGTTATGGCCTTTACATCCCGGGCCAATGCCAGTTGTGTGGTAATAAATGTATATACAGTCGGATAATAATCTTTTGCGATGTTTGTAGGCGAAGTATGCTCTATTAATGTTCCATTTGGTATGTTTTGACATGACGATCCGTCTAATTGACATATTCACATTCAAGGCAAAATCCCGGCGAATGTTTCAAGCAGTTATCTAGGTACTGAGAGTTTTGATACTCCCAATTGAGTACATATATATATAGTAGGTAAGGGTCCAGGAAGCCAAATAACACACTCGCACTTTTATCACCAAGAGCCCAAAGAAAACAAAACGCTCCAGCCTCAGAAATACCCATCTCCCCCCATCCGAAAGCCGTTTTTGCGAGATCCGCCCTTCGCGAATTTTTCCAGTTGCCTAGGCCATACTATATATACCTAGGTAGGTAGGTAGCTAACGAAGAGGGGAGCAATCGACAAATAACAACAACGTTAGATATTAGAGCGAGACATGCTCTTTGGCATTCCGTAAAAAGGTAAAGCCTTCGCCCAGCCCTAGGCGCCTCCTCCGACCCTAGGATCCGTAACAAGCAGCTTACGAGTCACGCCAGTGAACTGAGTACATGCTCCGAGCCGGAAGTTATCAAAGGACAACCGGACGGGAAGCCGCATCGGTTACCGAGTACCCATTACCGGCAGCGCAAGGGTTGGCTGAGGCCTTATTGTGATGGCCTACCCTCCGTGTCCTGCTCAAACGCGAAAAGCCAATCGCTTCCCTCTGGTTCTTCCAGCTTCCCATATAAAAGATTCCTTTACCCATAACAGAAGATATGTTCTTCTTGTATCATATCCCTACATCAATTGGCATGTCCCAGCAAATTCCGTGGGTTAGCGAGAGAACGATATGCTTGCCCGGTAGTCCAATATGTCCTTCGAAAACAGCTGCGCTTCACCCGTGCGGAAAGTCGACAACGAAACATTAGTAGGTAATTTCTTTTCTATCGGCCAATTAATGCTTTAAACCGCCGTTTACGTATATCCAAGGATGGTGTGTATATTGCTTGGTTAGTTGAGGCCGATATGACAGTAGAATGAATTCTTCGATGAGTCCCCGTCAAAGGGTTAATTACCGTTGACTCGGTCACACATGGTGTATATCTGTCGATCCCACCGTGCTATGAATATGCCACATAGGTATCCTTGCACCGGAGCGAGACCCGTTGCTCAGCCCCTTTCCGATTCGCATATTTTCCTTTATATTCCCGTCCCTTTCCTCTTTTATCCAGGCATTCTTCACATTTCAAAATAGGAACTGTCGATTTCGTCCACCAACACACAAAAGGGAATTTTAAATGGTTTAGGTTATATGAGAAACTCAATTCCAGACGACGGCAGAATGCAATGCTGCGGTGGGAAATACGCGGCCAAAAGATTGCGAGTGGTCTGACACTCCGCACCATGCCCCGATCGAGTTCTAGTCATCGTTGGCTGTAGTAGACGCCTCCGATTTGAGAGGGGTCTTCGCTAGACGAGACATGTGCCCCGGCGGGATGGTCACGGTTCTCATACCATCCATCATAGTCTTCGTTGGGTCTAGAGTATTCGTATTGCTGCTGCCATACATCGTATGCTAGATGCGGCGTGGCACCAGCTGAAAGAGACCCCTGAGCGGCTAAGCTCGCTTCTGGCATGATGTTGGTCGCGATCGGTGATTGCACCCGATCGTATGGTCTTGTCGACGAAGAATCAAATTGTTCGGATTGGTGGCTGTTGAATGACATCGATCTCGCGCCCGATGGATACGGATGCCATGTGTCATCGGTATTCATTCTATTTATCCCGAGTGAATTGGCCGGCCATGTCGATAGTGATGGAGTCGTTGCGTGGGAGGTATATTGGGAGAATCCCGTAGTCTCGGGCACACCGTGGGGAAAACTCGTCCAAGGGGTGTTCGTGGCCCCCGACGTCGTCTCGGCGCCGGCATCCGCATCAGTCGACATCCAACCACTTGCCACTTGCCCATAGCTAAAGGACCGACTGCTAGGTGTAGTCGATGGAACTTCTCTACTTGTTAGCAAACGGCTTATAGCCGTAGGGCCTCAAAGAAAGATTCATATTACACATACTCCCAACAGAATAAGTCTCATCTTCACCAGTTTCTACTGGGTGTTGTCCTATATTTGGCACCGATGGTATTGCTGTAAGCTGGTGGTAGGCCGGATTCGATTGCCCTTCCACGATATGACCTATTGCCGTTGCGGGAGATGTGGTGGGTGACGCAGGGTTAGATCCAATTGAAACTCTTCTTGGCCGATGTGTCATCGTATGTGGTTGTGGTTGTGGATTTACTGCAGTATATACGCAGTCCTTTTTGAGATTGATGCAACTCTCACATCGGTTTAGGAGATCTTTTACCTCAGGCTTTTTACACCTGATCTTCCTTTTCCGGCAATGTCCTATACCGAATTGCACTTTAACACTCATACGAACCTTCCCTTGAGCTGGCCACTACTTGGCGCGATACCACTTACCACATGCGACCGTTGATCGATGGTAGCCGAGCCTATTCCTCCTTCTCTCGTTGGGATGATCAAGTAGGCCATGATCGGCTTCGTTTGCTCCCTGCGGTCTCAAGTTAGGAGTCGAGACGGGTCTTTTCAGCTTATATTTTTCAGATGGGGTTCTCTGTTGTATGGCAGGGAGGGGGGGAGGAGGATCTAGTTGCTCTGGGCTAATTGTAGAGAAGGTAGGGGAGGGGGTGAAAGCGGAGGTGTGGGCTAGGTTGGATGCTGATAAGTCTTACCTCTTGGGCGGAACTTGTCCGTGTTAGATGTCTACCCATGTAGGTAGCTTGTGGCGCATCCATCTCAGAGTCCTCGTGTGAGGACGCGGAATGACAAGACATAATACTTATCGTGAATCTGGACGGGCCGAGGATATGTTATATGCTTAAGTAGCTACGAACCCTTCAGATATATCTGTGCTGAAGAGATTATCGGCGGATACTTACCTTCAACGGGACTCTCCAACATGAGAAGCTAACGAGTAAGCCGCTTTGAGCAACCCTTCTCTTTGGATTGGGGGCGGCCGGCTTCTGCACTGTGGCTTTCCACCCGCCAAGTATATTAACGGTGGATGGTAGATGGCAGCCTTCGACAGGTTTCGATTCGAGCTTCTTAATCACTCTTCGGGACCGCCATAAACCGAAATATGGTAACAATGGCTAACAGAATACGGTGGAGAGGAAATAAGGGACGGGCCAATCGAGTTCGTAAAATTTCTTGTGGTCTTGGAGCCAGATAGGCAATCCGACCATAAAAGCAACCTAGACCTCATCCAAGAACCGCCGCGTCAGTGTTGCTTAATAGAGCATGTAAAGTGCGTGGTAGGACAACGCATATAGACGTCCACACCTTGTCACCTGCCTATGCCTAGAGGGAACCCCTTAGGTTGGGAACAAGGGTCCAACAGATATCTAGATCGGGAAGCTTGGTCCTCACGGGTCCGATTCTGGCACCTGAGACTCCTGTACATATAGACCAAATGGGTATCCTCGGCAGTGCCTAGACTCTAGAGTATCAGTTGCAACACACAACCTAACGTCCTATCTCCAGGATAGAAAGGGAGCAGTCGGTTGAGCTGTAGCCAAGGATTGTGATTCTCTTGCAGCATTTGCGTTTAGCCTTATGGTAAGCCTAGGAGATTCTGAGGATCTCACCGGGTCGATAGGGATTAACGAAGATGTGACTGGGAGGACGGATATAGCTGAACGCCACGCCACCCTTTTGAAGCTAGAGCTATGACCGGACGTACGTGAGCACGGCCCACGGCTTCTAGAAATTTCACCACAAGGGACGGCCTAGGTTTCCCAGGCTAGGAAAGTTAGCAAAATTTTCGTTGTTTTTACGCTAGAAGGGGTGTGATAGTCTGAGTCCGGCACCGGCAACAACCATGAAAGAAGATCTGTCTGGGGCAGATGCTGAGCATATATCAGAAACTATGAGCTGCCGGTGAGTGGCTGGAGGATCAGGACGATCTGCGTGCAGGAGAGGGACAGGATCTAAGCTATAAGATATGCAGGCGAGCTCGCTACCTGTTTTTCCTGTAACGAAAGAATGGCATGAAGAGATGCTGGGGCTAAAATTGATGACGAGAGCAGGAAAAGAAAAGAGATAATTTAATACGCCTATATCGACCCACGCATGATCAAAAAAAAGAATATCAAATTCTAACTGAGATACTGGCAAAAAGCGGCGCTATCTGGAACTTGGAGTTGTCAATCCCTATTATCCTTTCGCTTCGATGTCAAATATGAGGCAGATACCATCTCATAATCCACTAGTTAGCTTTCTCTACTTCAACCTTCGACATTGGATCAGACAACCCTGTATCCAAGGGGATTAACCGACTCGCTATGCGTCAGAAGTGCCTCCGACGAGCATAGATTGCTATTCGTATGATGTAAGACTATTTGAATTATACGAATATTCCCATAATAGCCAATAAGTACTTTCCATAGGCTGTAGCTCTAAAGTTAAGGGGGGAGTGCAATGCACGTGTAAAAATGCACTAGGGCGTTAAGGAACGGATACGCAGTGCGCCGAGAGAGCTATGCCACAGTTGACCCGAAGAGTAGATATCTTATACGCTAGATCTCTTAACAAGTATGTAGGTATATGGATTGAGCGAAGCGCAGATCTGCAATAAGAGAAGCAACATGCTATTCAAGCCGTAACATCACGACGGAGCGGTTGAACCAGTTTTCTGGGACCATGCAAACGGCATTCTAGGATTAGGAGGGGGATAACAGGGATTACCGGGAGTAGCCAGTTCTCTCCGAACCCGTAATCGTTCTTGGTTGTAATTTTTTTTCTTATTTTTCTTCTTTTCTTCCCCTTTCCATATAGCAACCATCTACAGCATCCTCGTCTAGATCTAGCGAGCTAGGTATGTGGTTGCTTTAGGTTGCTGCCCTGTGCTTTTCTGCATGTAATCCTTGTCCCCGGCACTAGAAAGGCAGCAAACCACGAATGGAACGATGGCCTGAAAGTAGTGACACCCTCTTGTTACATAAGAGCCAATGCCATCACTCTAAACTGACTTGCACTACGATACAGTTACCAACTCTGCTTTAGTCGCTAATGTGAAATAGAGGCCAATAGCCTTAAGGGAGTGCAGGGAGACAGTTAGTAGGACGGATCTTAGGTCAAAATCAGGGGAAACCCCCAAACCGTTAGGGCTGACTCGGACGTGCAAAATGCATTTTCGCAACGGCGGCTATAGTTACAGCCATGCCGTTGTGACTCTGGTACGTTCCTAATATTCTTCACTAGTAACTTCAACCGTCTGGTTTTTGAGTCTCAAGTTTGTTTTTTTTTTACGCCGAATCTTTTTATGTCACATTAAATGCTGCTACGAATTAACCTCACGATGACGTTACCCCTGAAAACCATGGGGGGGTACTTTAGCTATGCTGGGATGACATCGCACGTTCGATCATCCAACTTAAGATGATCACGACGATACTAATACATAGATATGTCTCATTACTAAAATTCCTTATCTCTATAAGAGACATCCAAAAGACATTTTTAAGCCATCTAATCTATACTGACGCACGATCGTAGACGTAAAAAAATATTGCTTTTATGTTAAGTCAGGTTAATACTAGCTCCTATCAATTCCAGCAGCCCGGTAAAATAGCTGGTGAAGATTTGGGGAAGCAAGGGGAGATCAGGATCTTAGTCTTTCGGATAATGTAACGCTATAAAATACAACAGCACGAGTTAATATTGCAGCAGTCCGGATGCACATAGGTCCAATCTATTTACATCACTCCCTCATTGTTAACCTCCTTTTGATACGCTGCAGAAATAGCCTCTCAGGTTTTCTTATTCACTTGAACTAAAGTGCGGCTTAAATTGTAGAGAGCCTCTTTCCCCTTTGCCCAGGTTCATAATAACCCGTTTGCCGAAGCTAACAATATTTCCAGAGAACCTGTAGGCATAAGCCTTTCAGCCGAACAAGATAGGATGAATCTGCTTCCTTCGCGGAAGATCTGTTTTATTCATGCTTTAGACTAGCATTACACCTTCGCAGTAGCTGTCGATCAAAAATGATGTGCGACTGGGATCGGGAGACTTACATCGTTAGACCTATGACTAGGTGATAGCCTTCATATTCCTGCGGTAAAATGAACCAAGACACACTATTGACTGGCGCTTATTTATCAAGCTGTTTACAAGTCTGTGGCTTTGAGTAAATCAAACTTAACCTGGAGTTGAACAAGCCCATAGGTACACTAGAAAATTATTTTATCTTTACCATTTACCATGGTCTCGGGAACTTTTTGGAATATCGACAGGGGTTTCACTTAGGGCGAGGTAAAGATACAATAGAAACTGCTTTCCATCATGTACATTAGGTACACCACCTAAGTACGTTTCCCTTACAACGCCTTCACTTTCTTCTCTTAGGTGGCTTAAATGGCCGTTATAACGTCTTAGACTTAGGCCGAAATAGCCAATAAGATGAATTGTAATTCTCAAATGGGGTGACATTACATATGCAACGTCAGAACAGAGAAGGATCTAGTCTAGGAGCGGGCCGAAATCTGAGCCTGGAGTTTACCTTTATCGGTTTCGCTGTCGACTTGATAGGCTGACGCAGCTGACCTCGGACTACATATGATATGCATCTTATGAGGTGCATAGAGCCACGTTAGGAAATCAGAATTCATGCTTGAAAGCCGAAGACCAATCCCCGACTCATTCCCTAATGCAATGTACCAGGTTGACCGTCCACTCATCGCGAGTTGCAGGGATTGTTCTTACGCCATCCGCACAAGCCCAGAGGGTTTTTATTTTATTTTATTTTTTTCCATCTATACGATCGTTGTGATTCCTCATGTTTCATCACCAGGCACGCCAACCACAACCCCAGTACTCTTTTCTTATCATGCTCTAGTAGCGCCCGGAGACGCAATGCATTGTTTAGCCTTAAGCCATCGCCTTCTCCATTTACACAGTAGCTCTCTCTCAGTGGCCGAAGGTACCCAGCAGGACAAACTTGACTGATCACATGTCCACCGGCTCGGGTCCGTACCCCACCACATGCATTGTGAAGTTGTAAATCTTGATACATGAGAAGGGCGTCTGGAGGTTCTTGACTCAACTTTCCCGGGGCCGACGGGAGTTTCGAGAGACTTTTCATGTCAGCAATAACCATCACTCGGTCTATGAGTCCAACTAACCGCATATTCGATTACTGTTCTTTTGTTTGATCTCCTTTTAGCCAGAATACCACAAAAGCTCAATTCCTCTTGGACTCATATATCTGCTACCCCTAACGTTCGGGAAATCGGTGAGCGGCCCGGCGTTGGCTTTTCTTATGCGCTCATTATACAGGAAGAATGCCTCTTCAATATCGTCGTCTCGCTTCTTTGGCCAGTTGCCATTGGCGGATTAGACAAGAGACATAATATAGTGTTGCTCTTAGTAGACTATAGATTATGCATAATCTTAGCGCCTAAGATCTTTACTAGGATTAAGGGAGAATGTTCCCATGTCAAAACTCTTCAGTAAAAAAAAAATTAAGGCTGATTAGACCAATAGAGATCAGTATATCGCTGATCTCGGTGTTATTTACAAGTAGCGTTAACAAGGACATATTAACTATTTCGCCGCCTCGCTTTACACGTCGACATCTCCCAAAGTAACTCCGCTCTTCTCGATATGGTCGTATCATAGCAGCAATCCCATTAGTACGGGTAACCGGCTTGTAAATCGGGGTGAATTGACAAACCTAATATTCCGTGTCACATAAGGCGCCGGAGTGGTCAGGGTTTTCCTCTGAAAGAAAACATGCCGAGCAGAAAATGGTACATTTTACTTCCTTGTCCACAGTAAGCTTTAGAAGCCTTCTGTCTCGCTACCTCGGTGTTCTTCAACTAGACAGACGAGGTGACAAAGTCTCTCTCTGAAACTTGCGTATAGAACGCTATCGAACGAATCGCAGGTTACGATCAGGGTTACTGAACGGGGTGGAGCGCATCCTGAACATACAGTACGAATTCATCGAATCGCTTCTGGTAACATCTACACCTATCGGTGAAAATCCTAAGTTGTGAAATCCCCCTTATGCCTAGATCGAAGTCGATTCAGCTTGGATTTACAAGCCAATGTCTTGGGTTTGTTGGAGATGTACCATGAGCCTCTTGCTCTGGACTTACGCGGCTCCGATGGCCACGTGTAAAGCGGCAATATCTTACATGCACGGCGTGGCTTTCGTCCATACCAAGCGCTTAAGATTGATATGTTATGATAAATCCACACTTGGTATCTAGGTAGGTAGGTAGCCATGTGAAGCCCACCTCCTTCTACTCACTATGTCTTCTATAAGCATTCTCTAACATCAGAAAGCTCTGGGCGATCTCTAGGATTCCCAATTGGTAGCGAAAGGTGAGATCTCGTTGCACCCCCACCATTCTGCATGGTGGAGAATAGGTGCCGGTGGCTTTCTCCAGTCAGTGCGAAAAAAGCACTGATGTATCCCACGGGTCTGAACCTGGTATGACTAGAGAGACATGGCGCTTAAAGTCTTATTTTTCATCACTTTCCAAGATTTGGTCAATATAACTCTACGATCCATGGCCCCCTTGCAATAACTAGCAGGAGCACGAGCATGAGCTTACCGTAGTTATGGCTAGAAAGAGAAAGAATACGAAACCGTGGCCGAAGACATGAGTATTAGGGGTTCTAGGCTACATGGTTAGACCATTAGTCTCATCAATTAGAACGCTCGCTGGTTGACTCAAAAAGCAGTCTCCATCACGTTCCATAAGCTATTTATATTAGTACGATGTGAAAATTGAAGGAACATTTAGGTAACTTCAGTACCTAAGGTAATGCAATTGGAAAGATGAATGGTTTGAACTCTTACCAAGTAACGTAAGGAAAGTTTATATTCCAGTTCCAAAATATGTTTAGTGGGTGGTTGCCGCTCGGCCTCTCTCTTTAAGCACGCTCCTAAATTCCAGCCCCTGATATGGCTACACCCCCTAGCAAAAGCTAGACTTAATCCTACTAGACCATGTACCCGACCCGAATAAGCCCGATCTTGTATACGATGAGATCTTATTACATATCGAGTGCAGGTAAGATCCACTCCGAATCGCTATTTGAAAACGACACGTCAAGTATTATAAACTCATCTGAGATTGAACTACCTACTAATATGGTCATAGACTCTTTACTCTAACTGTCTAGGTAATATTAGGGTAAAACTTATAGTAGCATAGCTACCTAGTAGGTACCTACCTAGTTATTCCCTAAAATGAGACAATATAGGTACTTAGGTACCTAGTTACCAATAGAGAAGCTGTATATGTTAGAATACGAGTGATTTATAACGATGTAATACAGCATAAACCATAAACCAACGACGATATTAATCTATCTAATTATCTAATACTATAACGAGCGTAGGGGAGTTTAAGAAGTAAGTAGATGTGATAGATGGTAGTACCAGACATTGTCTCAACTACGAGTGAGTGGTTGGTATAAATTTATGAGATAATGTTGCGATGAGAATCTTATATATAAGATGCTTTAAAGTTTATTTGGCTTAAGTTAACTTCTTTTATAACTTTCACACTTACCTAAGGTATCTATATGAGGTAGTTAGAAGTTTGATGGAAATTAATTCTCTATTGCGTCTTCTATGTTAGGTAAGGGGCCTGCCTATTGTATATGAGTGCGCACAGTAAGAGGACAAGACAGCCTCGAGCAAGGTAGGAATAATGGTTACTTTCTTAACCCATATCCCTTCTAAAGGTAGAGGAGAGGGGAATGCGCCTTATAAAAGCCTGCTACTTAGCAGTTAACCCCTTTTAGTACCCCTATCTCTCAGCAGTTTACGCCGAGCAACACAGGCCCGCTGGTCTTTACCCACCCCATACATTTCATTCAAACTCTACGCATTACCTCAATAAAATAACATAACTAGTACTCATCATAGAATGCGCAAGGATTTCGAGAAGTTGAGCGTTATTAAAATAACCTTAAATACCTTAGGTGGTAGGTAGGTAGGTTATGTCCCGGTGTTAGAAAGGTGTTGAAGAAGAACTCCTATTCTTACGTTATGAAACCTGCGAAAATAAACGGGCTCCGTTAGAAGCGCAGATATAATATACAATATTAAAAGTTAATATCTTTAATATGGCATAAGGGATATATTTAAATAATACTGAACTACTACCAGTACTGGCACATATTCCCCAGAGGCTTCAAAGAGCTCCTACCTCGGCATGAATGGAACTCCCCTATATATATCACGCTAAACAACCTTAGAACTCATACCTATAGTCACTAAATGGGTAAATGCTATCCAGTTTCTATGCCGCCTCCCCTAATCATAAATCCCAATCTACATCCGCTTTTGAGTAGCGAAAAGGCCAGGCCCATCGGAAATGTCACTTGATAGATGATTATTCTTGGCTTGTTTTTTGATATTTTGACCAAGAAGAAATGTCTTTCAAGTTCGCGGTCTATCTACCCGTCGTGAACTATTGATAGCTCCAGTTTTAGCATGGCGTGTGACCTTCTGGTAGGTTTTGAATAGGCCGTCTTAGGTTCTTCAAGCTCGGCTCCTTTCATCCGTGCTACGCGGCTGTAACATCACGCGAGACGATCGAGGTCCTAGGTAATATATTCTTAGAGGCAGCTATAAACTCATTGAAAGTACCTAGTTCAACCGCTAAAGAAACATAGCCGCATCGTGAACCACTATTAATAAGGCTTCCCTTCCAACCAGAGATATGAAACCCTTAAATAGGAAAGAGTAGCCGCGATTTGCAAGATGAAAATGGTCATGAAAGACTAAAGGGGTATAGCATCGTGTTCTTAGACCTATGAAAGGAATATTGTGTATCCAAATTACCTTAAACGGATACTTGAAAACAGGGCAACTACCGTGTTTACCGGGTCTGTCGTCAATATGGTCCGACCACAACTTAGTACTATACGGTTACTCCCAATATTGCGACATGTCCTGCATTCTGCGTCCAGTCTTATTTGAACTAAAAAGAGGGGCATCGTCATCTGATTACTGTACTTTCGAACATTGTGGCATCTCATACGAAGGGATCACCTCCGGTGCCCCGGCTCCGGCTCCGGCTCCGGCTACACAAAGTAGGATTGCCAGACTAGCGCTCTATAGATGCGTCATCGTACTACGGAAATATAAGCAATCTGCCGTATCTAAATTTGTCGGCTCAAGGTAATGCCAATCGTGAATTTTGCCGTCGCGGATGTCGTTGGGGTAAGGTAAAATAATAATAATAAAAATCACTGCGGCGCAGCTTATCAACCATAGAGAATAGAGTATAAAGCGAGATATCGGGGAATACAGCGGAAGGATTTGAGATAGTTCAACGTTTGGCAAATCAAACGCTCGAAAGGAGCGTGCATGAAAACTGCGTAACTCTGTTTACCTTGCGCCTCATCCTTGTATTGCTACCCGCCGCATCTAGCGATCTAATACTTCGATGCTACGTTATCTTCCGCACGTATTGCCTAGCTACCTCCTATGTAGGTAGCTTCTGAGCCATCATCTAATATAGATAGATAGATCAGGTACCGTCTCGAGTCTGACAAATGGGGCGAAGAGTTCAACTATCCTCCAGGAACGTGTCACGGCGAAGTCTCTATGCCTCTGCTATCTTCAACTTTCTATTCGGGGCTACACCGAGGGCGTCATATATGCAATAGCATCCTTCCCGGGCGGAAAAGGATGCATTACTTGCGCGGGTGGACCCCCGTAGATATTGGTTACCTTAGGTACCTCCTATATATAATAAGGTCTTTTTCGCGGGGTGCGCATATTGATTGCATGCCTACACAGCACCGCCAGGGCGGAAACGAGATGTAATCCTGCAAATCTATTGGGCTTCGGAATAGATGGCTTGGGATCTGACATAATATGCGCCACTGTGCAATAAACACCACCGATTGCCGATATTTTAAGCATTGCATACCTCACGGCTAGATGGAAAACTATTGAAAGCAACAGCAAGTAGCGGGATACTGAATATAACCGTAGTTACTAGGGGTAAAGGAGTTAAAATTGCTGTGGCTTTTATTGACACTCGGTATGACGAGCAAGAGCTCGTAGTCGCTGTCCGGATATGTAGGCCCTTGATATGGGGTTGGTGTGTTAAGAGCAAAAGACTCAGTCAGACCAGTTAAAATCAAAGGCAACATTACGATATCTATTAATAATGCGTGTGATACTAGTAATGTTCCTAGCTAAGGTCCTCCCTCCTTTTTTAAACCCGAGGATCGTGTTGAAATGGTGTGCACACCCTTTGTAGCTGTGATGAGTAACGCAACTGGAATCAAGGAGAAAAGGGGATAGATCTGTCCGGATTCATAGACGGTCAAAAACATTCTCACGTCCTAACTAGATACGTGTGTCACTATATAACCCCTTGACCTGATCACGGACACGCCAAAACACTCCATTACTCCAACTAATCAACCAAGTAATATGAGTGCCGGACAAAGATAGCACGCGTACAAGGAAACCTGACAATACTTCTCCAGGAAATATAAGCGCCTAGGAAACCAACTCTAGCCAATCGCCTCATATTTTACTTCACAGTAGCGAGACCGTGGATCAAGTCATGCATCGCAAGCGGATTTACCCTTGGTGTGGCTTCAGGGGCTGATGTGAAATGGTGCAGGGCAGGGCGTGGGCGTGGAACCTCTCGTACATCGGGGAAGTTACTCGTTGTGTAATTAACGGGAAGGTCGAAGGCGAAGGCTTCGGCTCGCGGTGAGCGAACAGTCGTCTGGGTCGAGTGTGCCCAATCCTGATCATCTTCGAGAAATGTAGTGCGTAGGAAATCCAGAAAAGTGTCAACATCTTGTTTCGTCGACATAGCCCCGAGACTTGCACGTACGATACTGTATAACCGTGATGTATTAGTATACGGCAGCAAACAAGAGCTTGCGCGAGGGAGGGTAAGACGAAAGGTCAGTTGTAGCGTACCCTGTAGGAAGCCTATGGATGATGCTTATGCCATGTGAGCCACAATGGTGTCCAGCCGATAGAGCACGCTCCGTCATCCACGGTTCATAGCCAAGAGCTGTGAATATGCCACCAGGATTGCAGACACCTAGTAGGATTAGCTGAACTGACTAACACCGGGCGTACCAACGTCAGGGGTTATAAATAAACTTACCTCCGGACCTTATGTAGATGCCCGCAGAATTGGCAGAACGCTCAACATCAGAGTAAGGAACATGATGCCCACTCGCCCGTAAGACGTTGAAAGCAATGGCGGATCCTTGCTTTGTCGAATCTTCGAAGTCGCTATTTTCGTTATAGATACGGCAAAGTGGCCGGCCGTTGGAGTGGCGTAAAGTGAGCAGACCTCGGAACAATCTAGAGATGAGGTAGGAAGCATGATCCGAAATTCGGCTCATTGAACCATATAGTCTCTTGTGCACGTCAATAGCCTCGCCTAGCGCGAGAATGTTGTGGAACGGTAGGGTCCCGTCTTCGAGGCCTTCGTGGAGCTTATAGGTGGGCGCTTGGAGACCTTTTGACCGATGCCAATTCTCGCCGAATACGCCAACCATGGAAACGGTCCCTCCACCGAAATACTTCCTTAGAGTCAGAATGTGTCCTGACTCCCTTCGAACGACCAATGCCCCGATATCTGGAAAGCCAAAGATTTTATATAGGGACAGACAAGTGAAGTCCGGCGCCTGGTTAACATCCCGAAAGATGTTTTCCATAGGATATGTCATAGCTAGTGCTGCAGCATCGAGAAGAGAGTAAGTGTTCTGTAAGGATTCTGATTGGCGCAGAATCCCCGGCCATGATAGTGGCAGCCTTCTACCAGACATGTTGGACTGTCCAGGATAGGCGAACAACCCCAGCCCACCAAGGTGGTGGCGGTTAAGGTAACTTGACTCAGGGGAACGGAGCCAACGCTCTACTTCCTGATCATTCTGGAAGCAGTAAGATTGCCCGTATGTAAGTTCCCTGACCCCTACAATGCTTGTATGCGCATCTTTATGATACCCATACCAGAACCTCCGGTCGCTGGTCTTCTCAGAGAGATCCCTGAAGCAATCAGCGACGAGCTTGATAGCTGCAGTGGCGTTTGCCACGAAAATCAGGTCGAAGTGCTCCGGACTTGCGCCGAGGAAGTTAAGTGTCTTCTCCCGAACCTGATCAACAACATCACCGGAAAGCTTAGCTGGTGAGTTCTCCGAGTGCGGATTTCCGTATAAGTTGGTGATCATTTTTGCGCAAAACGAATCGACAGTAGATTTCGCATATATAGTAGATCCACTATGGTCTAGATAGACTCCTGTATATACCTAGGTAAGTTGGGGCACGGATAATCCCAACAGAAAACGTACCATCATTCATATGAGGATACTCCTTTTGACGCAACGCTTCCACGTCACTGTTATACCCTTTCGACATGGTAAGGAGTGGCATTGGTTACTTAATATAGGCTGATAGGTGCTTAAACTTTGTTGATATACCGGGGAAAATGCTTGAAGATGAAGAGAGAAGACACTTAGGATTATAAGTATTCTCAAGATTGTAGCAATGAAGAGTTCCCATGCCAATGTTTGTATTGCGTCTTCCTAAGGGCCATCATCCAACAACACCAGTTCTAGACGGAGCATCTTATACTCAACCGCTCAACCACTCAACCTCCACCTCCACCTCCTCTTCCGCCACTCATGGGGTCCATAGCGGGAAGCATGGGTAGGGAGCGTGGGGTGATATCCGCCCTACATCTTCTCGTCGAGAAAGGTCAGCAACGGAATGGTGGCGCGGCGTGCGAGAGCGACTCTGGTGTCGACCATTGGCTGTATGCCATGCTGGAAACTGGAAGAGCCTAGCACAAGCGGATGACCGGACGACAGACATCTTGGCGAGTCGATAAGGAAACAGTAGGCGCAGCACATCGTACGCTAGGGAGCGCGATCTAGTGACACATCGTAGCTGTAGACGGTTCCCTCAGGGATACTTGACGTACATCTGATGATGAGAGACTTGTAGAGATTATTGGATCCTCGATTTGGTCTGACACACCTGACCTTTTCCCTTTTAGGAGCGACGATGCCGATACGTACCAGATTTCGTCTCCAAAAGTAGCTCTCTCTGGATGCTACTAGGTAGTTCGCATACTTGCAGAATTTTCCCGGGGAGAAACGTTGGTGAGAGAAGTATAGTTTGATGTCTTCCTTGACGAGGTTTGGAGAAGGACGGTTGGCGTAAGCTAGTGGACCCTACGCACCTTGACCAAAAGTGTAAGAGGCGCAAGTGTCAGATGCAAAAGGGATAGAGAAGGCCGTATGATTGGGACGTTTCGCTTGAGCAATGCAGTCGGCTTCGCGATGTGGAGCCATGGCGTACTGGGTGCGGTACTGGATGTGTACTCGATAAGGCTACTTTCTAATTGCCGTTCGTCTGTGATGGGAAAAGCTTGAGTTGGGACGATGTCCAAATTGGCCTCAGAACTTAGGCACTGAAGAGGCTCTGGCGGAACAAAACAGGCCTACCGATCGCGGCAGAGTCATGTAAGTATGCAGACACCATTATCACTTACAAGGGTCGTCTAAGACACGAAAGACATGGGTTCAGATAGGAAGTCATCCTATTTGGCGGTAGTTCCGCCGTTCTGTCCTCTTTCATGCGTCTGGATAGGTCGAGCGCCTCTTTCAGGCAAGCGTTGCGGGGAGAACAACGAGTGCAACGGCCTCGGTATCTGAACCAACTCCAGCCCAATCATCACAGAGGGGGTGGTATGCCTGCCGCGAAGTTACGGCCAAGAGCTGCGAGCAGTTGTACTCGAGGCGGGTTAGCTGCAGCTGTCATCGACCTCTCGAATCGATCCCCAACCCTAGTTTGCCTTGTATGCCTGTATGCTTGTATGCCGTGAGGGAGTATTCGAGGTACGTAGTGTTCTGTAGTGTGAAGAGGAGAGTAGATCCCTGCTGCTTTGCGAGAAAGTGGTCGCCGACCTCAGAACTGGAGGGTGTGCGTCATAGGGCACAACTTTCTGCAAGTCCTACAAGTTCTGCAAGTATATGCGTCTAGACTCGAGAGACCCCTGGACATCTCACTCTGCACAGATACAAGCAGATACAATCTCATCTCGTATGGAAAGAGTCTTGCGGAGAACATAATGAGTTAGAACCGATCAGTTTAAACGACGGACTGCGACGGATAGGAGTCGACATGGAGTTGGAGGAATAACCAAAAAAGATCGAGGCGGTTTGATGATGGCCCCAATGCTAAGCCCGCCAAGGCCATGGATCTGGTAACAAATAGTGTTATTAATTGCCATATATCCTTGCTGTTCATCATTCATCATTGTATCATTGTTGCTGACCCAACTACCAACTACTAACAAGCCCCAAGTCGGTAGTGTAATGGTACCTCAGATTCGAGAGAGTCCCAGGAACGCAAACCGCAAGCCGCAAGCCGTAAGCCGTAAGCCAGCCTCCAAATCATTGGGGAACTTGTTTATGTTGTTTCTTTAGGAAGACTCCCTTCTTTTTTTCTTGTCATTCCCAGGTCATGCAGCCCCCCGGGGATCACCAATTTGACAACTCTATAATACAAACCCCTTGACAATATTTGCCCACGAGGCTCGATTCACACCTAACTCTAACCAATGACAGAGCCTAACAAGATCCGCGCTGAACCAGCTACAACCATGAAAGCTCTAAGCGCCTATCGCAATCTGAGACTTAACATTTTTGTTCCGTTTTAAGCTCCGGAGCGTCGCATACTTTTCAATGAACTGCCGTCGGGTCACGCACCTATGTATCTCCAATACGCTCTCCAATACGCCCTAACTTGACTGACTTGACTGGCTTGACTGATTTTTAACATGCTAGTGTCGTGATAGGCGGACAAATCTTGAACTCTTCGGGCGAATCGAGCTATCTGTGGCTGAGTTGGGTTCGTTATTCAGAAGCTTAGCCTCGATTTGCGCTGCAGGTGTGTTGCATCAATCCAGCTGCAATGAAACGAAGGTTCTGTTAATCATAGACTACATCTCGCATTTGCTTTCTTACACAAATACACCCTCAAACTAATCCCGTACTTGGTCAGCTCTAATTTCTAAACGATGTACCTTCGTGTCGCCGCATATTCAAACCCGATAGCGCACCCTCTTCGGAAACACGGATGAAAAATATGTAATGTCTAAGGGTGCAGCCGGGATTTGTCGAGCCCTGTCGTGATGATTCCGCGCGTATAACGGACTTTAAGTTGTAGCCCGAGCAGAGAGCTCTTTGTAACTAGCTGACATCACCTGTTTCTCCCCCTCTCACTCTCACTCTCAGCTGCTGAACTTGCGCCGTATCCAAGTTAGGCCTCCCATTGACAAGTCTATTGACGAAGAGACCATGTCAACTATGAATCTATAGGCATTGATCTATTATCAGACTATCTTTTGTCAGTCTGCCCCCAAATATTCAGGTCAGTTACCCCAGACCAGACCACGTATTCGGGAATGGATATCACAACCCTCGCACGAATCCCCGAGTGGACCTCGGCGATATAATCGCAACATTCAGCATAGATCTAATCACTACGAAGATCTAAATCATGATAGCATGTCTCATTGGAGACCTCACCCGGGTCCTGACAGCTGCAGACCTACCCTCCTAATCAGCTTACCCCGGCTCATACCGCGCATTGCATTAGGGTCAGATCTCCTGCGTCCTCGCGGGCTGGAAAGCCTGGGATAGCGTCCCGTATGTAAGGAGGAAGGCTAGACCCTTAGGAATGGGCTGCATCCGCACTAGATCTGTGTGTGTCTGAAGGACGCACCCGGTCTTGGCGAGCACAACATCATGTGTGAATGCGAAGATCTCCCATTTTCGGACGAACGATGCCTATCACAGACTGATCCGATAAGTCATATCCATTTTTGGAACTGCTAGTCGATAAGCTGTTTGCCTGGAGGCCTATCAGAGGTCGGGAAACGGTTCCTGGACCACCCAGACTAAAGGCCGGCCTTTCTTGCATAGGTAGGACTCGTACAGCCTCCCCTACGTCGTTCTACCCGGGCCTCGTGGCAATAAATACAACCCACATTCACCTTATTCTTAGACCCATGCGATTCAGGTGAGGGCGTGCTCAGCCTTGCAGACGACCAGCTAGCTGCTATCCCTAGGGCGCCACCTATGGCGACTTCGAATTCATACAAGTATCAGTACACACACCACACTGAAGCTGAAAGCCACGCGCTAAATTCTCCTAGCCAATGATAGGGAATATATCATTAGGCACGAATATATGTATATCATATTCTCTCTACATGTATAGTATCACAAGTAAACTTAAGAAAACAGAATAATACTACTAGCTAATATCTACAACTGTAGGAGGCACTGATACGAACGAGCAAGATCACAGGAGAGTTCCCGATGGGCAAGCGACTTAAACGTATACTTCAATAGAATAATAACAATAATACCACCCCAACCTATTATAGTGAAGACTTTTCAGGCCTCCTCATCATTTGACGGGAACCAAATCGGATACGTTGGTGGCCAAGGGTGGCGAATACCTTACGTTACGAGCAGCTTCCCTTCATTCATAGATCATTTACTAATTGTTTACGGCGCTTAGAGGTGTCATTGAGAGCAAGTCTAAGCGCGAGACATCGTACCTCCAACCCTTTAAGTATGAGCTGAAACATTCATGTCGGTATTGCACCGGTAAGCCACGTTTATAGACTCGCAGCTGATTTGCAGATCAAGGCCAATTGCAGATATATGATGAGTTTGGGGTCTTATGTGAGGTATGTTTGTCAATAAATAAACGAGACAATGAGATGTTTCTCTATGGTAGCTTGCTGGGCTATTCCGAGTTGGTAACTGATATCACTATCTATCCCTTGAGTTGTGTACGTATGGATGGATTGGTGATATCTGGTTGGTCTGGTCTGGTCTGGTCTGGTCTGACCGTCGTATTAGCATGACGAGGCCGTTCGTGCTACACATTCTTAGATATAAGAGCGAATAGGCTTGCCCCGTGAAGTTACTAGACGAATAGACCAACACGATCACGGCCCGAAATGTGGAGTACACCGGATATCTACCCCCGGACCGACACGCTTGTCTTAGTTCTTCAACTGGTCTTGATTTAGTTTGAGTCATTGATATCTTCCCTCTCTAAGACGGAGGGGGCCACGGAGTTCTCATTCGTCCCCGTGACCTTCAGGCTCTTATGTCTCCAAGTGAAAGAGCACCTAGCGTGGATCGTCAAGGTCTACCCTATCCGAAACTTGAATATTGAGTGATCGACAGGCGCTTTAGTTTGACGATAGGTATGGTAACTGAGTAGATACTTGTAAAACTTGGGGTCGAGAATAGTAGCGTCGTTATCCGATACTACAACGCCATCGACGCAATAAGAACCAACTTTACTAAGTAAGATTGCGAAAGATATCTCGATGTATAAACTATGGCGTATTTCTAAGCATCCTAACGATACTTAGTCTCTCTAGCATAAGTAGGCCTATATCTGATCGACACTATAGTCTCTTTAGTATCTATCTGAGGTAAAGTTGTCATATCTCAGATTTAAAAGTGACAGTGTCTTATGCAGTGACCGGAACGTATGGCTTTCGGGATACTACCTAATGATTATTATGTTCGGATAGCTGCTTAATGGCGCCTCTCTAGGCACTCCATAGAGGTTTGATAGGGCGTCGATGGTCATGCTCTCACTTCCCCCTTGCTAGTGGCACGATTAGGGAACTACTATTGAGATTAGCACATCTCCTTGTTGCTTTGGATTCTCATTTGCTCAGATGCAAATAATATTTTAAGATAGTAGGATTCAATCATATCGTATCACTCCTCTTCGAACTAACACTCTGGTTAAGAGCCCAATATCCACAGTATAGTGTTGAATAAGGCGAGTGATGCGATCAATGCAATGTATATGCAAGGAATGGGGGAAAAAATATTGTTAGACTAGGTAATATTTACTATGGAATGTTTTCTCGCCGGCCGTGAGCATCATACGCGTATAATGAAATTATCTCTCATCCCATCAGTTCTTTTAATATTAGAGGATGTCAAGATATCGTTGGATATTAGTTCCCAAAAATCAACCACCATCCCCGTAACGCCAATCCATGCAAATTAAATTTCAACTGCGGTCGACTCCGAAGTAAACCTCAGTTGATAATAATTAATTGAATCTAATATGCTTGTTGTGTCTTATAGCAGAGCGAGGAAGCCTGCAACAACAGGAGCGATGGCTAGGTTCTTGACGACGTCCAGCACACTGCCTGCATTAGTGATAGGAATACTCGGCGAGGCAGTAGGCGCGGGCGTGGTCTTGGTAACGCTACCGGTGCCAGTAGGGTACGGTACGGTGGTGTTCGAGCCGAGCACGGAGAAGTTTGCGCAAGAGATACGGGTCTTGTTTGCGAAGTGGAATACTACGCTTCGGTTGCCGAAGTACGAGCCGGCACCCTCGCTCAGGGACGTGTACGGGTCGTGATACTTGGCAGTGAACGGCTCTGAGCTTTGGATCTTTCCATATTTCCCGCTTAGGTCTCCCTGTTGGCACGACGCTGGACGTGCCGAGTCGCAAGAGGGGGTTTCGCCTCGGATATATTGGTCAAGGTGGCCAAGCGTGCTGGTACAGTTGCCGTCTTCTGGGACAGGGGCGACGTGGATGTGGTAGACTTAACGAAGGTTAGTTGATATACAAGAGAAACATTTACGGAGGAAGACATACTAAACGGCCCACCCTCCTGAGGCAAGTTCGAGAACGATACTTCATAGTCGACACCTTCGCCGTTTGCACCGGACTTGGCCACGACGGAGCCCCTTACATTACCATTAAGGCTTCCTTTCCAGAATGCCTCTTCTGGTAATGTAGCAACGGCTGTTTTTCCGATGGGGTTGCCAGTAGTTACAGCGGCATCACCTAGTTGCTAATAAAGTAAGTTAACACCAACGTCCTAGAACTATACATCACTATAAATTGAAACTTACGCCGGTAACGTTGTCCTGGGCTAAGACACCAGAAGCACCAATGGTAGCGAGCGAGATAATATTAGACACACGCATTTTGCCGAGGTATGAGTATGCGATAGTAGATTATGATAGAGTTTCGGTTGTTCGAGTCTCGTCACAATTTGTGGTTTGCGTATCAGGTAGCTTATTGATGTTGTGGCCTCCAAAGGATGGTGTAGCTTGGGAATTTATTTGGAAACTACTGGGGAAACCGTGTGTATTTATTTGCGCAGAGCTTTTGTGCGTTTAAAAGTCGGAGTGAGACAGGGACAAAAACAAGCGGAGGAGAACAATGGGACTGAAGGCTGTAAGTCTTTATACCCGTCTACACTTTGCCTCTGGTGATACCTAGTGGGTGTCACTTTGTACTCCATTATAGCCCACAGCCCGCAGCCGAGCAACCAATGAACAATTCCTTGTCCTAACATCATCTTAACTAACAAGGTCAAGTTCACCCGCCATCGTCTACGCGGAAAAGGAATGGCCGGTGATAGACATTTGATGAGACCAACGTCCACCGATGGGACCTTGCATCATTCCTCATCTAGAACTACCCAAAAATGGCAGCGTAGGACAGCAAATCAATGTAGAGTACCTAGCAGGGATCAGCAAGTGACACTAACGAATCACATAACAGGTCCGAGCCAACCTTGCCAAGAGCAAGGGTGGTCATAAAAGCCAAGAAAGCCAAGCGGTTTATCCGGAGGGACGGGAACAAACGAAACAAGAAACATCAGAAACATTTCTCTCCATGTGTTGCCGGCACCCGAACCCGTGATCTTAACCTACAGGTTCTACACGTCGCCACGACTATTATGACAGCGACAGTCTGGACTTCGGAGGGATAAAGAAAGAACAATGACGCTATAAACGGTTGATTACGTGGAGAGCGTATGCCATATGCAGGAAGAAGGTAGGCTCTCCTATTCACCGATCACTTCTCACGTCAGCCCCTTTAGGGTCTTGTACTATGTAAATCTCATGTAGCTAACCCTCTGAACGGCAGCGCATTGTACAACACGTAGTCCGCGTTTTTTAGTTCCTCCCAATTTGATTTGCGCTACCCCAAGCCTCTTCTAATAATACACATGGAAAGAGGAAGTCCGAGTTGCTCAGCCATGGTAGAACCCCCCAATAACCCACTAACAAACTAACCACAAAAGACCCTCCCTTGCTGGGACTGTGAGAACTTAGAAGGTCTGTAAGATAGCGCGTGTATGCCGAAGCCAATGCTACCATGTGTACCTGCCTAAGTACCTAAGGTATATATGCTAGGTATTATACATTAGGTACCTAGATATTGTACGCGAGTTCCCGTCTGGCCTATGTATAGGTAGGTATACATAGTAAAAATAATAAAATAAAATAAATACATAGAAATGAGATATCGACTATAATTGGACAGTGTAAATAAGGCTTTGGCTCGTAAAATGGATGCCATGCCCCGGCGGCTTTCTTGATTTGGAACGTATATGATTCGTCCCATCCAGTCAAAACGGTGGAAGATCGTCTACGACCCCAGGACCCCAATTACAAGCTGCTAGCTGCAGGCTTCGAGCCGCCGTCTGCAGGTACATACATAGTACGTAAGTGGTATTACCAGCCCTTTCATTATTTTGACATTTGACCGCTGAACCACAATGTGCTTGTCCCATGTCAGATTTTTGCGATCCAGTCAAACCAGAGTTAACAATGAACAGATTGAAATTACTACTCTCTACTTTCTAAAGAGGTGTATTGGCACGTGGTTATTGTAACCCGACGACCGATCGAGCATAAATGTGATGGCAATTTGCCGGTATAGTTGCGGTTAATTTGCAGCATCTCTATCCCTCACCTTAGTACAATTTGACCAATGTAAGATCTTATCGGAGTTAAGCAGTTCGGGTCACTTCGATCAACTTCTAAGATGCGTTTTTTATTATTATCAAGGTCGGCGCTCTCGGTAAAGCGCCTAGCCTTGTGTTATTTGAGACTCGCATCTCACGTCTGTATTTTGACACAATTAAACAACTCTTACGGTGCCAACAAAAACTCGACTTGTCTGCTCGTTATTGTCACTAATTATAAATCGAGTTTTGGTGAAGGAGCATTACATACATAGGCGCTAGGCGCTTGGTTATAATATACATATTAGGTACTGTTGACGCTGGCCAAGGCCGAGGCTGTGAACGATCTCTAGCGCGTAGCTAGAAGCTTGCAGGTTTCGGGACTAACACGAAAACTTCGATTAAGAAGCCTTGTATGGATCTGGTTCTTTTCGGTAGAAAAAGGCCAGCGAATGATTCTAGGCGCGATGTTTGGAAGCTAGACAACATTGAAATCCAGACAACCAGATAAACAACTCGGAACTGAGCTATGCCGGAGTTGGCGTCTAAGGTATGCATCTTATTTTAGATACATGTAGGTAGGTATTTTAGGTACCTTACTAAAGTACGGATCTATAAATAATATTAGTTGACTCTTGAGCATAGCTCACTAACAAAGAAGATAACATTGAGCTAAGTAGCCTCATGTGTTAATAATGAATTTTAAAAATAGCAAAGACTCAAAAAAGGGAATATCAATACGGAATATAGAACCAGAAAGTTGAAAATGTTAACAGCTAGAAGCCGAGCTGGGTACCTAGGTACCTCGCTGCGTGGGGATCATATCGGATAAAGGTAACCCGTTTCCGGCGCCTCGTAGTCAGCCCCAGTTCCATCAGCCTCATGTCGTCAAGCCTCTCTCTACCTTACCTTATCCAATGACATCCGATTCGACATTGCGCATCCTCCTAATCGCACTCGTGCCCACGACATCATCCTTCAACGTAATTCGCGATAGCCATAGCAACCGAATTAGCGTCCGCCAATCCCATCGTCAACGACACTTACACCTACCACTTGCTAAGTCAACGTAGCTGAGCGCTTAGCCGGCCCCCAAAAACCGCCCATCATGAAGCCCGTCGTCAGTGCCATGCAAGCTTGGTCTTGGTGAGCATTCCTCTCCCCAGTGCCAGGAGCTCCGTCAACACCAACAAGTCAACTCTGCTAACGAAGTGCCTCCTCATATACAGCGTGGTTATTTCCGTCTTCGCCATTATCATCCTCTTGATTCTCGGCGGCCTCTACCGACACAACCACCACGAATTCGTAGGGGGCGCCGACGACCCCAAGGACGGCCAAGCGGTTGCGAGCACCGTATTTACCGCCGTTGTCGTATATGCTGTAAGTTTCCGACGCCATTACACGTTAGCGAGGAAGGATTATAAGTCTCATGGTCTCTTGCTTATAGGCTTTCCTGGTATTCTGCGGCCTTCAGGGCTTGTTACACCTACGTGAAAACCGACGGGGTGCCATTGCGCTGTCATAAGCGTTGACTCTGATTCGTGCATTATACTGTATTAAGAGACGCAGGCGTTCCGGTTCCTGAATCGCATCGAATTTACTTGGAGGATATTGGGCTGCGGCATTTGCGATTGTCAAGTAGCTTTACGAAGTCATACCTGGTCACTCACCAATGGTAGTGACCAGGTAATAGCGTGGCCAAGAATTACATGTATGAATAGGTGTGGAAGTTGAGTTAGGAATGGATGACTTCGTGGGTTCGTCGTACTAGAGGCTTGCCTCGGTTCTATCAACCTACCACGACCTGCTACATTGGGAGACAGGCACATTAATTGGCAATCAATATTAATCTACGAAGCATTGTCTCGCATTTCTTATCACGCATATATAATGCTACACAGCCAAAAACATTTTAATGAGTTAGCATGGCAGGTAATATATATAGACGGGAGCTTTATTAGTTGTGGAAAGTAAACAGTTTCTTTCCTCCCAATGTTGAATCTGCAAAGCGTTAATACTATTTGCCTTAGGAATTTCACTCTTTTTTCTAATTAGGCTTCATGTTCTAAATGAAATTGGCACGATATTCTTTTCCGATAGTATAAATTACACGTACGAGTAAATATTTAGTAAGGTATATGTAACGAGTCCAAATGCTATTAATCGATTTAGATGTTGATACCACTATGTTGTAGTAGTTGTGTTGATTAGCCCCTTTTCTCGTTAAGCCCCCCTTATTTTACTAGAAAATCTTCATATTAGAATAGAAATCATGGCGCACCATCAGAATCCATACGAAAAGCTTAAACTGGCCGAGCAGTATCGTACATGTAGTATCTATGGCAATATTCCTAAAAGTAGTGAATGTTTGCACTGCCGGGTGTCTAAGACAAATTGAGGCTCGCCTGTAAATGTAACTTCGTTGGCTTTAAAACGACGTCGGGTGAATGCATGATGATCAGATAAGATCTCTTCTATTCAATCTAGAAGAGTCCACAAGAAGATCTGGCAATGCGTAGAAATTAATGTGGCTCTCTGTCACAGGCTGAATATGCCGAGCCAAACGCGGATGCAGGACACCAGCACCCGAAACTCGCAGCGGATAATTTACTGCATGTGGCCAGAATCCAAAACGACAGAGCTGCTTCCATATGTCCTACCTCAAAACCTAGAACTATTGAAGATAGATTAATCAGCGTCTATTCGTCTAGTAATCTACTTACACCTATAACTACTTGTAGTAGAGATCGAAAGAACTAGTTAGTATCATATGCTGGAAAGTAGAGGATGTGGACCTTGGAATAGAAGACAAAGTATGAAATAGAAGGAAGTGAGGCTTCATATTGTTTAGGTATTATATTGTTTAGGTATTACGTTCGCCATGTGGCAATGGTGTATGGGTATCATTTAAAGTGGGAATAAACGGGTTGAGGTCGCGGTGCTACATGGCTAGCTATGTTTGTAGTCTGATCTTGTCGAATAAACGTGCTCGAAGACCCGAAAACACTTAGAAGCGGGAAGCAGGCAGCCTTTAAAGTCTCCCTAGTTTAATTTACAAGTTCACTTGCTATGCGTTGGCCCTTCTTGGCTAAGTCTTGGTCTATTACGAGATAGATAGATAGATAGATAGATAGATAGATAGATAGATAGGTAGACTAGGAATACCTTGGGAGGTACTAATGAATTAGCCCAATGCTCAGTATCACTTGCAAACCGAGAAAAAAAAGCTCGGTGCATCAATTCGGCGTGTTGCTACAAACGACAAGGTCTACTACCATAAGTTCCGCCGAGACGAGGTGTACTTCGAGCCAGCCCCTGAAATAGGATGTCCTTCGAATTTTCGAATGATGTTAGCCATTCTTGACCCGAGTTTACGTATAATGGCTTTTTCGGGATATTCGTTAGTTCTAGAAAAGGTGATGTGCCTAGAAATCCTAATAGAGAGGACATTTTGGTTGGGACAACATGGATGCTCCATGTACCTTTTGAGTTAAAGAACCTTTTAGTTAATGATTAACTAACGGCCCGAGCCGAGTAGTTTCGTCCGGTCTTAGGTATCTACTCCCATTCTGCACGTATTAGTACCTATGTAAAGCATTCTTCGGTATTTCAGAAAGGCCAAGAAGAAGCCTCGTAATCGACACCGATGCCAATATTATAGAGTAGCAAACGTCAAGATGATGCGGCTAAAGATGTATCCGTGGGGAGCTCCGGTCAGACGAGTAGCTCCCAGGGAGCCCCGGCTGTTGGTGGCTTACGAGTTCTGAAGGAAACCCATTTATGATGCTTGGCTTGACATCTTGGCGCTATGCAATGCATACAACTGCGTTAACTCGTTAAATGTTTCTAACTGTGGACGTATTCTTCTGGTTAGAGATGCGTAAGAATATTAACGAGTGGTTTGCCTTTTAAAGTTATATCCCATGGTCGGTGAAAATGTAACTCATTGCATGTCATTGAGCACAGCTCTTGGGAACATGGAATCTGAGGATGGTTAGGAGGAATCATTGCTGCTAGGTCCTTAGTTAGGATCTCAGAAAGCCTCTGCGTGCTTCAGTAGACACCTCGTCTATGTCATATCTAACAGGTACTATAACAGTTGGAATTTGACATTGGTGTCTGATGTCATGATCCCTGCAGACGTTGCCTTAGGGATTGAATCTGTATGCTGACTAAGATAGGTCTACATAATAACCGTATAATACATCGTGTAAACAAAATCTACGGTAGCAATTATTGTCCCAGAATCTCGGAGTTTTCTGTTATAAGTCTAGGTTAGGTAATTGTGTATTTCCCTGTTGATTAAAAAACGGTGTAAATATAAAAATTGGAAATTTTATTCTATACCTTCGTCATTGTGAGCTAAGTTGCAGAAAAGCGGCTTTGCGCAATGTACGGAATACATAGTAGATGTAATTGATAACAAGTGATGTCATGACTCGTTGTGTTTCCCAGTTGCGACCATTAATATGCCAGGTAGGTATATATGAACTCATCCTCGTTCTGGTATATCCAACTCTCTCAATTGAATAATTTTAATTCAATTGCTAATATAGCTACTCCTTACTAGTTAGCTATTAAAAGACTTATTCGATTTAGCTTAGCATATTACTCAACATGTCCGACTCACAATTCCAGCAGGGTAAGTGAGATCTCCATATTATAACAGTTATATTATTAAGAGGTATGCTGCTAACATGCGAATATTATAGGACATACAGTTCCGGTAACTCATCAAGAGTTTCCTGGAAAGGAGCATAAGCTGCCCATACAAGCCCAGTATGATACCCTACCTACAGATAACGGCGGGTATCAGAAGTATAAGGCCGCCGGCAAGCTCCAGGGAAAGAAGGCCATCATCACAGGTGGCGACTCGGGAATTGGTCGAGCGACAGCCATCCTATTTGCTCTAGAAGGCGCCGACTCCTGTATCGTCTATCTCCCCGATGAAGAGAAGGACGCCCAGGAGACGAAACGCATCGTGGAATCGCACGGCCAAAAGTGTCATCTCTTTTCCACCGACTTGACGAGCAGAGACAACTGCAAGAAAGTTGTCATGGAGGCGTTGAAGAACTTGGGTCGTATCGACATCCTCTTCAACAACGCCGCATACCAAATGGTGAAGAGTGACATCCACGAGCTGAGCGAGTAAGTTGACTGTTTCCCGTTTTGGGTTTTCTGGACATCATCATCTAACAATGACCCAAGGGACCAGTGGGTACATACGTTCAACACCAACATTCACCCCTTCTTCTACCTGGCTAAATATGCGCTACCGCACATGAAGCGTGGTGCGACTATCATCAACAATGCCAGCATCAACGCCTACATCGGACGACCTGATCTTTTAGACTACACCTCGACCAAAGGCGCCATCGTATCTTTCACCCGGGGTCTCAGCAACCAGTTCGTGGGCAAGGGAATCCGGGTCAATGCCATCGCTCCGGGCCCCGTGTGGACCCCTCTTATCCCAGCTACTATGGACGAAGAGGCACAGAAGTCATTTACTAGTCCCATGGGCCGACCCGCACAGCCAAGCGAGATAGCGACTTGTGTAGTGTTCCTCGCATCCGCCGACAGTTCCGCCATCAGCGGCCAGACGATTCACTGCAACGGCGGCACTATTGTCAACGGCTAAGCCCAAGGTCCAGGTGTAGGACCTATGACTCTTATATTATCATGGTGGAGGTAATTTGGGACCTATGATATAAGGACATTGCTAAGCTTTGATGCCGAAATGACGAGCCTTGTAAGATAAGAACTCTGGGATATGTTAGGTAGAGCTGTCCCCAACGAATAATGAGATCTATGATAACAACCTCTTCGCTTTTTGCTGCCGTACCCTTCGCATTTGTAATGTATAGAGATAGCAGCCAGTGAGAAATTGATACATATACCTCCCTAGCTGGCATCCGATTTGCAATTTCTCATAAAAACTAAGGTTAACACTGATAGTCTAGGTAGGTAGCTAATATGTCTAGTCGACGAAATTTCTATTTGTTTTTGTGATTAGCTGGGTAGCATATATGTGTACCTATACAATATACATACATATGGAATTGCCTGGACTATAATGAGTAGTAAATGGTGTCTTCTACGCATGGGATTTCCCTCTGCGGATTTCGGTATACCCCTCATGTTCGTCTCACCTTCTAATCCAACATATAGTATGACATGACTCAACGTCCCCAGGCTGTGAGAGAAGATGCACACCGTTGCAAACTACCTCTTGATTAAAGAGTTGTCGCTCGCTGGTATTTCCCATTGGAGTAGCCTGTTTTACTGCCGCTAAGCTTGAGCTATTCCTAGGTGCATGAGATATGCTGTTTGGGCCGAACATAACGAGATTCTCGAATTTATCAAGAGGTCTAATGACTGCCTTATAGCTATGGCCCGGCTCTTTGGCACTTGAACGTGTATCACGCGGCATTCGATAATCGTCGTCGACGGGTATGCGTTGCCCTAAGTCGCTCTGGGAGAAGCGCTAGCTGGATGCACGAATAGGAGTAGCCTCTGCATATTGAGAATACTTAAGAAGACTTCTCCCCATCCTTCTCGGGTTTACTTGCCTCGCGATATTTTGCCATCTTCTCTCTCAAGTAGTGGAAACTTCGTCGAAAACCAGCCGTAAGGACGCCCTTAATACTTTGGGTAGTGCTAGGCCAACTGATCGTCTTTTTGATAACATCCCGGATAATTTTTCGAAGGGCTTCAGGCTCATCTTGCGCGATCCGCTGTTCGAAGCCACTGCCTTGTTGTCTCTTGAAAGAGCCAGCATCTTCATCCTTTTTCTCTTCCATCATTTTATTGAATTCGAGCTGTGGTATCTGGAACTTCTTCTGGTATTCGAAGTATAGCTTGGAGCGGAAGGCTTTTGGTAGTCGGCGCACCATGTTACCTCGTTTTACAGGGTCCATGTCCTGTTGTAGCTTTAATACAGAGTCTGTATTGTCGATCCAATTGGGTTTGCTACAAGCAGGGTCATCAAATTCAACATTAGGAAGAGATTCGACGAGCGGCGCATAGAGCCGTCGGAAGTTTAGCATGTTATGATTGACGATATTCGCGACCTTTTTCGGATTCTCAGTAGGAAATGCCATTCGTGGATCGCCTAGATAACTAATGCCAGCAATCGTCGCGTATAATTCTTGTTCGCTAAAGGTGGGAGGCAGTAGAAGGAGAGCTGTCCGCAATGCTGATAGGAGGTTGATCTGATTCGCAAGACGAACTCTAGGATCATCTCTAAGAATCTTTACTGGTTTATGCAGACGCCCGGCAAGGTATAGTGTGTCCCACTCGCTCAGGTCCCTGCACAAAGTGTCGATATTGACAACCCCGTACTTGATTAATATACCATCCACAGTAACGTTAGTATTGAAGTAAACCCCAGCGCCCATTTTATCCTGCACATAAGACACGGCACCTGATCCTAACGACCCAAGCATTGAATAATGATCACGATGCTGCATGAGATTTAAGGAATGCCAATGCTGCGTATGCGAGACACCGAAGATGAAATCAATCATCTTCGGAGAACCATCCTGGGCTCTCTGGACAGCAACAGGTGCCTTGGGATGGACAGCTTTAATTTGAGCCTCAGTAGCTGTACCACCTGTCGATTGCGGGAAGACGCCAGAGCCGTACGCAAAGGCATATCGGATCGGAGCCCTAAATCTCCATAATAGCTGACGAAGGGCTTCTTTGTACTCTCGATCAATGATCATATGCTGATTTGCACCAAAGTTTGCGTAAGGAAGTTCCGTGAACTTCTCTATGTGGAAATTGGGCTTTTCTTCCCAATCAAAGTCCGAGTCAGGTGGTGTGTTGGAAGAGGCGGTCGAAGCAATGTGCTTTTGCGAATGCGGTTCATCTGGAGAATTGGCAGCGCTCGTGGCAGAGTCGGTTTCTGATTCGAGCTTATGCGCAGTTTTAGCTCCCTCAGAGACCGAAGCTTTTGACGCATCGGACGTGTATGTGCGGAGGCATAATATGGATGCAGGTGGGATATGAGGAGATCTGGAGACGTCGTAGCGTGGTCGATATTGTAATCGGGTTGCATGTACGGAATATTGCCTTGTAGCTCGTGCCGAATGATGGACTGAGAGTCGGAGGGGTATCGTAATAGCTAATGACGACACACCCGAAGGAGGTGCCGGTCGGATAACCATAGTGTCGGTTTTCGAGGGAGGTTACTATGAAGGTATATGGAAGGCGAAGTTACGAGGTTTTGATTGTCGGACTGGATTGTAAATTGCGCAAATTGCTAGTGGCACGAGAAGTTAGTAGTACTAGCAAAAGCCGCAATGCTATTACCGGGAGAAGAAATCCATGCGTGTGTTGGAACCTCACGAGTTGAGGTGTTATGTATGATCTAAATGTAGCGCATATGAAAGGAAACTCCAAATTGTTACCGAGTCTTGGTGAAGGAAGCAAGATATAGATTAGGTACGTTAATAAGCCCACCGTAGCATCGTGGCAGCTGTGTGGGACCTGAGCCAGCTGAAAGCTTGAATTTCGGCAATGGCGTAGACTACTTCGTACCCCCGGGAAGAATGCGTAAAGAAGCTGTCAGCCAAGTCAGGAACTTCTGCACTGACTTGAAGACCCACAGAAGCAGCAGGGGTAGCTACATATGTACATACGGCATGTACTGTAAATACCTACATGTACATATATGTATATATGTATTTAAGGTCTAATTGAGAGTGTATTCTATTAAAATATTACATCGTCAAGCTCTTATGGTGTTGGATATCCTTACGAAGCTGTAATCCTGGGGTGGAAGCTTCTACTTCCGAAAGAGAATCTTCATTACATGCATATTGAGTACAAAGCCATTTTCATCATCTGCACGTGATAAGGTATCAAGCTAGCTAATCGCGGCAGCATTGCCAGGGCAGCCGCAAACAACAAAAACAATTTAGCAGGTCTTGTCGCGATACCGCACTTTAAGCACTTTAAGCACTTTAACCTAACTTATCAATCACCATTCCTTTTGGGTATGTATTCATAACGAGAGAAAATACCAAGCGACGTAGGCTCTACAAATAAGCGCCATGTCCGGTAATTTTCGGCAAAGTACAGGAAGCGGATCGTTTTCGAGGTCGAGGGTAAGTAAAGTCATTCATAAGCAATCCTAATTAATGATAATCAACTCTAAGTTAAGAAATAGGTTACTTCGTTCCGCGCATCATTACAAAAAGCAACACAACCTTCCTATAACTTCCTGACTGGTGCCGAAGATGTACAAGCTTCCCATCATGCTAGACCTTCGTCACGACAAAGCCATGTGGGCGCAGAATCCCTCCGAGCCTCGTCGCGCGAGAGTTCCAAGGAAAATCTTGCGCCGCCCGACGCAGAGGAGTACGAAACTCAGCGAAGGAAAATAGAGGAGCTCAAGGCTGAGCTTGCTACGATGCACTACAAACTTGAGAACTACGAACAAGAGAAGGAAATGATAGCTTTACAACATGACAACGAATTACGAGATGTACGACGGAAAGCCGAAGATGACTTTAAACAAAAACAGGCTGCCGAAGGTGATAAGAATAAGGCACAGCGCCAGTACGAAAGTATGCAAAAGGAATTGCAGGAGCTTAAAGAAAGTTCTAGTAGCGAAAAACTCGAAGTCGAGAAGAAGGCCCGAGATGCAGAAGATGAGGCGCGTCTACTGAGAGAGCAATTAGAAGACTTATCAGCGGCAAAAGAGGAGGGAGACCGGATGGCCCAAAAGAGGGTTAGTGATATGGAAACCCAACTTTCAAATCTTCGAGAAGTCATCCAAGGGCTAGAACACGATGGCCAGTCCCGAGAAGCCTCAATACAAGTTGCACAACAGCAGCTACTAGAGAAGGATAAGCTCATCGGTAATTTAGAAGCTGATGTATTGCGCTTAAAGGCGCAAACTGGCGACGCTGAGACTATCGCTATCATCCGGCGCGAACTCACTGAACAAGTCCAACACATTAGATCACTCGAGTCGAAGAATACTAAACAGCATGCGGAATTAACTCATTTAAGGCAAATACACAGGGCTGTAGAAGTTGTGGAGGAAGAGAAGCGGTCGCTTCAACGGCGGCTTGAGGCTGCCGAAGCTCTTGAACCCGAACTCAACGAGGCTCGACTTCAGAGACAGAGATTGGAGGATGAACGCCTGGCATGGACTGCCTACCTCCGAAATGCCAGCGCGGAAGGTGGACTTATGGAGTTCGACTCTCCCGAGGCGGTCGCACGTGCGCTCGTAGAGGAGCGATACAACTCCGCTTCTCTTGTAGAAAAGCTTGGCGAGATACAACCTCAAATCGCGGAACGTGATGCGATTATCAAGGCCTTAGAAAGTGAAAGGAAAAACTTGAGCGCACAAATAGAAAAAGTAAAGACTACTGCGGCACCTATATCGGCAGGCAAGGCACAAGCTCGGATAGAGCGCCAGCGTGCCCTTGCCATCAAGGAAGTCGAGTACTTGCGCGCCCAGCTCAAAGCCTTTGATACAGAAGACGAAACCTTCAACTCTGAGAATTTCGATCAGAGCAAGGCTGATCGCATCTCCGAGCTTGAAAAGCTGGTTGATCAGTACAAGGAAGAAGTTCAGACCATGCACAATGAACTCTCTGCCCTGGAATCATCTGGCAATACGGCACCTGCCTCTATCGGGTCTAAGCGCAGCCATTCCGACGAGTCCGAGAGTGAACAGCTCGGTGAACTCAACAGAAAGCGCAGGAAGCTGGCCGACGAGCTTTCGAAACTACAGACGCAGTACCAAGTCCTTCAGAAAGAACACGAGGTTCTACAATCACGCCTCGCAGCCGCTGAATCGACTAACAAAATCCGCGTCCTATCTCTACGCTCCAACCCTACTTCCGACTTCGAAGCGATTAAAACGGCCACGCTACAGGCCCTTAAGCAGGAGAACAAGGAACTGTTGGCGCAACTGCAGAAAGAAGCCCGCCGCAGCCCTAACCCGAACATTCCCCTAATCCCGGCGTCACAACTAGCTGCGGCGCGTCGCGAAATCGAAGAAGCGCAGCGGGAGACAGCGTCGGCGCAGAAGACAACGCGGCGACTGAAAGAGGTGTGGGCGGCCAAGTCGCAGGAATTCAAGGAGGCCATCTTCAGCACTTTGGGTTGGACCGTGACGTTCATCCCCAACGGCAAGATGCGTGTGGAAAGTTTATATTGCCCTAGTGTCACCGACGAGCAGGAGAACAGTATCGTCTTCGATGGCGAGCGCGGCACCATGAAGGTCGCCGGTGGACCGCAGAGCCCCTTCGCCCGCCGCATCCAGGACCAAATCCAGTTCTGGGTCCGTGACAAGGGCTGCATCCCGGGTTTCCTAGCGGCGCTTACGCTCGAGTTCTACGAGGAACATACCAGAGCTAGTCGATAGTCCGATGGACTACCTACTTGAAAGATCCGGAATGAGCAGCTGTTTCTATGTACTAGTTAAGGACGAGTACGATAACTGTGTTGATGGGTTCAAATTACGATTAATATTTTTGATAGCGGGGCGGCGCTCTTCATGTCTGTTCCGCAGTATGAGGAGGTATTGTGTGATATGATGCGGCATAGCATAGCATGTAATGATTACCTGTGAAGGCTTACGCAGGCGTTCGGGACGATAAGACATGTTGCTTATATCCAAATGATTTGGCGTACCAAGCTCATTTTTAGCTACTTGTGTCTCCAAAATAGAGAGTATAAATAATATACAACACATTTGAACATTCTAGATTTATATCACAATCGTAGGATCAGCACTATAGAAATATCTTATAACTAGGTAGTCATGAATTAGAATGTTTCTGCCGGTATTTCACCTATGACAGTTTGATATCAAGTCCTTCAAGTTATCCATAAAGTTGAAATGTTGAGTAATGAGAGATAGTCGAAACATATATGCACAAATGGAACCTTCAATTTTGACCACCCGCTAATCTGATTTACAAAAGAGCATCATCGTCGTCCAGACAAAATCTCCCCATGGTTCTTTCGAATCTGTATCCCCACACCTCTCCTTTATTTATCTCCATCTACCTCGCCTCGTACTTTCCACTCACCAACTTCCTGACTGTAGGCACGTCAACCCACTTGCCTTCCTCTATGGCGGCAGTGTCGTCCGCGAACGGGTCGTCTTCGGTGAGCTCTACCTCCCTGTTCTTGCCCTCTTCGAACTTAGACACTGATATAGCACTTGCGCTCTCAACGAAACTCGATGGTGGGTTGACCTCCCACCGCGCCTCAATTGCGCCCGCCTTAGGCTCTACACCCTGGTCGCCTATTATCCGACATACGATCTTCTGCCAATCTGCATCCGGAGACAGAGTGACATCGCCGAGACGCCAGTATACAAGGTGTTTATCCTTGAGGTGTGTCCCGGATGGTTTAGTCTGAGCGCCTGATGCCTTGCCCTCGTATGTAGCAAAGAGGACTAGGTTATGCACCTGCACGCTGGAACCGCTATTAGCGAGTTTGAAAGCTGGGTTGAGTTTATACTGAAGCAATAGTCCTAATTTATCTCCCTGCGGCTTCCATACAGGGTGAACGAGAACCGGCACATGTTCTGTAGAAGTAGCGTCTGGGTCTGCGTGAAGCCTATAAGAAAAGCCAATGGAAGTTTTGTGAAGATGCGAGAGATCCAAGGTGAATTGCTCCGGGTGGTCAGGGGTATCATTCGTGACGAAAATACGATTAGGGCCAATAACGTCGAGTGTAGCGAAATTGTTGATTCGAATAGGTAAATGAGCTGTTAATTGTTAGCCACGATACCCCTGTTTCAATAACGATAAAACTTACTAGGCAAGTTGAAAGAATCCGAGGCGTGGTATGAGAAGGCAATCTCGCCATTAACCTTCACACCCCGAACTTCCCCATTTTCGAACGTTGCCGAAACCGTCTCCATGACCGAGGAGTTAAGGCCTGGCTCATGCATGTCGGGGTGCTTTACGTGAATAGTACTACTCAATGAGTTGCCAGAGCGGACGGACTGAGTATCCGATGTACCTGCAACGCTCGCTTCGGAGGCAAGGGTAGCAACCCCGGCAGGCTTCGACGATATGGAGTGTAAAGGAGGGAAAGGGTGTTGGTTCTCAGTTGCAGAACCTTCAGAGACGGGAGCAGGTACGTAGATAGTATTGCGTACATCTCTTCGGCCTCTGATAGTACCCCCTTTCCGAGCTGGTATTCCCATAGCTGACAGGCTATTGGCGACATTTGAAAGCGCTGCTTTCTTTTCTTCCGGATCCTCCTCGGCCACGGGCTCTTTCTGGATATTGAGCTTGAACAGCTGCTCGGCTTCTTGTGCGGCTGCCTCCCTCTCTGCTTGGGAGATAGGATCGTTAGACGGAGCTGGCACACTGAAACCCTCGGAATCTTTTTCTGGTTCCTTTTGGGATGGCGGGGGGCCTGGCGGAGGGGGGACATCTGCGATATCAGAAGGGATTGACGTGCCATTTATGTGCGACGCTTGCGATGTTGCCGTCCCTGGTGGGGCTACATCGGTAGAGCCGTCACGACCTAAACCATTCATGCCATCATGGCTGGTCTTTTCTTTTGCCTCGGACGTTCGAGAGGGTGTCTCGGTCGTAAGGGGGTCTTCCACGAGCGACCCTAGCCTGTTTGTCGAATCGCCAAGGTTACTAGATGATGCTCTAGGGGATATCCCGTGACTACTTTTGATGTTCCTTCCAAAGGGGCCCTTAGCAGGCGACAACGGTCCGAAACCACCATGTATGCTCTGTCGTCTCCGACCGAGCATGGTGCCGATGCGACTACGCAGCTTATTTTCCGTTTGTCCTTCCTTAAAGACGGAATGTTCGCTACGATCGTCAGCAGCCGGGGCATGGATGCTAGGAGGCGCCAGGGAGGAATTGCCTCCGCTTAAGCTAGATGATTGTCGTGCCGTAGTTGTTCGCTTCTCGATCTTCGGCCGACCAGCCGTCGTCTTAGCCACAAAGTGTTGGATCTCGGTCGCAGTGCTATAGTCCAATAAGCTATTCAGTACCGTTTCGGCTTCGGCTTGGTGACTTTGCGCTTGCTCCCCTTCATAAGTGCCGTATTGGGTAAGACAATCACGCAACTGATTCATTCGACTTTCATCTAGGGCCTGCAGAGATTCGAAAATAAATGGCGCCTGAGAATCCCATTGTTGAGTAGCAAACTCGAGCTTCCCAGCTGCTAGCTCTACCTTCTGAGCGCTGGCTTTGCCACCCTTCCTACTTAGCTTATCGGTCCGCTCTTGGGCATCTTCTAGCTCCCTAGCCATATTCTGAAGGTTTCCTTGGATGGTCTGAAGGTTTATCATCTCTTTCTTCTGGTGAAAGCTTCGTAGGGGTATCTCAACATCCTTCTCGACCTTGGTGGCGAATATATGATGCGACATAGCAAGGGCATCGGCGGATTGAATGATCTTGTCCCATTGTGGTTGGAAAGTCCTTGGTGATGATGATATCGTCAATATTAGGGAAATAGAAAGGGGTCGCGATAAAGATATTGCGGCATTGAATAACATACCCAAGTTCCGACTGCGCATTAGGGACCCGAAACTGGGTTAACCTCTTTAAACCTTGGACATATTGCTCCTCTACTTTCCGACGCTCCTGTGTCGCAGTTTAGCTATCTGATGATGGTTGGATGAATGGGTGGTGCGTATAGCGTATAATACCTGTAACCAATCGGCGATCTCGGTGTTGACTTTGGAAATGCGCTTGACTCGGTCGTTAAGAGCATGAACTGCTTGGTTAGGATGGAGGTTTGCCTGTAGAATTTGGGTTGGGTTATCAGTCGCTTCCGTGCGCATATAGCATTATGGTATAGAGGAGGCAAATCGAAGAGGTAAGCTTACCAGCATAGCTGGGTACTCAGCCCTTGAGAGATCTTCCATCGCGATTAAGGACGAGCGCAATCATACAGAGGTAACAGAGGTAGTACGAGCAAAGACGTAAGAGGGGGGCGATAGAGAGACATATAAATACGGGATTAAAGAGAGGAGCGAAATGAAATAGATTACGAGAACATTGGAAGAATAGTGGTTAAACCAAAACGCAATTGACAATGACGACGAGAGAAGAGACGAGACGAGGTTGGTATTGATTATGATATTAGTATTTAGTATTAACGGTCGGGTTAGGTAAGGTGAAAGGTGGATATACCTAGCTTGAAGGGGCGTGTGCTCTTTTTTCCGTTTTCTATGAATGCTGTTAGGTACTAGGCTTATTATAGGCTTGTTACTGGTATTATTACGCTATACCCTATACCTAATCCTTCTACTTAGCCTTCTAAGTGGAGTTGCTGTGCCGAGGTGGAGTGTGGGTTCTTCCTTTTAGCTCCTGCTACTTCTCACAAACCAGGAATCCCGTTAAGACATTAATCGGCATGTAGGCAAATACCATAGGTAATTTAGAGGTACACTTACTTTAGTATCCAACCTTAGGCAAGTAAAGAGGAACCGGTCCAACCTTCTGGAGTTCTTTAGTCTTGGTCTTCAATAATTCCATGTATGAAACATTAATCCTATTACCATATTCTAAAGCCTCATATACGGATCCTCAATTACTATTTCCAAATCTACATCATCCTATGTAGGTAATCTCCCAATCAAGAAAACCCTAAGCCCCAAGCCCCAAACCCCAAACCCCGCCATCATGACCTCCAATTCCGACTGGAGAGCCTCACTCAGCTCATCCGATCGTTATGATAATATCCAAACCATGTAAGTCCATCCAAAGTTTATTTCTTCTAGATATTTCTAAATACATACTAATATTACTATTCTTTTTAGAAAGGATGCGCTTGACGGGTTAAGTGATACAGACCCTTCCTCTCAGAAAAGCGCATTTGTCCTTGAGAATGAGGCGTACAAGACCTCCACGTCGCGTGTAAGTAACCTCATATCTACCCCCGTATCCATGGCTTATAATTCGCCCATCTTAAATTTCCGCAGAACACTTACTCCGCAGTAGGCTCAGTATGATGAAGCATGCCGGAATTTACTAGAGCAAAAAGCACCGGTTTCACCCGAGGTGCAACCTGCCTCAATAGAACAAGTCGCCCCAGAATCTCCTGGCACCACTATAGGACATTATCAAAACTGTCATTATGTCGCAAGTGGACTTACTGCCGAAGTCTATAGGTCAAGTACAGTGGCTCTCAAAGTAATTGTTGATGCTTCTGTCGGGGAACCTCATAATCCTTTTAGAGAAGCCAAGATCTTGAAGTTGCTAAAAAGGCCGTGTATTCCTTTGCTAGAGACTTTCCGGGATCAAGAGCAGCGCTTTACTTTAGCTTTTCCGTTCATGCCCCTAAGTTTAACGACTCTTATTGAGCAGGGCCGTATACCAAGAGCCAGGATACAGAAGCATTTTACGGACCTCTTTAATGCTCTAGTTTATATCCACGAGAAAGGTATAATACATAGGGACATCAAACCTTCAGCACTTCTACTTGAGTCGGCCGATGGTCCCGCCTACCTTTCCGATTTTGGCGAAGCATGGCATCCTGAGCTCTCGATTCACACGGAACCTGCTCATAACAAAATCCTAGACGTTGGCACTGGCCCATATCGTGCACCCGAGACACTATTCGGCGATAAGTCGTATGGCCCCGCGGTCGATATGTGGGCAGCCGGAGCTATGCTCGCTGAATGCTGCCGAGAGACTCCTCGAGAACTTTTTGAATCCCGAGCGGCCCACGAAGATGGAAATCAGCTCGGCCTAATATTAAGCATTTTCAAGACAATCGGAAGTCCAACTCGGGAGTCATGGCCGGAAGCAGTGAACTTCAAGACACCCCCATTCGACATGTATCGAGTATTTGAAGGCCATTCTTGGGATGTTCTTCTACCGGATGTTGAAGAAGATTTTCGGGAACTTGTTGCTGCATTAGTAGTATATAGCAATCATAAAAGAGCTACTGCATCCCAAGTAAGTGTCCCTTATAAGATCTATTCCTCACTCAGCGCTAATACCATCTAGGCATTGAAATTTAGATGCTTGCTACAGGAATAAATTATTATCTTTGACCCACTACTCTGTAGGTCAATCATGACCATGACGAGTAGCCGGTAAGTCTGCGTCGTTATAAACACATATACAGGGACTTCTAGCCGTAGCGCCTGAATTAGCTTGAAATAGGATCAATCCTCAGCTTCCACCCTTTAAGCTTACTCGGCGCGATATTTCCTTAGCTAGGATCACGCCCGTGGCAGCCTATGTGTCAATCTCGAATTGCAACTAGGCATAGTACCTAATTGTCCTAAGTGCCGAACACTTCAAACTCTGCTTGTCTCCGATGTGGGCCATGTATGTATTCGATGGATACTTCAAGCGGTACTTTAAAGAGACAGTTTTCCTTTTCTCAAATACCAAAGACCCACAGCGACGATAGGTGCTATGATGGACGTTGTACCGAGCATACCCTTCATGAACGCCGTCTTTAACTTCGGGGCGGCCACTTCGCCAAATTCTTCTGGCGTATTGAGTGACGGCCACTCTTCATCGGGTACTGGGACGCCTAGGTACGGGCAAATCTCGTCCCATCCGAACCCATCCTCGAGCTTGCACACCTTTAGCTGCTCTGGTGGGACAAGACGCTTTACTTCTGCGATACTGTGCCCAGCATGTCAGAATATCAGCTTCACGAGAGGGGTTTTAGTCTAACGTACTAGTTCGTGTAATTCTCAGTAAGATATTTATGCCCTTCCGGAGTCAAGCCATATCCGTTGGTGTAGTAACCTACTAGCACCCGACCCATAGAAGATATGCCATAGGCAAACCCGTCGAAGTACTTGAATATAGACATCGGAAGAGAGCTGAATTTTGTTTGCATCATACCAATGGTGTTTTCGAATGACCTCGCCCACTTGTCCGGGTTTCGTTCCGTCAGGAGAAATTTGGCGTCCGGGTAGGTCTTCAACACCGAGCGTATCATGAAGAAGGGCATTTCTATGATTACCTGAAATACAGCAATCGTGAGTTCGGATCGGACAGGTAGGAACAGCGAGGAATACATACGTCATAGTCGGCGAACCATTTATCGAACTCTGCGCGGCCATCTTTGCTTCATATTAGCTCTCTGTATATTTACTGGCGCATTTCCTGGAAATTTCACTTACATGGCTTGCCCTCGTGGAGAATCTCAGCCCTGAGCCCATCACTCAAAATATGCAATGCTTGAGGGCCGGCTTTGATGACCTCAGCCATATGGTACGGCTTAAAGCCTAGAAGCTTCAAAGCGAGATAGAGGCCATGGGTGCCGGTTCTGCATCTAGTAAGAAGCTGTTTCTTAAATATTCAATATAAAAGGTCCTAGACCTTGCTCACCTAGGTGCGCTTAGCACTATTAGTTTCTTAGGCTCGATATGGGTCGGGGTTGGAAGTAGATCGATCTGGCGAGGCATGACTGCTAAACTACCTAACGTATGTAAGCTCTCGAATGAAGACGTGTATTATGATGGCGTGCTATTGCGTGCTAATCTACAGTCATAGTCAGGGTGCTTGCGACTGGGCTATATAAAGGAGCCCATCCTTCCTCCCTTATTCTACGGCTACCGGTTCTCGGTCTTTTCCATACATATTCATTCTCTCTTGGGAGTAGCTCTATGGAACCATCATCATAGAATACATATGTTTAATTTAATGTATTTACTCGCCCTTAAATCTTTACCGATGTCCGAGCTTCAGCTAGCTGTCACGAAGCGAATCCGGCATGCTATATATTTCTATGTATAAGTCTAGTTTCGGTCCTACGCGTTGGCCTATCGATACAGCGAGCTAAGGAGCTATGTCCAAACGCGCAAGGGTTCGATATGGGGGCATTTGTGGGCAAGGTGGGCATCCTCGTGCTGGGTACCATCAAAAGCCCGACTTCGCAAGCTCTCTAAACTGGACTGGCAGACTGGGTCTCGGGTTCCAAGGACGAGAATGAAACCCTACAGATCGGGATCGGCGATTGATTTGCGCGCCTCATCTCACTGAAGAATATTCCGTGCCCTTTCAACGACATGCCGGTGTTATCACCACCTAGTATGCGTCTAGAGCACTCGTTTAACTCGTCTTATTATCCTTGCGATACTCAAACGTACCTAGGAGAATACCTCCTAGGAGAAAGTCAATAAGGGAATAGCTTCTATTTTCTCCTTGAAATATGGGTCTTTGACAACATGTCAAGATGAGCGAAGAGTCTACGGTTGGCTAACGCTGTCCACACATCAGAAACGGGACGCTAGTCTAGTCTAAGATGGTTCCTGGATGCTACTTCGGCTTCGAGGATATGGGCCCCCGGATGCCGCCCGATAGCCGACAGCCGCAGTCAACTTCAACGTTCCTTATTCGGACTGCCGGACTACTTAAATTCCCGGCGAGAAAGGTATATGGAGCTCGCGCGTCCTTTTCCTTTCCATTGCCGGACAAGGCTATCGTATATATTCGCATCTACTGCTGAAACCCAACCGATCATACCATCCTTAATGTGGCCGGCATCGAGATCTCGCGCTCTGCAGCACGGCAATTAACGAAGGAAAGAAATATGCGTTATGATTCAAGCGGATATCGTGATAAAGCTACGACGAAAGTTTCGGACCATATACGGCATGTACAGGATGGGATTACACTCATGGGAGGCTATATGGAACTTCCGGTACCGTCATTAGTCGGTATAAATGAATCTAATTTCCCGTTGGTGCCCTTGAGTCTGGTTAGATATTGTTTGCTGTAACGTACTAGGAGACGTTCCGGGATGCGTTGCCAAACACATTATACAAGCATGTGGTATCCAGTCGAAGCAAGGATATTACTGGGAGAGAAGCTTTTCTCAACCCCTATATTTAAAGGTTGAGATAATACGGATTACTCTTCACTAATCCCAGTCGTAAAAACACCAAAGAAGTCACCTGTGATTCCAGGAGCCTGGGTCGTATTATCATCAGAATAGAGTCGAACTAGTGGAGTAGTTCCGGAAATTGACGTGTCTAGCATTCTGATAATATAATTCCGTTAGGTACCTACCTAGTGTATGTATGCATTCTACTCACCGTAGATCTACAGAGAGAGATGTATTGACTAACAGAACTGAAATAGTTATAGAACTTACTCAAACTTAGCATGCTAATACATAAAAATTAAATTAAATACCTTACGTTAGGTAATTAACCATAGTTCTACTCAGTATATAGAATACTAGTACATTCCCAACGACAACCTCCACGTTCGTTCTATTGATTTATAAAACGCACCATCTAAAAGGTCGCTACCACGAAGTATGCCCACCGTCTATCACAAGATTAGATCCAGTCATGAAGCTGCTCGCATTGCTCAAGAGGAACAACGCCGCGCCCTTGAACTCCGTCGTCTTCGCCAGCCTCCCCATCATATTTTCGCCTTTCCACTTGTCCTTAAGAGAAGGTACTTCCTCGAAGTTTTTAAGTACCATAGGCGTCAAGATGTGTCCGGGGCTCAGGCAGTTGACGCGGATCCCTCCCGTCCCATCGCCCTTGATCGGGCTCCATTCCATTGATAAACTACGCGCCAGTTGGATCAACGCGGCCTTGGATGAATTGTAGACCGACGATAGGAGGCCTTTGTTGGCTACGCTGCCGCTCATGCTTGCCACGAGACATATGCTTCCTCGGCATTTGTACTTCATCATCTGACGAGCGGCAGATGTCGCGGTCATTAATACGCCGGTGAAGTTAACAGCTAACATCTTAGCAGAATCGGCCGGCTCGTAGTCGACGGCTGGTGTAATCTGTTGGATACCGGCGGCAGCGATGACACCGTCCAGACGCCCGTTATCATCTGCGATATCCGTTATTGTCTTATCCAGATGTTTTGTATCCAGGACATCTTGCTGCCGATAATGAAGCGAACCTCCCCATTCGGGAACTACTCGTCTTCTGGCCTCTGCCCAGTGCTTATCGGGGTTTTCCTCACGATCGAGACAGTAAACTGGATATCTGTTAGCAAGGGCAAGTGACAATGGATAGCGATACATGCGCATGTCATGTAGCTTCAGGGCAGATATCACCTTTTCCTCCCGCCTCAACAAGGCTCTCAGCAAGAGCAAGGCCTAAACCCCTTGCAGCTCCCGTTACGACGAAGACTCTGCCCTTCAAGTCGAAGTCAGCGAGCCGCTTCTGACCGACATTAATATCAGCAGTAGGGGCTAATTCATTCGCCGGATTTTCTCGCGGATCTGGGTTGGTAGGTTTCGATAGCAGGCCAGGTGAAGAGTGCAATAACCTAAGCTGCGCTGGAGCAGGGTTACTAAAGGGAACCGCCCGTAGGGTTCGATATATAGAAGGATGTAATACACTTGGACGAGTGCGACCCAAGGTCCGCGCCAATCTCGGACAAAGAGACATTATGGGGGATTTTTATCGAAACTCATTTACAAGAGCTAGTGTTTTACTGAATATATTGCGCCAGAAACGCTTCACAAGTCAGATCAAGACCAAGATGGAAAAGCAACTGGGCTTATCAGTAGAACGCACGATGAGTTGAAGCTGCAAACGCGACGAGCCACTGATGTATGGATTCCGTCATGTTGAATACAGCAGCGACAATCAACTGCTTCGCTACTTAGAATAGTAATATCAAGTCGTCGATGCATTAATAGACGAGACAAATCAGCTCGCTTTCCTTTGATTCGTGTTGCGTCAAATCCAAATAAAATAAATCATGGTGTAGTAGTATGTCGTGTACCTTGTCGACGATAAAGTCTACAAATGATACGATACCATCGACGTCAGAAATGCGGGGAGGGGGTGCGTGTTAGCTCAAGAATGACGTACGTATTCCGAAAAGTAGGGGTCCCGTACCATTATCTGATCCGTGCAGGGGTCCGACATCTTCATTCCGGCTGTCGGGAAGGGAAACTCTGATGATATCCTCGAAATTAGAAGATTTGCTATACTATTGATATGTGTGCGTATCCGACTTATTATTATTATTAGATTATTACAATATAATGAGGCCTAGTACTTAAAGGCGGCGTCATAGTACAACGATCTTAACCCCTATCTCAACCCCCTATTCTGGTTAAGGAGTACTACGTATATCTTCTAGGCCAAGCAAAACAATATCATAGTAGAACCAACTACACCTTTAATTATAATAAAAATAAAGGCTGTGTATATTTATATGAATGCGGACTTTCTTTGCCTATTTAAGTACCTAATCTAGGAGAATACCTATTAATCATTCGAGACGCAAAACCATGAAAATATTATCATAAGCGATTTAATAATAACCAATTACTTTACAATCCTATCCATATCGTAAAGTTAAATCCCAATCCCTACAACTCCCATGATAATGTCTTGTTTAAACTCCAAGCCTTTGTCTCTTGAAGCTTGTCACGGAACATAAGCTGTGCACATATCCCGGCGCTGATATGGAACAAGTGCGATACAGATGCCATATTGCTCCCTGATCCAGAACATGGCAGGCGTTTCAATGAGTATTTAGTTCATGCCGCCCTATTCTTATCTTTTGTAGTCTGTCATTGATCTCGCTCCCATGCGCATCTGTGATAAAGCTTGCAATCCTTGTAAAGTTCATTGTCTTAGTTTGTATTGTATCAAGTCTAATAATGGCAAGTGGATTGTTCGTTGCCCCTAAGCACGCTGGAGAAAAGCGTCCTAGGGAAGATGATAAATATGAGTCGAGGCCTGCTAAGCGTGTTCGTCAGGAGCATAGTGGGTTGTTTTGTGCGCCATCGGGACGACAGACAGTCTATCAACCAAGACCGTCGATTCAAAGACAAACTCAACCGCGTACTCAACCACCCTCTCAAGAGCCAACTCAAGAAGTAGTTCAGCCGATCCCACCGTCTCAGTCTTTCAAAAAGCGTGAAAAATCCGAAGTCTCCAGTAGGAATTCCACGGATCGAGTTCCCTCGCTGGACTCTCAAATGTATGATTCTATCCCGAGCATTAATTTCAAGTTCCCTTCCGAATCTTCTAGTACTGAGACATCTGATCTTTCTGATTCTACTGGCACTATCTCATTTCACGACATCCTCAATGATATCTTACGGGCCCGCTCGAATCTCGAAGACGTTATCGCGGGCCGCAGATCTATATCAGAGGATCTAAACCCTGAACATCTTACGGTGAAGCTAACCCGCAAAAACCTTAGGAGACATCGCAAAGTTGAGAGAATGCGCCATGCTGCCGCCCAATCGATCCCCCTACCCTCAGCTCCGCCCCGTCGTCCGATCTTCAAATCAGTAAACTGGAACAGAAGGGCTAGTCGACCATATAAAGATGGTAGCGTATCACCACGTGGGAAATAAGGGGGAGATATATCTTGAACACGATGTGCGGATGCAACACTGATATTGATGTTTATCCTCTGATTATTCATTAATAATCATGATATAACGCGCTGCTATGGATATTAATATGAAAGAAATATGTCGCGCAATACTTATGTAGATACACAATTTAAATATCAATTTACTCATGGGGTATATCGTAAGTACTCAAGCTTGTTTCGCCCGCAATTCTAGCCCGGATCCTACATCTTCAAATTTTACAGTCATAGCCCTAACTGACTTCTTCAAGTATCCTTCTTTATCAGCATCCCTAAGCTGCGCTCGTGTTTGGACATCGACGGAGTGCGTAAGCGTGGCGATCATATTTGTCTTCCAAGGATCTAGATGTAGTCTATGCGTCTCTATAATAGTCCATACGCAGAAAAGGAAGCCGAGGGCTATAGTGATCAAGGGAAGGATCATATAATACCAATTAACACGGATGTGGATGATCCACTCCCGCCCAACGCCCGGAGTTTTTACATCAGAGATGTCGCGCATCCAATTCGACACGGTCCAGGCAGCCTGGTCAAAGGTAGCCGATAGATCTTGGCTTTGGTATAGAGCCTGTGCAACTGGGATTGGTTCGGTATTTAGTCCTACTGGCCAGGTCATAACTTTGTTCAAGAGATCCTCATTGACAAAGCGAACTGTGCTGCCAACAGTGTTTTCCGTCAAGTTGAAACGTCGAGTAACATTTTCGGGTAGTTTATACTTCTCGATGTCTCCGTCGGGTATGAATAATTCGAGATTACTTCGGTTGACATCTCCATATTGAGAATAGAGCGAATAGTTATTCCACTTCTCGTAGGCATCAAAATTCCTAACGTCCTTGAGGTCATGATAGGAATCAAAGTCTCGTTCGGCCCAAGATGCCACAATGTTTTCCGTAAGGACACCTTTCTCGACGGTAGACTCATACGCATTAGTGCAGAAATATAAAGCACACTCGGTTGCCGAAACTGGAGTCTCGTCCCATGTCAGCTTTCCTGCTTCATACTCCGGCGCGGCTCTTAGAACCTCTACCGCAGTGATCATTGTCGTTAAATTTTGGTATGCGAGGGTAAGCTTCGGGTCTGTAATCCTTGTTGCAGACATGAAGGCAACCAGGGAGAAGAGAGTTTTGCCCTCGGCTAGGTCAATGTCGGACGGATTTGAAAGGTTGAGACTGGGTAAAGAGTTTATAGTGAAGTTTGCGGTTATAGCTTTGGTATTTGAGGATAGAGTTCCTTTGTTTATTCCGTATTCATAAAAGCGTTGCAGGTGGTCCGTTACGTTGCTACATGAGCTACAAACTGCCAACGAGGTGAATACCGGCCAGGTGCAATTCGCAGTAGGACAGGTAAATGAAGTAGTTTGCTTATCGCGGTTTGAAGAATTATAAAACCCGTTATTGAACGAGGATAGCATCCCTAGGTCTGGTAAGGTCTCAAAGGGGTCAAGAGATATAGTCAAGTCGGAAGGTGTTAGTTCTAGTTCTCCAACTCCAGTCGAAGGGTCGCCGGTGTACGAGCCTATGTCAAGTGCCTCGCTGCGGCTGAGTTGGATCATAGAAGAATCGACGCTCGGGTCACCTTGCCCTGGGAATGAAATAACCGCTTGTAGGAATGGTTCGAAAGCCATTAATAATATTGTAACGACTGCACCGATAGCTACCCAATGACTGAATAAAAATCAGCTACCGGGGCATTCAGAGCATGACCAAAAAGGATGGACTCACCGGATTCGAAGCCAAATAATAAGCCACAAGCTTCCCCATGGCCCCCGACTAGCATCGTCAAACCTATCAAAGGCGATGAGGTTGTCTGGTCGCTTTTTGAACCAGTTCCATTTAGCCTGGCCAAGACACGAACTGATGGCAAATCCTAGAGATGTTCGAGAAACAGCCCCCAAGCCGGAGATTACGACGTTGACCGAGATGGAGCCTTTCCAATCAGATAGCGGGCGACCATTCACGTATATCAACAGCGCAATCAAGGCTGCTAATGCGCTGAAGCTAACAACTAGCGCCCCTATCTCCAAGTTCCAGTTGTGTCCGCGTGTCGAAATGATTTGGGGTTTTGATTTAGATGGTGTTAATAGAAAAGGTTCCTCGGCGCCGGAATATTCGAACTGTGTAGGATGTAAGGAGGGCGCTTGAGGAGGAAGCGATTTACTGCTAATAGTCGGGAAGCTAGACCCGGACTTGTCTTGGGCGTAGTACGGCGATGGTGACGGTTCCGGCGTCTGCGCCTGCGCTTGCGCCTGACCTAGATCCCCATGGACTGGTTGATATTCGAAAGGGCCATCGGGTTGACCCGTGTATCCCGTATAACCCGTGTAGGTATTGTAACCGGAAGAGTAATAATATTCGGGTTGGTTACCGAGATAGTAGACTTCGTTATTTCCACTCCCACTTTGTGGGACGTTCTCCATCGGATTCGAGGAACTAAACAGAGAAACTAAATGGAGAAGCTTACGGAGTTGAAATGAAGAACAGGGCCTCAGCTAGCTTATATAAACTTCTATATCGTACAAGACTCGTATAAGACACCGCGTCGCACCATGGACTGGCCTAGAAGCCTTAAGTAGCCCAAAACACCATGTTACATCTGCAAGTATGAATCGTTAATTGGGGGCCGTTTCTCACACGTGCGATTGGAAATGTATGTAACCTCAGGTATGTGCTAAATGCTAATAAGGCTGGGAAGAGGGTGCGAATTTAAGGATAATTGGAAGGTTAGCCGCATAGCTAATAACCTTGTTAAAAGAACACGAACGAACCAATTAAATCTGCATAAATTCTCCTAAGCGCTTTACATACATACAGGGATGTTACGGGACCAACCACATATAAGCATATCTCCCCATATGAAGCTGAAGGAATCCTACCGGCAAACTCCTGCGAAGCCCCAATATGCTACGAATTATATGATATTTAACAGGTAGCCTAAATATAATAATCGCCACCCGATTAAGGAGGCTTAGCCTGTCGTACTTGAGTAATCATAATTCGTATCCTTATCCAAATTGTACCAGCAGGTAGATCTAAGCACCAGGAACTACACATACACTAAACATTCATACATAACCAAGACGTAGGAATCTCATGCTAAAAAAAAGAAAAAAACTACGAATCACCCTTAGAAAGAAGAGAGATAGTTAAGCACCATAATGTTAGAATTTATAATTCAACTAGTACCGTCCTATGACTTACGAATACTGAACATGTTCCAGTACTATTACCATTAGCCTCACCACTATACACCTGATCCAACCATTTCTTCTACAGAGTGGTTTATAACTAACCAGGTTCCTAGGTAGGATTACCCCCTTAGTACCTGAACTATTCTACCAAGCCCGTCCGGTTTCCTTTTTATTAAGCATTCCTTGCTGCTCTCCTATCCGACCCGAGATAATCAATCGGGTTACGACATAGGGGGCATGTATTTTGATTGCTGCTCTGGAACCACTTATACAGACAGGTGCGGTGGAAGAGGTTTTTACACGTCTGGCAGCGTTTATCTGGCGTCTTCTTGTCGCTGCTGATAATGCTATAGCAGATGGCGCATTCGGTCTGTCCTTTCATGGCACCCACTATGTTACGGCGGAAAGTCGTGAGGCCATCAATAATGCTGCCACCCTATCATCATGATGTGAGATACAATGTCCAAGTCTCAGGGGTAATAAGATGTTAACTCACCGAAAATGTTATCACGGCCTGCGTTGTCATGATCCAGCTCTGCCACTTCCTCTCGTTGACCGCGACGCGGTTTATTCCCGACACCGAAACATTCTCGAGAGGAAACTCCTGCGGGAGACGTATCGAAATCGATGCTTGTAGCTCATCCACCTCGTAGCCAGCAGTAACCTCTCTAGCAGCGCGACTCACTTTCACGATCAACTCGTTTTCGCCTTCTGCAGGCGTCTCCTGGGCTGTGGACCAATTCTCAACGTCGTCCAATGCTTCTGATATGATGATAGGGGAGAAGAACTCCGTCATCCAGCCTTCCACCGCAATCTTGGTCTGCTTTGACCGGCATTCCATGTACCACGTCTTGAAGAGACTGGGAACATATTTTAACACGAGGTAGTATAAATGGACGAGGAGCCACTGCATGTTCCTCTCTTCAGTCTCGGCTTCGGCGAGCTTTATGTCATACTTCTTAATATGCTCCTTCGTAAAGTTAACCTTATCTAGGTTTAAGGCATGGGCCGCTGAATGACCTAGAACATCGAAAGTGAACTCCATCAGTGGACCAACATAATTAGCTGCTTTAAGATTCTCGGCATAATCACTGCGTACTTTAAATGCCGCAGCTTTGAAAGAGTCAAAGATGAGATGCCACGAGAGAAGATAAGAGCGAATTGGCGATGGGAAACGGCCGAGGGCTTCATCAGAGTACTTCTCCAGCGTTGGGGCATCGAGAAGAAGAGATAGGAGCTCGTCCGGAAGCTGAGCCGCTTTCTTCTCCAGTAAAACGTCTAGCGATAGATCCTCCTGGGCGGCAGGAAGTGCTTTGTGAAGAATGGTAAACGCTGCTGTTTGGATGCCCCGCGAGTCGCTTGCTACTAGACCATATAACTCCGAGAGATCCTTTATGTGGTGCAGAGGAAGCTTTTCTACCAGCCGGCAGATAATTGAGTCTACAATCTCTAGGGGTTGTGTATCTATGTCCCTAGGAATTTTGAGTAGCTCAATCAATGCAGCTGATATTTTCTCTGCAGATGTCTGCAAAACATCAATAAGGTCGTCATTAGGTTCTTCGAGTGATTGCAACGTAGTATATAGACGAAGAGAAGCGTGAAGTTCAGGCAACCGACATTCAAGTGGCCCAGTCGTCGGTTTTGTCCAGAGATATATGCAAAAATCCACAGCCTTCTCCCAATAAGGGCCATAGATGTCCTTGACACATGGGAGGAGGCGCTGGAGGCTACGGCAAGCTTCTGCTCCGAAACGATAGTCGAGGTCTTCAGGAGTGTCCAGCCACGACGTAATTTGCTTGACCGCGAAAACTAACCGATTGTTCGCGACTGGAAGTTCACCGGCATCATATATCTGCGTGCAAGCATTGAGAAGCACAAGAAGAATAAGACTTTTATCCTGATTAGGACCGGCTCCTGCAATATCGCTGACCAGGCGGTTGCAGAAGTTGCTAACTGCTCTTGAAGTAGAAAGTGCTTCGCCAAGGCCACTAAGGATTGCGACAGCAGGGAAGACAGTAGAGGCGTTATTCTTGAGTATATCCAAATCAGATAGCCATTGCTCTCCGCTAGAAGGGAAGCCGTGCTTCTCTGCTAATGCTTGGAGAATCTCACTCAAAGCCCGCGCACAATATAGACCCATAGGTGTTAAGGGCCTTGACTCGTCAATTAGTGTTCGTATGATGTCGTACATTAACCGCGACTTATCCGTGTTGGAACCATCTCGCCAATTAGCAGCATCCTCTGTCATATCGACGATGACCTTTCGCGCAGATGAGACCAACTCTTCAGCATTTGATAGAGAAGCATCAGAGGAAAGCGAACTCCAAATCTGATTTTTACCTTTGACTGTTAGTTGATCTGTCACTAACTGTATGGTCAGGCTCAGATATATCACGATCTCCACACGCTTTAGAAGTGGCAGGGCGTCGAGCTGAAAACCCGCGGAAAGCAGCTTAGCGATGTATATCGCCATGCGCCCAGGAATTGAACAGCCATCTCGATCTCTTCTTGCAGATGTACTTGACGTAGCCAGCGTGGATGTAGGGAGGAAATAAGCACCACCAACAACACTTGTGAAGGCGAGAGACTGGTTGGGTGTCTCTTGTAGAAAGAGAGCTAACTCTTCCCTCCATATCTTTGTGTCTGGTATCAAATTTCCTAGTTGACCATTACTCTCTGCATCGGTAACAGAACTTTGAATAACTTGCCGGACAAGAGTATCAACGCTGAGGCATTGTTAGCAGGGCTATAAGATAACATTAGAGTAAAAACATACGCAAGCGAGCTCGAGTCAGCGGTAGAGATACTTCGCTGCACGAGGCCAGATAGCCGAGAACTGCCGGTTGATGGGGTTTCCATCAACCCCTTTAGCACGGCTATATCAGAAGTAGCATCAAACCGTTCGGAAACACTTAGCAAGTTAGTCATCAAATTCATGTGAGTCACTTCGTCCTGAAGTAAAATATCTGGCTTCTTCTCCGCTATAAGACGTAAGCCCTTGATTACACCTGGATTTGGCTGACCTAAGGCGTTCATGATGCGACCTCCAAGCTCCGCCGTAAGTCGACTCGCAGCAGCGTCTGTTAACGCATCAAATGTCAACACCGCATCGAAAAGGTCCCAGCCTGAATCTGTGGTGCCGACAGCACACATCAGGCACCGCTTTATTAATTCTGCTTGTAAGCTCTGGAACTGCTTGGCAAGAGCGCCAGCTTCCTTGGTGGAAATGAGAGTAGTGAGGGCTGGCAAAATGCTGGGGGGTTCGGTGTATTCTAGAAGGGTCGTGATGTTTGCCTTCCAAATTTTCTCGTATTCCTGTTTCTGTTCAGGAATATGGCCTAACAGGTTGATGCTTGAGAAAATATATGATGCAGCTGGTGACTGGATGAACTCAACTCCATTAGTTTGTAGCGTGTTTGTGAGATGGTCGAACACATCGCTTGTAGCAGCTGAGAATTGCCTAAAAAGGCGCGGGGATTGCTTGAAAGCTGATTCTACGGTAGCTGCTGCTCCAAATGGTTTCCACTTCCTTGTTTCTAACAACTTGAAGACATCCTGAAGTAATTCTAGGGAATACTTGGCAGGGATATCCGGGATGGGACGGTCAGTCCCTAGTGTTTTCTCATGAGCGTCCGAAATTAAACCCGTAAAAGTGAACCATCTATAGCCCTCGTCGGCTATTGCCTTCTGTGACTTTTCATATTCCTTCGATGCCTCGGGCAACGAGTTGCGGATGCGGGCTCTGAAGTTCTCCTTCCATTGGCCCCATTCTGAGTCCGTGGCCTCTATAACTTCCTTGAATGGTGACGTTGCTGTTGATGTGTATGCTTTGATTAGAATTTGTACTTGGCTTCCAGAAGCCCATGTTGATGTTTCAGGGGTTGGATAGAAATAGTGCGTCATCAGAGGGAATATGTCTTCTTGCGCTATCTTAACTCGGTCCTCAATGGAGTTCATCACCTTGATAAACTTTCTAGCAGTGTTGAGGTACGTTGACCAGCCATCAATAGCACTACTGCGAGGTTCCTCTCTCCTGGTTAGACCTAACCTCATAGATTTTAAGAAATCCAAGGCGCTGTCTAGGTCCTTTGGAAGTATGTCGGTAGGTATAACTTCTATCAGGCGATTGAGTGAGACCCAGAACTTCGATCCAGCACTCTGGGAGCCCTTCTCCAAGAATATTTTTAGTCTTGACGCCGCTGATTTCTTTCCCCGATATTCAGATGTCCACACAGTTGGGTGCCTGGCGGTCAATTCCGTCAATGCGTCAACATAATTAGCCGCGGAACCAACTTGGCTACAGGTCAAGCCTTCGGCTACAAAAGTCTTACTAAGTCGGCCAAGGTCTGCCTCGATCCTTCCTGGTCTTTTCTCAAGGCATGCGATCAAGAGCTGGCAGGACAGTTGCCTCACGACGGCATCGTTAATAGAAACGCTCTTCCAGACCTTATCCTGTTCGAAGAATTGATCATAACCGTCCTGATACTTCTCAAGATCCGCAGGACTCAGTTTCTGTAAGAGACCTAGGACTAGCGCAAGACTACTTCCTAGGACTCGATATGATTTAGCCTCGGAATCATCGACGCTCGTAGATCGCTCGTCGCTAAGGGTTTGCGTAGTCTCCCTTATCGCACCAGACGCATAGTCTAGGATCTGCGGCTGGCATCGCTTCCAAAACTGGACCACTTTCTCTGGGCTTGTGAGAAAGGAAGATAACCCTTCCGTAGCCGCGCGAGATACGACTTTGTCTCTATCGAATGTTCCAGCAAGCCAAGAGCCTACAATCTTAGGCACATGTCTCTCCGTACGCTTGCGACCAGATTTCATTAACTCATACTGCAATATGTGGGAGAGCTCGCGGACGCGACGGGCATTTTCTATCGAAACGCGAGGATATAGCTGGACCTATTATACACATTACTAACTAAGCAGGGTAGTATATTGATCTACGTGATTTGCACGCACCCAAGCCTCTAGGATAGGCTCCTCTATGCCTCCATCTCGCTCATATGGATGAGCCTGAACATAGGTCACTAATTCTTCTAAGGCCTTTGCTTTAGTTGTAGCATCCTTCTTTTGCAGGTTCTTAAGAGATACGACAACATTGGCGTCAGATATGGAGGAGAGATTGGGGGGTTCGGCCAGGTAGGATAGGTCGGCACCTCTAGAAGCAGTTGAGAAAGCGCTGAAGGTACTGGATCCGAAACTCGTAAATGTGTTGCCGGCGGCGGCACGCGACTTGGCTGGTTTACGGCTCATGGCAACGGGAGCAGCTGTGTTTAGTTTTAGTTCCTGAAGCCACGCAAGCTCTCTCATTCGCTACGTAGCTTGTCGCTTGTTGCCAACCTGCACGCCGATATTTGGAAAATTCCGTGCTCGGGTCCCTTCAGCCTTGCGCAATAGGAGGTAAATGATAGTTGGTAGGGAGGTCACGATATAAAGAATGCGCTGTTAGTAATAAAAGCTTCGAACCATATAACTATCGTTTTCCGTAGATTGGCTTGGGATATTTTGACCCCACGGTGGGGTTTACGTTTTTTTGTGACGTCGCCTATCCAATGATCCTTATGTAAGTCACTGTGCACTTAAGCATGCAGGTACTTATGTACTAACTAGGTAACTCATAGCACGTGCTCCCCGTTCTTATCCAGATTAAGCCGAGTTTTCCCGCATTCTATGTATATAGGTACCTTTTAGGTAGACTACCTAAGATTCTAAACACTGCAAAGCGTCGAATGAAGTAAAATATAAGCAGCGGCTTCTAAGAAGAGCAATTACATATCACCTCGGTATGGATATCTTAGTACGCTTACATACAAGAGCTTTCGTAGAATTGAAGTTAGTACGTGGTATGGGACCTGCATGCACGAAATGGAATGTACAATACGTAGGTACCTAATGTACTCGGGTAAGACCAGGGGGAAACGATTTACCCCACGGGTGTCTCCACTGTCCTAATTGGGGCAACTATGCTGCTTATGACAGTTTTAGCGTTCTTCTCCGCACTCCTATGAACTGATCCTCCCGTTTCAACCCGTTCCCGGGTTCCCCGCTTCCGCAACTCTCCGCCTAGAAGACAACTCCTCACATTCCCTTTCAAGTTCTAAGAGCCTCGGCGGGGATGGATAGGCAATCCAACTATACACACACACACACATCTTTCCTAGCCGGCCAAGTCGATGAGTTTGCTTTTGCTTCTATAGTCGATCTGTTGGCTTCGTGTAAGTGACACCCTTTCTTGTTGGCGATCGCCTTATTGTATCAACTATTATTATATTATTAAATATTGTGTCAATCCTCCGGACATTGGCAACATCTTTCGTATCTTCAACATTGCAATTATCGCACATCTGCCATCGCTGCTGACGCGTGTGCTTCTGCAGCGGACGGTATATGATGCTCCTGTTGCTTACGACTCAATCAATATGTTAACCCGCACCGTTTGTCAACCGCCGTTCAAAGCGAGGTCTCTTCAGACCAGAGCTGTGGCCTATGGCGCTCTACGACCTATTGGCAACTCACTGTTAAGGACCGGAATGAGCCAGCAGATCCGTAGCTATCGCTTTGGCATGTGGTCTTCCTACCTTGACCCTGAGTTCCAGAAAGAGATTCGACATCGCCAACGTGTGCTTAAGCATAAATATGTCGAAGCACTTCATAGAAAGTTATCGTGGGACCAGCGCTCCATCGATGGTCCCCCAAAAGTCGTTTTAAAGCATATGCTTCGTAGGTATTGGAGTCCAACCGGGCCAAGATGCGGCTCGCGGTTTGTCAACCAAGACGAATTGAACGATCGGCAACAACAGAGTCGAGTAACCCCAGACACTGAAAATGTACGCATGAAAACATCATGGGGTCCTAATTCATATGCCTCTTGGATGAGTCATTACGGCGATTACGTGCGATATTCGTCTACCCGTTCGTGGAAGTCTCGACTAGATGATGCGATGGACCATTGGGGTGGCAAAGCCTCAAAACACACGGCCCAGGCAGAGTCTCATGTGTATCCGTCAGAGTCGGCGAGTGTTAAACATAACCTAACTAAGGAACAAGAACATGCTTTTGGTGTATCGTCTAGTGAAGAGTATACTATTGATCCGATTACGATGCGTAAAATCCCAAGGACATTCGACGGACAAGCTACTGATACGACGTCATCCCCCGCCAATTCCTTCAAATCATATAGGGCTCAGTTCTCTGCATTTGCGCCACCCAAAGATGGAGAAAATCCAGGTCCTACTCATTCCGACGGCCCACCTTCTTCTACAGAGCTCAAAGAGTATGATAAAATCAAAATTGACGATGTACCATCTCATGGTGCCAGCGGTGGTCACGACGGAATACAGGCGTTGGGTGATAACGTAGAATCCCCCCGATATCCCGTGATGCAAAGCGAAGAGTACGCCCTAAATCATCTCCCGCCCGAGGAGCCAGACGAGCAGTATGATGACTTTCATAGATACCAAGCATATCAGCGCGACGAACTCGACGAACGGACCCCAGAACCAACTAAGAACTATGAAGATCTCGATAAGTACAAGACGTACGGGGCCAAAGAGGCAGAAAATGCCAGTGCAGAGGCATCCCAGGACTACAAAGACCTACATGAGTACAAGCCCTACATTCATAATGAAAATACAGACACCGAAAAGCATACAGAACGTTATGATGACCTGGGCCACTATGGACCATATAAGTATCAAGAAGGTGCGGCAAGAGACATTCCATCCACTGAATATGATGATCTCCATAAGTACAAGCACTATAAAGAAGACAGTGTCAAACCAGTGGACGACTCGGCACCCAAGTACGACGACTTGAATAAGTACGATCCAAAAACCTTTCCGGACTCTGCGCCGGAGGAGCAACCTTTCCAGCAATATGGAGACCTCGAACAGTACAGAATTTTCAAGTCTCAAGAACTCGACAATGCGGTCACCCTAGAGCGAGACATTGTTGCAGACTCTCTCTCGGAATTCGACGCAAAAGCGCCAGAACCAACCTTGGATAAGAACCCAACATCGAGTATATTGGATGGGCTTCAAAAGCTTGACCTCAACGACGTATCGCAGTTCTCGACCGCACAAGAGGGTCATCAACGTTCAGCTACGGAAACCGAATCTCGACCAAGTCAACCGAGATTGACTGGTAATTATCTTCGTGATTTCCCGGAAGATTTTTCGGGATCATGGAGTACCCCGGACGGAAAGACAGCGTATATTCAGGAGGCCGAGAAGCAATATTCAGATGAGCTTTCCGAGTCTACAAACTCCAAACCGTTGGAGACGAGCTTGGATAGGCAGCAGACTGAACCGAAGCTGGAAGCGGGTCTCAACCAGCCAGAGGTAAGGTCTACGAGACGCATGTTTGATCATTATAGAGCGCAGGCCGAAGTTGACCCGTACTCTAAAGAACCACAGGGATTGGAAACGTCGTATACCAGGGAATGTGTTGGGGAACAAACACCATTAACCTTCGCCAAAACGTACGGTGGCGACTCGAGGGAAGCAGTGCTGGAGTCCTTATCAGCGGAAGATGCTAGTCAAAAGATTCTTGACCTTAAGCCGCTATATTTCAGAGACCCCGAGGTCGACGGACGACCGCCAATTTCATCGTCCGAATCTGATACCATGCCCGAACCGAACCGAACTACCGAGCCGACGGTGTATAGGATTCTAGCCTATGACCCAACCATGCAAAAGATCAACGTCGCCGAAACCACCTCAGTTGTACCTGATCAAGCATCTCCATTGTCACCAGCAGAAGTGCTTCTCCGCCTATCAAACCCGACAAAATTCTTTCCACACTTCGCACCCTTACAAGCCGAAGGCTTCGAAATCGTATCTGGCAGTGGAGATGTGCTAGTCTTTCGTCAAGTTCGACCGCTCAAAATAACAAGTCATGGGGGCGCGTCACCGGTTAACCCCATAGATATGATGGGGAAGCCAGCAGCCTTGCCAAATGCGGCCGCATTTGTTTCGCCTACAGGATTTGTTAATTACGATGTACCACAGGCTGAAGAGGAAACCCAAGCGCCTGCTTTCCGTTCTAATATCGACGTTAGAAGAGAAGAGCCTGTGTTCAGCGGGCCCAAATCAACAGCCCGCGAGGAAGCACGGACTCATCCGAAGGATGGCGTTGGCAAACGAGTGCTAATAGGTGGTGCTTGGGTAGCCGGAATTTCGTACGCTCTTGGTGTCGTTAGCGAATATTTCATAACCGGCGGTACTGACGGTCGGGGGCCAACTGGCTTCTGATTGATCATACGTTTATGGGAGATTATCATTTTGTCTTACGAGAATGCTAAGGCGCGGGATGAACAACACGACATACTGGAGTATGGGGAGTTTGTATAGCATTATGGTGGTGGGCATGGGTGCTTGGTTTTGGAACTGGGTTTGGGTCTCTGAGGATGCTTCAAGGTATCAATAGGTATTCCAATCATTGTTAAACCCCCTGTTTGGTTGTATAGTAGTCTTGGTCGGCGCATAACTACCCCTTCTCCATCATGTATACTTTAACCAACGCTCCCTAAGTTGGATCTGGCGTTACCTCTTCAATCTACAAGTATTTCATATATCAAATCAATGTGTGCGAATCATGATAGCTCCGGGTGACGGGATATTATGCATCAAGAGTTTCCAGACCGAGGTTCCCTAAGCTTCTAAGCTGAAAATAGACAAATCTAGGCAGGCCTATTAGATGGTAACGTCAAATGGGAAAGGTAACTAGACGCCGGACGACTATCAGACGATACGGCTTAACTCCGCAGACTGCATCTGCTAAGTTAGTGAAGAGACATTAGGTAAATATTAGGTATAATTGATATGTAATACACAATCGTATACGGAAGTACCTAACCTTTAAGGTGTGTTAGGGAAGTTCCAATATGTTGGAGTCATGTCGCCTTTTCAATCTTGTTTCCAACCTTTTGTACCGTTTCCCCCACCCAATTGATCATGCTAAATCATTTTGCCCCTTACAAAATCCGGAACTCCCGCATAAAACCAACCCGTATATTCCCCATCGTCCGTAAAACAACCCAATCTAGTAGTAGTTATTGCTAATTGAAAGCAATCATGTGATTCTTCTTCCCAACCCATAAAAACTTCACGAGTGGTGAATTGTTTGAAAAAAGAATAGGTGTTGTTGATGAGTAGTACATTAAAGGTACCCAAGACAATTTACTTGCGCTCGGTGAACCCCGGGCACACCTCGACGTCCTGTACGCCGCTCATCTGTTGTACGTGCTTCTGGTCTTCCTTGTAGTACTAGAATATTGTAAAAATAATATCGAGTCAGCAACTATTCATTCTACGTTCATGTCTACATTACAAGGGATGTGGGTATATACACTTACGCTCTGCTGGCGCCCCAGGGACGGCTCCCAGCTGTCGGTCCTGCTTATTGCGCGCGCAGCCTCCTTTTCGTGCTGGGGGCTAGTGGGACCGACTGCTACTGTAGGTAAGTTGGCGATATCGACGCGAATGTTATTCGGTTGAGCAGGAGTAGGCATGTTGTAATAGTACAAGTACCTAAATAAGTAATTGTCTGATGACGTGTTTCTTGGTTAATTCTTAGAGTAAAGATAAAAAGAAAGTATTTTGTAAGTAGTATTGTATTAAATAAGGGGGAAGATATAGTACAGGGTAATGGAACGTCGATGGTCTTTTATATAGAGAATGCTACGGGCTATTATAACATATAACCTAGAATGTTCGTTCTAAAGGATGGGCAGTCTGGCAGTCTAGATCGCGATGAAGCATACGACTATGCAGCACTGATCACATCGTTTCCTGTCTGTTAGGGACAGCCTCAGCGAAGCATTGGTAGACCCATCAAATGCTAATGCAGCCGTTGATAACGGGTTGCATGAGCGGCGAAAGTGGAAACGACTAAACAAACTTAAACAAGACTGCGGGGTAGCTTCTAGCTGATAAGGTCTTATCTTGGTGGCAATTATACAAAGTCGACCTCATCAATGATCAATTCTTTCTGCCCCGCTAAATTTATCGTCATAGTCTCCAACAGTGTTCATCTTTACACTACACCAAGACAGTTAAACTTCTGATTACAGTACTGCAAACGTCACCCACTCAACTACCGTACGTAGTTGGGATATTTACAAGTAAGGAAGATCTAATCGAAAAGAAATCAAAATACCGTTTCTCCATTGCCTCCTTATGTACACAGGTAATGAGTGTCCGCAGCTTGTGCAATCTCAAACCTCTCCCTCCTCCTCCCCTCCCCCCTAACCATATATCTTAACCAGCGAGGTGCCGTCGGTGACTCGTCACGTCATCCTAATCGCATCTTCCTCATATACCACTATGAACCAGTGTAGCGGGATATCATCGAAACGTCCTAAACTCCAATCAAAAATCATAATAAATGAGCCATCCAACGCCTCCAGCTATGCACGGGGGGTGGCAACGATGCTGATGCAGTCACCAACGCCAATAACAAACAGTGAAAAAAGAACACGAAGTTCCATATTATCCACGAAAAGGGCCCACTTCAGTGATATGAAGCTCTGAATAAACCCAAAGGAACCGAGCATAGATCGAGACAGCCTGCTGCTCGGGCGTCTAGGAAGCCTTGGGCGGCTTCCAATAGTATTGCTAAACACGGTTAGTATTTGCAGTCTAATGTTATAGGACTTCACAAGATAGCTACCTTGTGCTGCTTCCGGCAACCTCTCAAACCTGGTTTTCGCAAGCCTTGCGTCACGGCAATCCGTCGCGAATCGTCATCATCATGGTCGGGGTCGTAGTAATATTGGCTCTCGAGCGGCTGGCCGGCTGCGTCCTTTCCCTGGCGGGGAATAACGCCAATGCAAGGCGTTGACTCCATGATTTCACGCAGTGCAGCCTTGGTCAGGTCTCTTTTCTCTTCGGCAGGAAGGAGACTTAGTATAGTAGACAAGGGGGTGGATGATAATCGAGAGTAGGCCAACTGATTGACGACGTGATTTTTGACAACTCCTACATTAACACGACTGCTAACGGTAGCTTTCTCTTCCGGCTCCGATGACGGCTTAGCTGTTGTATCACCTGACAAAACATGGGACGACTGTTTTGGTGATTCTGCCGTGAAGGCAGCCAGACGATTGGAGAGGTTAGCTCCAAACGGACCAAAGGAGTGTACAATAGGATCGTTCTCCTCATCAGGGTCATCGTCATCGGGATCACTAAGATCACTAGAGAAACTGTTGGTAACTTCTGTCTGGGCAAACGACACATCCACATCGGATGCCTGCTTAGGGAGCTCTTGCTCGTCTGAACTCGCATCCTCATATATCTGGACAGGCTCGCTTGTATCCTCAGCTAGCAGCAGCGTGTCTAAGTTGCTAGAAGAATTATGTGGAGAAGGCGATTCAGGGGATCTGATACGCGTCTGTCGTCGAAGGGGACTCGACTGCAGGAAGTCCGAACTGGAGTCATTACGACGATGTCTAGAGCATGGCGACTCCTCCCAAGATGAGTCTGATAAGGCTGCGACGGGTTCATGCCGATTCTTCTTAGGCCAATGCAACATAACCCTCGCATCCTGTACATCCAACATGATCTCAGCATTTTCAGTTTCAGAGGTAAAGGTATCCCCTTTTCCCAACTCCCAAGTTCGCCCCTGACAATGAAGTTTTATTCCATTCCAGCCATTGCAAATGATCTCCACTCTGTTTGGCTCTAAGGGGTCTACAGCCGGGACATATCGTGCCTTGACATGGATACGGGATATGAGACGATTGGCCGACAGTTGGTAGTGAGAAGAATTACTCGATCGGCCCATCAGAAGCGTATCCCCATTCTCGTTAAGTTCGATAGATCGTACAGCAGATAGTGGTGTTCGTTCTGATACAGATTCCGCACGCTCGAGTCCAGGTCTAGAGGATGATACGCGTGGGGGTGATGACGAGAGTATACCGGTACTGGAGGTTGGAATTGGCGTGGGATATTTGAAGAACGGGTTCGAGTCGACGAGCTTATCCCGGGCTAGTCTCTTCATAGGTCTTGGAAAGCCAGGCGAAGACGAGAGGGGCTCGAATGGTGGGAGCAAAGAAGGTGCAGGACGTTTCTTGCTGGGCGAGATAGAGGCAGACGCAGGGGGGAGCGTGGGCTCCTCTGCTGTGACTCGATCCGCTCGATCCATAATCTTGACGGGTGAGGATGCCATGATGATGAAAGGTCAAGAATGCATGGCAAGAGAAATGAAATAGCGGAACTGTAATGATGGAATGATTGTGGTGAAAGATAAAAGTCGGATTGGATAAGGAAGGGGGTTAAGAGATTTGAGATTTGAGATTTGAGATTTGGAAGAAAATTGACTGTGCTGTATCACGGTACGCCCTGCCAAAAAGATGTGGGTTCTCTGCGCGTCTTTAAGATGGAACCTGGAGTCGCGGTGCGCGTTCACTACACGCTCTTTTTTTAGCTGGGTTTTCCCCCCTCTCCACTTAACTTAAATCCACTTACACAAGATCTAACCCGGCTCCGTGTCCGAGCTCTGCACCGTGCCCTTTCTTTTCTCCGCTGACGAATCGTGTTTGACAATGAATTGATACAGAGTAAACGAGATAGTAGAGAATTACAATTTAAAGATTTAAGTCTTCGTCTGATCAAGGACCGAAATCTGGACCGGGTCGCTTGGCCTGGCGAAGAGAGACCGATCTAATGGAAGGTTGAAGTGAGCAGAGTTTCGTGGCTGGGGGAAGACCCAAGCATTTTTCTTACACTTTAATTATTCTTTAAGGAATTTCGACGTGTGGGGATCCACTCTAACGTGATTGCTTTACCTTCTGTAGGTAGGTAGATTAGGTATGTCGGGTACAAGTACTAATGAACCTAGCTGATTAGCCCGTTATGTAGGCGCTCGACGCGGTTTCTCCTCATTACTAAACTACCTGCAAGTCGCGGTTGCCTCATCAATTACATTTAACTTGCTACTGCGTGTTTTAGCCGTCAAGCCGTCAAGCCGTCAAGTTTCCAACCGACCTCTCACGGCTAGGCTGGGCTAGCCAACCTCCGTGATTACTACATGGGCATCAGCAGGTTTCGGGCGTCGGCGTCCTAGCACAAACACTTCACCACTGCATAAATGCTGTAATCATAAATGCATATAGTATTGGATAGATTCGTGTAAGTCCATTAGCATATATCTACCGGAAGGAATAATTATATATAAGTGATAGGCGTGTAAATGTAGCTTAGGCTACCTAAGTTAGATATTGAATGACGTCTAGTGAGGATAACCTCATGCTACATAAAACGCGCCTTATTCCTAACAGCGAACTCGCAACATACATTAGGTATACTTTTGCAATATTCGAATCGAGTCAGCAATTGCATTAGTAGATTCATCTGACCATACTCGGGTTCTCTCGTTCACAATTGGCCAACTTCATCTTACTGCATGGCTTACATTCATTGTTTGATACCCATGATTTTATCTTGATCTTATTCTAGGTATGCTATGTTCGTCATGAACAAGTTGACGTGAAACTACATCGAGAGGAATCGTCTCACAGCTAGCTCTAGCTAGCTCGCTTGGTATTATCAACAGACATGTTTGAAATCCAGCAAACCCACAAGACAGCAGCGACTTTAACAAAATATATAAAATTCTCCACTTGAGATGGAAAAATCTGTGCTTGTTTGTCGTCTTTAAAAAAAAAATTGTTGATATCATATGTATGTCTTAGGTATCATGTATCATCCCAGCCTCCCCCTCCCCCTCCCTTTCCTCGCCTAATAGCAAGGCGCGTCTCCACCGTCTCTCCACTGCTGCGGCCGAAATTTCTTCAAGCTTCTTTATTCTTTATAATTATGTAATTTGGCCGATGTCCTGCTTCAAAACGAGACAAAATAAATTGCAAGTCCACTTGAAATACAACCATAAAAAAATGCGCCGGGTATCTTCCTTTGCGAAATATTCAATATCGAGTAGGCGAACTGTTAGAAAAAGTCGTGATGGAAATCAAGAAAAGAGCCGTAAAGCGAAATTCGATATGCTCAGAACGCCCATGTCAAGATATATAATCGGTTGCTGCATCACCATGCCGCCCTGCTAATCCTCTTGACGTCTGCTTGGTCTTTCTTCAGCAACTCGGTATATTCCACTCTTCTTCGAATAAGGAAAGCGAGCGATAGCATGAAGTCAGTCTCGTATTTCGTAGATGTGGTGTGCATTAGGGGCTTGATAAGGACACCGGCTAGTCGTTCGGCTGTCATATCGTTCTTCTCTTCTGCTTGTGCAATATCGGCCCATAAGTTAAGGAGCAACTTGAATAAAGTACGGCTTGGTCCTCGAAGGCCGCCGAGTGCTTCCTCCCAGAAATCAATACATTGATCAAGCCGGGTACCATGAGATCCCGAGAGCATTGCCTGTCTCGAGAGCGCGATCCATTGCTTAGCTATATTCTCTGCGATCAGCGGTTTCGGGAGTTGCGACAGGAAGAGTAAGATAAGGTCGGCGGCGTCGTATACGCCAAAATTGGTCCAGTTGACATCTTCGCCGTATGTCGGACCACTGCTAAAGATATCCTTCAACTTCTGCACTCTGTAGCTATCGCCCGGCTCGGCGAAGATATCTGGAGCTTCGACTCCTTCGTTCTTCAAAAAGAAACAGCATTTTTGCATACACAGAGGGAAATCTCGCCGTGATGACCCTCCGTGGCCCGAGTGGTGCGTCTTAGAGGTTCCTTTAGCAACCTGCATGCTTTTCTGGAGTGGGACGCCGAAGACCGCGTTGGGGGTTGCTTCTTCGGGCTCATTCATGATCAGTTCCGAGTTCCACATTGGCAGCTTTTTAAAAGATACTGATAATCTATGACTGCCCCTTCTAACAAGGCTGGCTTGGATGATTGGAGTTGCAGGTTGTATATCCGTGGCGTTAGACGAAGTCGTTGATCGTGTTTGAGGTCTGGCCTCTGAAATTGCATGCTTAAGAGGCGCAAAAAATTTCCCAAACCCTCTGCTTTTCGTTATGGAGGGTGGTGACTCCGCTGGCGGTCCTTGAGCAACGATCTCAGTAGCGATGCCGTAAGAATTATTCGGACAATCCGGAGTGGCCTCGAATGGAGAAACCATAAGACTCCGGGCAAGCTCACGTCTCTTGCTATCCTTTGGCGGCGGAGTCGGCGCTCGGCTGGGAATGCCCACGAAGCTAGCCATCAATTCTTCAATAGTGGGAATTTTTTCGTCTTCGGGGTCTGCTTGCACATCGTTGCGTGACTTAGATGCCGACTCAACACTAACATCGATCGCGCTGTCCGGCTTGTCTCCGATGTAAGCTCCAAATAGTTTTTGATCGCCCACAAATGCACCCTGATCCGCCGTTTCGTCGACTTCTTTGATGCTCTGCTCAATCTCATGCTCGCTCTCCTTGATACTGATGATCTTCTCGGCATATGACTTCAGACAGGTCATATAGTCATAAAGGCTGAATTCTGTCTCGTTCTTCTCGAACTCCCCTGGTAGTCGCATCCGTAATTGGTTCATCTCGACTAGAACTCGTGAGACATCCTCCATAACGGCGGCGCTGTTCTGGTGTCTCTCTATCGTATTTCGCCTATTAGGCTCTACGCCTGAGGTAACATCCCGAATTGTAGTTCTGTTAATCCTTATTAGATACACATTTACTTATGAGATACGTTATACTCACGCCCCAGCTAAATCCAAAGCTAGACCTAGGACAGCTTTATGCGCCTCTAAAGTAGTTCTGAATGTCGCAACTTCTTGTCTCCCAATAGCCAGCCACTGGGATCTTTTATCTTGCCGCGATAGCTCATTGCTGTTGAGGCTAGATATGCTCGTGTCCAGTTCGTTGACCAGTCTAGAACAATGCTCGAGGACAGCAGGAATCCGTTCTGCCAACTCCGGAGGGAATAGACCAGCATCCTCGTTTAGGAGGTCTAAGACACTTTGCAGCGAGTGCAACTCGCGCGATACCCCATCCACATCAGATCGCGCCTCCCGTACCTCGCGCACGAATCCATTTAGTATAGTGTTAGTTGTGATAATCGCATTACTAAGTGTAATACAGTCGGGCGTGATAGATCTTTGAATCATCCAGGTCAGTGTTTCTGATGCTCGAAAAAAGTGATCAGTAGAACTTTGATGGGAGAACACCCACAGTGACTCCATTGTGGTGTTGACCTGCGGTCATCCACAAATTCAATATTCGTCCCCTCCAAGAGCGCAAGGCGTCGGCCACATATATTGCTCACGATAAAGAGGTGACAAGTCGGGAATAGCGGTAAGGTGGGGGTTCGAAGGATGGCTTCTCTCACACACCCGGAAAAGTTTGGTTCACATAAACGGACGAAACCTATAATAAGGAGCAAGCCTGTCGTCACGGACACAACCGGAAGCACCCAAGCCGACAAGGGCTCTTTTCGCCTTTAGGATGAGCTTCAAATTACGGACGAGGATCCACACGGCTTGTTGTCGTCGGTCGAATACATATATGTAAATAAAGAAGTTCGAATACAGAAGCTCGTAAGGTGCCGCTCTCCTACTTGTATGTATGTACGGAATATGTACGCCTCCTTTCGCAAGGTCAGCAAAATGGGTCTCTCACTGATCATTTAGCAAAGCTAGCTTTCTCCTCTGCTTGCGCAGTGCTATGCTCGAGATGGTCGATTTTCCGTCGACCTGCCCATGTGAAATATGTCTCGAGAAGCTAGCATGGTCTACCCCGGCACTGCCAATCTCCTCTTTTGTAACGTCCCCTTGCTTCTCAGCCAACTTCCCCGCCTACACGTGCATATTCCGTCTACACCAGGGCACCATTTTATCTGTACCTGTGAGCAATCGATCATATGTATCTTCATCGTAGAAAAGGCGGAAAGGGTCGGCAGGGGTATCCCTTGCTTACTATAGTACATCGTTTAAACAAGCTCGTATGAGCTATTCTGCTTTCGATTACAAGCTCACAAGGCCCAATCAACTCGCTAACCAACATTCACTAGACGATTAAGCTTAGAGTCGCACTGCAGCGTACACCTGCAACATGTTTCCAGGTTGACAAGTTGTTAAACCTGATCTAGCCCTAGTAGGGGAAAGGCACAGCACCTCCAATGCTGCCAGATAAAGTAGGAATATAGGCTGCGTGGGTGGCTTTGCTTGCCGTTGGTGTTCCTCTCGAAAATCCAGCGATCTTGTTTGATGAGCCAGCCAATCTTTTCGAAATTTGGGGTGGATTAACAACCGTCAACGTTACCTATCTCTGGTATCGATCGGATGTTATCTCAAAAAAGGGACAACCCGAACGCTAGAGCTTTCTAGCTCGCCAGCCCGCAAGCATAGATACATCGGTTCGATAAGTACCCATAGCACTACCTATTAAGCCGCGATCACAAGACGAATCTAACACATACTACTACAGGGGTCTAAATACATAGTCCGCAACTCCCAGCTCGCCTTGGAACTAACTACCTTAAAGGTGTGGGCAATGGTCTGATACTTGGAAGAAATTATTGCTGCCAGCGAGGGAACGTATCCAATGCGGGACGCGGTACTTCGTCAGTTCAGCATCATGTTAGGTACCCCTGCAGCCATGTTCTGGATTTCAAAGCTCTTGTCGGCCAAGATTTTGTCTGTCTGTCCTGCCAGAATTAGGAAATGGATTAGAAAATATCTAAGAAAGGATTCAAATACATGTTCCTAAGACTTACCAAATAAACACATCGAAGTTTCGAGTTTTATTTCATTATTTTAATACCCCTAACGATTTCTACAGCAGCTAAGCTACCTAGGTAGCTATCGAGCCCCTGCCATAAATCTTTTTCGGTTCAGGGTAGCTACCTATGTTGGGGGATACTTAAATACGGTGTTCTACCTAGGTATGTATCAATCAAGTCTCTCATCCGACTTGGCAATGATATGCCGCTTCGACCCTAGCTATCTGTTTTATATCGTACGGCATAGCATTTGTTGTCGCTCAATACGAATACTACTATGCATACGTTTATGTAATGCCAACCAAGAAATCCTCTAAGTTGATCAGCATTTTATGTATAATATTATCAACTGCGAATTTTACGGCGATGTTGTGGCGCGGTAGCTTAAATATAGGTATCTATATTTTATTAACTGTACATCTATTTCTAGCGCTCGTCCTGCCTTTTGTGGCAGCCGGGAGAATATGGCGAAGGATTAACATTTCCAACGTGGCGTACGTAAGATTTCAAAAGGCAGGGGGCAATGGTTATAATTGTCCAATTTCGTCGATTGTGAGGTATCCTGGCATTCTTTTTAGGTAGCCTTTTTCGAATTCCCAAGTACTGAATACGGAAATATAATACCTCCTTCTAAGCAACGCTGGATTTCTCGGGTTACTTCTCAATCATCACCTGCGCCGTCCGTTCCGTCAGTCTGCGAATGTGACTAACAGATTGACATCGTAATGAGCGTGATACGTGACATATATTGCCATATATTAAGATTAGGATGTCATCCCATACCTCTCGTTTTGTATTGGATGATGAGCGCAGATCAGATTAGTTGAGCATTAGATCAACAAAACTTGTGAAACTAAGGGAGCTCAGATCTGCCACCACACCATGTTTCAATAGAATGCTCGGGCCATGTTGACGATAAAGATCTTCCCTGTTATCTACAAGTATGCTCGGAATATTCTAACAATCTAACTGCATAAAGGAGAGAATGCTGTAAAATTCTCCGAGTGATGTTCATTATCCTTGTTCGGTACTTATTCTCGTTTCAAGTTGAGAATTATTCTAAATTCTTATGTAGCGGTGTATTAATCTGTATATCACCTCAACGTTGGATTCTTGAGACCCAAAATCTCGCAGAAGCGAACCAAGATTAATATAGTGGTTTAGACTATCATACGCTTCTCAATTCAACTAGCGTCTTTGCTTTAGTAAGTAACTTGAAGTTGGATTTGTATACGTCTATGTCTGCGTTTACCCCAGATTTACGGGCTTGTTTCGTTGTCGTAGATCGTGTAGAATCTGACGATAGCAAAAGCCCGAGCGTTTCCCCTACACGTCATGATCAACGATCAACCCGGAGATCCGGCCGTGTGAAGAATTCTTAAACCAGAATTTAGTGAACAGTAACGATAGTGCTTTAGGTATGCTTTGATGTACTCGACAATCGGAATTTCCCTCGTCTTCGGATGCGGCGGCCGTTCATAGGTGTCATGGCTAGGAATCAGGACAAGTCCGGCATCCCAGATCACTGCTGCGTTGCTGCGTTGCTGCGGGATAAGATAGGTTTCCTCCAGAGGCAACCGTTGCGGCAGAGACTGAGTTCTCGTTAAGCCGGAGCATATCCATTTTGCCGGGTGATAGGATCGTCCATCTTTTAATGGGTTTACATTTATCCTTTATTGGATAATTATTCTCGGTTTGTTTTTGTATATAATTCCCAGAAATAGCAATTGTGCCTTGTATTTAAATTATATAAATTGTCGACGACTTACAATATCACCATAAATAAAAACAATTGTTTATCTCAACGTTTATGAACTAACAATCGAGACTTTTAGCAGTTAAGCAGTAAGCCCACGATACCACTATTGATAGTTAGCTTGGCGGTAAATAAACAACTAGACTTTAACAAGATAATATTTTCATCAACTAAAATCTCATGTATAAGACTTGATATTACGCTTTGCGATTCTCTAAGTTGACATCGACTATGTATTTTATCTAACCTAGTAATGTCTAAAAAAGGATATCAGTTGGTAAAAGCTGCTGAGGTGATTGGCCAGTGGAAGGCTTCGTTTGTACGAAGTACATAGAATACTTTAGTGGGTCCGGTTTAGTGGATAAAAGCTTTCTTGAATCTTGCAGACGCTTGGACCAATCTATATTTTCTGGCCCCACGTCCCTGCAGCTAAAAAAAATATCGATTTGCGGCTTCACTTCACGAGGTTTCACAAATAACATATTTCATTTTATCAATCTCATTGTGCAGCACAATGGCCTCTTCAAAGACTGTTACTCTGCGGAGTGAGACCGCGGTCTCTCTTGTAGACCCAAACCAGGTTTGTTTCTTTCTATTTCGTATACTCATGCCTTATTCTAATCCTCTCTGTGTAGAGTTTGAAAGCTTCCAAGGCGTTGCTGGCGCATATGAAGAAAGCATCTGAAGAAGCTGCCAATTCCGAGAAAAGAAATCTCTTAGCCGACCCTGAAGAAGCTAGCAAAGAGGTGCCGATATGGCTTACCCTGACTACAAAGCGACACATTGCCGACTCTCGACGCCTTAAACCAGGCAAGATCGTTGTTCCACACCCTCTAAACACTGACTCCGAGGCGACTATCTGCCTGATAACTGCGGAGCCCCAGCGCGCATACAAGAATCTGGTTGCCTCCGACGAGTTCCCTGCAGAGCTGCGAAAGCGCGTAACGCGAGTTATAGACGTATCCAAGCTGAAGGCGAAATTCAAGGCGTACGAAGCGCAGCGCAAGCTTTACAATGAGCATGATATTTTCCTCGGTGACACACGGATTATCAACAGATTACCGGGCATCTTAGGAAAGACTTTCTACGGGACGACAGCCAAGCGCCCGATTCCCGTTGAAATACAGGCTCGTGTGCCGAAGAGCGACGGAAAGAGGGTGAAACGCACAAAGGATGCAGAGAACCCGAACACGGCTACTCCTATACAATTGGCAGGGGAAATAGAAAGGGCTGCTGGCGCGGCGCTTGTTAACCTGTCACCTACGGTTAATACCGCTATCCGTATCGGAAATGCCAGCTTGACCGCCGAGCAGATCGCGGAGAACGTCGAGGTGGTTGCGAAGAATCTAGTAGAGAAATTCGTACCAGGAAAGTGGAAGAATGTTCGAGGCATCTATATCAAGGGCCCTGAAACTGCTGCCCTGCCTATCTGGCTAACGGACGAGCTGTGGCTCGACCATAAGGACATTGTGGCTGACGGCTCAGAGGAGGCCAAGGCCATCCTCTCTTCAGAAAAGGCGAATATAGGGAAGAAGCGAAAGTCGCTCGAAGGTCAGCCTGAGGAGGCCGAGCCTGTAACGAAGAAATCCAAGAAGACGAAGAAGTTGCCTGAAAGCGATGATGCGAAGTTGGACAAGGAGATTGCAGATCGAAAAGCAGCGCTGAAGAAGCAAAAGAAAGCTGCGAAGAAGGCTTTGGAGGTCTAAGGTTATATATCAAGTCAATCACATGTGTACAAGTGACAATAGGAGTTGGGCTCTATTTGCATCTTAAATCTTAAGCTTTAAAGCACGATTTGACGGCGTACGGCGGAACAGGTATAAAAGCTTATAGCATGAATCCTCGATTAAAAAACAAGTCGATACCCCTTGTGCCTAATCCTAACACTTAGTTTATACACTGAATATACACGTGCTCAACAATTACAGCTCATCCGATTCTTGGTCATCCTTCGGAGCGCTACTCTTGAAGGGGCCGAAGAACTCGCTAAAAGTACCTTCTAGCACTTCATCTGATATTTGCATGTGTTCGCCTGGGGTAGTCTTGAACTTTAATCCTCCTTTCCTATCGAGAGCCCTCAAACCAATCCAATCTTCAGTATACAGTTTTCGGGCCCTCAGTGGCGTAACCTCAGTACCATTGACCTCTTCGAACCAGCTCGTCTCCTTCGGGATGACAGTCGTGTCGTCTTCGAAGACATATAGTACAAAGTTCTCGAGGTTCGCAATGTTCTTGGCGTAGGTCTCGTTCTTCTTTTCTCGCTCGTTGTTGATGTCCGCTAGGAAGTTGGAGTACTCGAGGTAGTTATCCAAATCGTTGGGATCGCGGAAGTACTGCGCGGGAACGAGCCGGCTCTGTATCCACGAGCTCCACGTATTTCCATGCAGCAACGCCATAGCGCCCTTACATAACCAATCGGCCGCCGAACAGGCTTTGTAGTCGACGATGCCGTTATGTTGGCTTCCGAACGTGACGAGCGTTCGGACCGGCGGGAAGTTGCAGCGTTCGACGTAGGCCCGTAGAAACTGGCCACCCTGGCTAAAGCCGATGGCGTCGATGGCGGGCGCAGTCGAGAGGATAGGGTGCGCGGCAAGATCGTCGCATACCTTTGCGACCTGCTCCGTCACGTTGCCGTAGAAGGTTGCAGTGCGGTCGTTGGAGGGGCTCTCGTCAAGGCGCACGTAGTAGACGAATGTGCCTGGGTTGATCTTCTCGACTAACCCGCCGACGGACTGTAGACCCTCGGCTGAGAAGGTATCGCCGAGACCGTGCCAGATCACGACTGGTAGAGGCGTGTCATCCTCATCATCGGTGACGGTGGAAATCGGATTGAGAGTCGTGGGGTTACCTAGAACAACACGGAGAGTAGATGTAAGAGTTAGGAACACTGGTAGTCTCTGTAATAGAGTCATATTTTCGGTCGTAATGCGCATCTATTGTGTGTATTATAGATGACTGGGAATTATGGATTTGATGAAGTTCTGATGGAATTCGAATAAAGTATTTAATAGAGAAGTTGAATGCTGAAACTCGAGGAATGGAAGTGGCTGTGCCATAGTTGCAACTACCTACTATAGGTACATATGAACCCAAGTAGGCTGCTGACCTTAGTTACAAGCCAAGCTTCCAAGGTTCTCATTGGCCAAAGCTTATAAGTCAGTCATTCAGTACATCCTCAACTGACCTTAGGCTGCGAACTCATGCTGTACCTCATAGAATGACGATGGCTTCACATCTTAGTTCTTAGGGACATTTTGATTGATCCTTGATAAATCAACGATGCCTCTCGTTCTACTAAAGATATTTTATGCCCTTTAAAACAAGCAAGTCTCGCATTCAAGATCTCATCACTGGCAATACTTTGCCTGTTACATACTCACCATTGCTTACCACAAAATCATCAAGATCGTTTAACTTTTCATGCTATTGAAGGGTTGCATTTTCCTTTAAACCTCTTTGAAGATTCGTTTTCCTTCTGTTGCACCTGGTTTTTGTTGAAGTTGTTAAGAAATGACGGAACCAATCAGGGATTTGTCAAAGCCGGCCAACGGAAATATGGACCGTGCCGGTATAACTCCAGCACGGACCTCAGCACGGACTGAATCGGCTCTTCCTGTCACCCCACTCCGAGGGCGGTCAATGGACAGAGTGGGGCGGATTAATTCTAGAGCCGATAAGAGCCAGGGTCCAGGTTCAAGGTTGAGCTTCAATCGCAGCGCATTTCGATGTATCGGCCCTCCAGAACCTCGTCCCCGATACAACTACGTCGACAGTCCTCAAGCTGCAACAGCCACCACCCCCACCGGTTTATGGAACTCTTACGAACACAGTACTTCCAGCTATACGGATTTTGAATTTGACGTGCTAAATTCGCCCTCTCTTCCTAAGAATTTTGTTTTCTCGGCAGCTCTAGCTCAGAACACCAATCGAAGTACTGCTCTGTTTCGCGGAAGCAGGGAGGACGATCCTTTTGTTTCGCCCAAAGCTCGTGGGTTTTCCCACGTTGTTGATCGAAGAGAGGACCGTTTCGGCGAATCGAACGACCCGGATGATTGGTACGACTCAGACAATTCCGAAGATTCGGACGCTACTATCACCCCCAGCTCGTACGCTGTCAGCGTAGCTTCCCACACCCGCAGCTACCAGCGACAGCAACGTACCTTATTCAACGAACTAGGAGGATCGACCTTTGCAAACAAATCAAGCAACACGAAGACTTCGGTATTGAGCACCACCGAAGAGATGGCACCGAATCACGTCGCAAAGAACGGGACCACTGAGTCTCGCGCAGTTATTGCTGGCCCGCACTTAGGAACTATCAAAGTTGGCCACCAATATATCTGCGAGTGCCATATTCGCCGCATGTTCGTCGAGAAGCGACTAGATGCTGCTAGGGAGGCTAATTACCGCCTGCAAGGTGTTCAGGTGATAGAATCTACTCGAGAAGCACTTCTACTGTAAGTTGCTTCACCTTGTCTATGAAATTTATGATCCTAATCATCATTTGCTTTCAGACCAGTCAAAACCTATAATGCTGCGTGTACTTTCTACCATCGCTTCCGCCTAGAACATCCTACTCATGATTACAATTACACCGATGCCGCTCTGGCGTCTCTATTTGTGGCTTGCAAGGTTGAGGACACACTGAAGAAGTCTCGCGAGGTTCTATGTGCTCATCACAACCTTAAGAACCCAGATCATCCAACTACGCAAGACGACAAGGTAAGCCGTTTATTACTATGTTTATTTTATGTATATAAGCTAAATGAAAACCAGATTTTTGATCAACCATCCAAGGTGATCATCGGTATTGAGCGATATATGGTTGAGGCCATCAATTTCGATTTCCGCGTTCGCTATCCCCAGAAGATTCTTGCCAAGATCGTAAAGAAAGTCCTTGGAAAGTCAGCTGACCTCACAAGCTTCTTCCCGACTGCTATGAAGATGTCTATTGACTTATACAAAACTTATGCACCTCTAAAGCACAGTTCATATACTTGTGCCCTTGTAGTCGCGCAACTTACCGCAATGATCACCGGTCGATTCGTGGACGAATTCCAAGCACTTGATCCGCTTGATTGGCACACAGACGAGCAGTGTGTAGCTGAGGTGATGCTCGATCTTCTTGACCTTTACACACAACATGGCAAGGTCACTAAAGTCGGACCTATATTTGACCTGCAAGTTTTTATCGACACTCAGATCAGCATCAACCAGTTTGTTGAGCGTGCTGGCCTCTCGCGCTACCTGAACCAGTGCAGAGAGTGCGAATCTATCGTGCTGCCCCCTACACCATCGACAGGTTCACCTATGTCACTAAGCACACCTTCCGCCGCGGGAACTAGTACTGTTAAGCGTGGGCCTAAGGGACCTGACGGGGGTACGACGCGATTCGTCTTTGATGCCGATGAAGCAGTACGGGAGAAGAAGGTCTACGACGAGCATACCAAAGATGAGTGGGAAGAATGGGAAGAAGAAATCGAGGAACCGATCCCGGACTCTCGTGAAGACCGACGTCATGAGCCCCGCGGCCCTCGGGGACCTCGTGGCCATGGTCATGGTCCCGGCCACGGACGCGGTCACGGCCGAGGCGGTTTCGACCCGAGCTGGACTCCTCGCAACCGACACGATCGCCGTCGTCGCGGGGGTGGTTTTTATTAATCCATCACAACAGCATAATTTCTCGGCGGTTAGTTGTTTTTACGGAAAGGGGTTTTTTCGAACTACGCATGTGGATCTGGAAAGGTTTTCAGGATGACAGCCTTGTTGGGCTGGTACGTGCATTATTGAACGGAGTATGGATTGATACCCCATCTGGAATTTGTGTTGCGGTAAAGCATTTGCAATCGCCATATTCGGCGGCTCATGTAGTATAGGTGTTGCTCTGACTTTAGCTTTGTTGACTGTATAGAAGACCTAGGCAATGGACTCGTCACCTACTCGTTGCAGTGACTGAGAAATACTCATGTACATGTCTCCCGAGAAGATAGCTTGCTAGCTCTAAAACTATGTGCCTAAATGATTTCCCATAATCGCCTTTCATTTTTAATAATAAATGCTTGATGGTAGCATACCTTCTCTATCGTTTCCTTACTATAATCCACTAATCTATTTATTTACTGGGTACATATCTGAGATTATATCACTTATCCTCCGATCCTTGCCCCTTTCCCGAGGCGCCACCTAGAAGAGACTTATTTCCAAGCAAGTGTGTATATAGGGGGATAGATAAGAGCTGTTGTTCTAGTAAAGAGGCTCTTCATAATACAATATTGACCAGCCATTCATCTTCAGCTATGTATAAGCGAAGTGTCTATCCAGAGTTTTACGTAGCTCAGCTCGTAACGCTACACGACTAAGTCGTCAAAAGCCTCTCCCCTACTCAAACAATATTCCTTCCCTATGCTTGTTACGCTACTTTCCATATCCGTATTTAGTAATTTGTAGTGGTGTTTATGGCATTAGCAGAAAGTATAGCAACACAGCTGCACCCGAGCAGGCAAGTGTAAGCATGGGTATCCTCTACTAAGCGTAAGAATGATATGCTTCCAGTCATGGCAACCACAGACAAGTAGCAGTTCAAGCACTGTAGCAGCTTCGCTATACGTAAGTACATATGTAACTACCACTTGCCTGGTCTTGTATGAACATCTACCTGCCTCCTATTTGAGCTTAGTGGAGCGCAACTGCTGCTTCCTTACCTTGAATGAATACAAACTTCCTAAGGCATTACCTTCTATTCTTGTTACGGTTCTATGTAAATAGTACGCTCGGGTACATGTTCTAGAAGGTGGTATCCTAATTGTAATAAACCTAAAATGACTCAGAGATCACCTCAACATCCTCTATAATGGGCAGGAGCTGGTACCAGAACTTGAATATTAGCAGGTGGTCCCAGCTTGGTGGTGTGCTAATGCCCGAGTTTACGAGGGGTTATTGTGTCGAATTTTTTCCATGGCCCAAATAGGAAAGTAACTCAATGGGCAGTATCTGGCACATGCGCAATTATGTAAACTCGGGCATATTGTGCAGCCCGCAGGGCTGCCTCCAGTAAAGCCAAGCACTTTCCTTCCTCTCTACAGAATTTTACCAAAGCCAAGTACTTAAAAGGATACCTCCCCATACCATTTATATTTAAACATGCAAGGTCCCAAGCAAGTGGAGAGAAAACACCCATGTTACAACATAATGGGATTAGGTATGAGCCTACCTAAAGCTGTACCACTGATATAACCATAAACTCTTTGTCATAGGTGCTTCAGTGGTACAGGGCCAACCTTCTAACAAATTATATTCGAATCACGTTGACTTTTACTTCAACCTCCCCTGCCTTTCCGCAGCTAAACCCCCTCTAACCCACTCCATCTCCCGCTAGGTAAGCCGCCTAATTTCATATATTCGATGTCCTCGAACTTTCCCCAGTCCCTGGTGCTACACATCACGTCATCAAGGTATATGGAAGGGAAGTCACTTACAAAGCTTGCTCACACCTGACCTAAAGGTACAAAAAATGAAACCACTAACCAGGGTCTCGACAGACGGGATCTCGACGGCCGGGGCTCAACGAACGGGCTCAACGAAACAAATGCTGAACTACCAAAGGACCTTCTTCCCTAAAACATTTTATATACAAACACACAGTTCCCCTCGACAACCAAAGTCTCTTTTCACACAACCATCTCCCAAACTATTTCTACATAACTAACTCTGCACAACTAAATTTTTACCCATGATCAACAACGCTGGAAAGACAACTACTTAAAACCTTACAATGTGAGTTAACGAACCTATTCCCCAATACTTTGTCATCTGAGTGCCTACCATCATGTTACATTTGTGAACAACAACACCTCTAACAAGGCTTTGAAGTGTTTGTTTCTTACTTAAGTCGAAGGTGGGACAGAGAAACATGACCACCAACGTCACCGGACCCATCATGTTCCTGTCGAAGATGTGGACAAGGTCAGAGACTTGCTTTCAGGCAACAAAACTCGCCGCCAGGTAACGATACTTGAAGCTGGTTTACTTGCTTGTGCTCGTCAACAAAACAGCACAAAACTTCACGCTCCTACGACTAAGAACTTATCGTCCATCTAAAGCGGCACATGCACACTAGATCCATCAAGGCCATCATGGGGTTAGAGCAAGACGACGATGAACCAAGTGAGTATTACACAGCACACGACCAAGACTTTATCGATGCCACACATGCCCAGGCCGCATATTCGACCGCTATTGGTAATATTATATACGCGGTCGGGCAAGGCCATCGCTATTGGGGAACTTGTAACCAAACAGCCCTAACTTATTTCAAATCCTTCATAAGTCCCCAACCAAAAGGATTACCTCGAACCCCAACTTCATGGAATAGAGTGCAAGGGCTACACAATATTAACAAAACCTCGACATGTCGTAAAACTGTCCTGATCAGAGTATATCAGAGTCTACCAAGCAGCCCACCAAGCAACCCGCCAAACAGTCCGAATCTAGGAACACTCCATCTCTATTGCTCATGCTCTTTTCTGGAAAGTTTAATATTTTGATCACACTCCTAAATGAATGTCATAACCGGAGACCGGAGACAACAGTCATGTGATGGAGGCACTAATAACCTCTGCAATATATGGTCTCTATCTATATTGGCCGAGTGTCATTTGAAGATGTCGCCATTATGGCTAGTGGCCCAACTCACTGGGGAGAAGGTCTCCAATTTCCTAGGTAAGAGGCAAATAAAACGTTTCCCATCATCACTAAAGCTAACTTATCGCTGAAGGATATCTTAAGCGGCCGAATAAATTTGGTGTCAAAATTAGGGTCAATATCAGGTCCCCTCCATGGCTCATCTTCACAACATCACGTGGGTCCCATGATCTCCCCTGGAGTTTTTCAACATTGACCCATCGCCATAATACCCGACCATACTGCTTGAGTCTTGTTGTAAAGCCTAATCGGATAGCGACTGGTAATCTCAAAGGACATACTATCTTAACGTTCTGGGAATCATCGCTAAGCTTACACTAATAACTGCGAGGGGAACACCTATCTTCACCGCTTGGGCCCTATCTTTAAGCCTAACCGGATAACGACTAAAGATAATAACTAATAATCACGAGGAAGAGTTCCTTTGCTCATTCCCAGGCTACTCCGATGGTGTGAAGATAACGGAAGATGTAAAGGCGGTCGGTCGGAAGTGCGAATGGAGGTAGGATATAACCCAACCCTCTTTACGTTTTTGATAACAAGCCCTGCTAACCTTTTTTAGCAAGCACATGGACAAGCACGACCGACTGTATAAGTGCTTGTCATCGGGATGTGAGAAGCTTGCTGGATTTACGTATTCTGGCGGCCTCTTGCGTCACGAGCGCAAGGCACATAACAAATACGACGAGTTAAATAAGGATACCTATCTATGTACCTCTCACGTATCAACAACTGGAGGCAGCCCTGCGGGCTGCACAATATGCCCGAGTTTACATAATTGCGCACCGGCCATATACTGCCCATTGAGTTACTTTCCTATTTGGGCCATGGAAAAAATTCGACACAATAACCCCTCGTAAACTCGGGCATAACCATATAAACAATTAACTCCGAATGTATATGGCATATGGCAGATACTACAGACAGTTCATGTGCTTGTCATCGGGATATGAGAAGCTTACTGGATTTACGTATGCTGGCGGCCTCTTACGTCACGAAAGGGAAGTCTGCAACAAGCACGGCGGTACAAAAGAAATCTCCCACAGAACAGTCCTCACAACAATCATATGAACTATCAGGCATCTGAACTTCAAGTGTCTTAATTCTAATCCCCACCCAGCCGTTACCTTACGTTCAAGTCGCCTTATATTCCTAGCCCCAGGCTTTTCAACCTACCCCAAAGCATTGAACAGATCGCAGCTCTGAAAAGAAAATCAGCGGAAACCTCGCCAGCCGGATCAACCAAGTGAGTAGAGTGATTACCTTCATTCGTACATAATTCTGGGCAGGATACTAACTAGACTTGACTATTAGATTTCTCTATATGCCGCGATCCAATCGAGGCTCTTTCATTGTGCATAGCCCCGTCCAAGGGTAACGACCTACTCTGCGTGGTTGGCATTGCTCAGGCTAAGACTTGTCCCTTAAAACATCATGGACGATATTTCCCTAAGAAGATCGGATACAATGGGGGAAATAACTATGTCCGCTCTTAGAGGAACTTATAATAACTAAATGTATATACTAAACCAACTGTTACTGTAGCAAGCATGTATTTCAATGGCGGTTTTGGTAAAATTAGTCTACCAACGAGATGGGCATTATTAGAATACTCATACATAGGTACCTAGGTATAGAAACAAGTTGTAGAAGGTTGAAATACGTTCATTATAACTACAAATTATATACTAAGAACTTCCGTCGGAATTTATCTCCTTGGGTATGTGTACAAAAATAATGAGCTGTTTGGCCCGGGCAATAGGTAATTGGTTCTACTGGAGTGGTGGTATTATTCGTCGTAAAGGTCCTAGGGCGAGGAAGCGAGTTTGGGTCTTTGGATATCGTGGCCTATGTGTGGACATAGACTGAACACGTCGACGGTTTCGTAGGTATAGAAGGATCGAAAGACATGATAATAGTAGCCATGATGGCTACTGCGTAGGCCTGTAGTTTTGAGCCCTGTTCGACAGTTTGTGGGCACATAAGGTATGTTCCTGTAATACTGTTCCAGCCATAGCATTCTACCTCGGACAAACGCGTAGATGATTTTGCAAAACAGATGTAAAGACAAACAAAACGCCCGGGCCAAAGTCATCGATTAGACGTTGCCCTTTTTTCCTCTCCAGTTGTAGATGGTACAAATCCTAATAAAAATACAAAGGTCTCGTCGAAGCCGCGCTCGGATGGTATTTAGACTGTAAAGTCTTATGAGGTCTCTAAATCGGACTCGGGTATCGTATCACTACTCGGGGAAACCATCCGCGACCCAAACCTCGAATCACTGCTCGGAGAAACCATCCGTGATCCAAACCTTGAATCGCCGCGGTCTGAATCTGACTCGACGTAGCCGTCTGTATATGGGGACGGGATGGGTGGCGAGAGCGAGGCTACGTGAGGACATCGTCCTTGTCCAACAGTCGATCGGTGCGTGTGGAACGAGCATTGTCGAAACCCGAACTGACGCTCTTCGCCGCGGAAGTTGTTGGAGGGGAGTCTAAGCTGGGGATTCTTGAATTGGCCCTCGAGCCCGGTTTGCGCCATTTTGCGCGTGTGGTTATTGTATTCGGCCCAGAAGTCAGGACATTTCTCGAAGAGGCGTTGGATGCTATTCGACATTTCGGTCGTAACTACGCCTCCAAGTGTCCACGCCGTCATGGCTACAATCCACTTTCGTAGTCGACAGCTCTCTTGGGGATCACATGAGGTATAAATAAATCCGATCAGTTTTGTGCTGATATCCCAGTTCTTCCGAAGATAGACATCTTGTATAGCGTCCATAGCACAGTCTTGCAAGGCGGGAATATCTATCTGGGCGGCGAATATGTGTAATTGGACTAAGCTGTTGTGAAGCTCCTGACAGGAGCGGTCGGCCTCAGCGGCGTCGATGAACCTGTCGAAGTTTTTCCGTTCGTTCAGCCAGTATACGAATAACTCGAACATGGGCGGTTCTTGATCTTCCAAGACGACGATGATGTAAGCCCGCCCCTTTTCGAACTTGACGCGCGCGTTGTCTATATGCTGCCGGAAGTAGTTGCATGATGCCAGGAGTTTTCTCGGAACGAGGAATTCTTGGCTATCCGAACCAACGAGTATCTTGACGGTGGCTGAACCGGCACGTCTAAACGAGGAGAGAAAAGTTAACGTATTACATTCACTCGCCCACTTACATAGATGAATACTTTGTAACTTACGAGTTCAGAGAAGCAGCCGAAGCTTTTCTATCGACAAATCTTCCTCTCAGCATGTTTATTTTTCTTTCGAGGTTATCGACTTAGTACCTAACACACAAGATACGAAAGAGAGCGAATGACAGTATCACGACGACATACAGGAAGAGAAAAGAATCTAACTTGGACACCTGCTTAACTAATCGAAGCTGAATATCGGCTGGATAGGCCAACCTTGGTACGGATCAGTCTCGATCCGATAGACGTCTTGGCAGGGCCCCGAGGCGTTGGATTGTTTCTCAGAAGTCACGGGTAGTGGGGCCATGGACTCTTTGCTAAAAGCTTCAGGGCTATGAGGGCATCCCGAATTTTGCTAGTGTCTGAACCCGTTGCATCATAGCGACACTGCAGTATTACGGCACGAAACGCGGATAAGAAATATTCGTCCCATGTTAAGCCCTGTAACGGGGGGGAGAACAAGGGGGGGCTAGCAGCGATTTGCGACACGATCGCCGGTGGATTCGGAGGCGGCGGATCTGAGTGGCTGCTTCAGGTTCGGCCCCTGATGCGGGATTGGCTAGGATGGCGTTCCTACACGTGCAGTTCTAGTTCGGTTTGGATGACCGACCCCGTCCTTGTCTCGAACTACTCGTCTCGAACTACTTATCTCGAACTACTTGTCTCGAACTACAACTACATACCGTTAGCACCTCATGGCGAAGGGGAAACTGACGGTGGCTATGCTCTGTCAACAAGCGTGTTCCTGAGACATTCTAGAAAAACCTGCGACTCTTCCGAGAGCATAGCCTCTCTATTAACTGGCGATAAGCTGCTAGACGTCCTAGGCGTTGTTTAGACGGCCGCAACTAGTTAGATATATATCCGCATCTAGACGGCAATGAGCAGCGGAAATACCGCAGCAGACCAATGGAGAATTCTTCAAGTCTGGCACGCCACGAGATGATAGTAATAAATAATAATCATGTAGTGTAAGTGTAGTGTGCGTATGTAGTGGACATCTAGGAAGTTATCTAGGAAGTTGTTTAGGAGATATTTCGGCGACTATTGCGATTGGAGCGTAAAAGAGAGAGAAGACTTTTTAGGAGTGGCGCACATCCCTACCTTCCACCTACTTGCCTATTAAAATATCCGCTATGCAATCGCAACTGTAACACAAGCTTAGGTAACGTCATCAATTCCACTATATTCCGCTATTCGACTCGGTTCGGATAATTAGACATTCTCGCATTATTAATACTATTTCTATTAATGCTATAATTATTCAGCAATTCGGAATATAATACTCGAATAGCACCATCTTCCAGTACCATACTACCATATGTACTATCATACTAAACTAGTCTCTAAATGCCCCAATTGGGCGGTTATTCTTTCTCCCCTTTCTTCTACGCAATTCTAAATGTAAGCACGATGGAAATGATAGATGGGGGTCCCCATTATTGCCTCCGTGGTTCCATGGACCATGGTAACATACCTACCTCATATATAAAATAACTTCATTCCAAAATGGCAATAAACTTTATCTCACCCGAATTATCGAAAAGCCGGTAACACACAGCTGTCTTACTTTCCTTTCGGCCCTCATTGAACCGAGTTTGTAACACCCCTTTATCATCTCCGCAAAACACGCCAAGACTATCTTCGATTCTCTTGGAGAGTCTGACTGCATACACTCTACTACATCGAAAATCCTAGCTGATCCTTCCGAGTCGTATACGGATATCATGTCGTCCACATTTCACAAGCCGGCCCCCAATGTCCCCTACTGGACGCCGGCCCAAGACCCTCCTGCCGGATCGGCCCTGGACCCGGCCTCAGCCCCGACCCTGTTTAAGCCGATAAAGATCCGGGGCGTGGAATTGCAGAATCGACTCGTCGTCGCCCCTATGTGCCAATACAGTGCTGACGACGGACATGCCTCTGATTGGCACTTTGCTCATCTGTCTAAGTTCATAATTCACGGTACTCCCCTGACAATTATCGAGGCCACTAGTGTTACCCCCAACGGCCGTATCAGCCCCGACGATCTCGGTCTCTGGAAAGACAGCCAGATCGCCGGCCTAAAGCGTATCGCAGACTTTGCTCACTCCCAAAATCAGAAGCTTGGTATCCAGCTCGCCCACGCCGGCCGCAAGGCCAGTACCCTAGCCCCTTGGCTTGTGACCGATGGTTCTGTAGGCGCCCTCGCCTCCCCTGAAGAGGGCGGTTGGGGTGACAACGTGTGGGCGCCTAGCGCCATCAAGTACACCAACAACTTTCCGGACCCCAAGGCCATGACTATCGATGACATCAAGACCCTCGTGCAAGCCTTCAAGGACGCAGCCAGGAGATCCGTCGAGGCCGGTATCGACGTCATCGAGATCCATGCCGCTCACGGGTATCTCATAACAGAGTTCCTCTCGCCGCTCAGCAACAAGCGGACGGATAACTACGGTGGCAGCTTTGAAAACCGCACTCGCCTACTCTTCGAGATCATCGAGGCAATCCGTAGCGTTATCCCCGAGACTATGCCCTTGTTCGTGCGCATTTCGGCGACCGAGTGGATGGAGTGGTCCGACGAGCCTAGTTGGAACCTTGAGCAAAGCATTCGCCTCGCCAAGCTCCTCCCTGCTGCCGGTGTCGACCTACTCGACGTCAGCTCTGGAGGTAACAGTGATAGGGCGAAGCTCAACGTGCACCCGTACTATCAGATTGACCTTGCGGGCAAGATTCGCGAGGTCATTAAGAAGGAGAATCTAAACCTCCTTATCGGTGCCGTCGGACTGGTCACAACCGCCGAGACGGCACGCTCGATTGTCCAGGAGGGCAAGTCGTTGACTCAGGGTGCTACAGCGCACGACAGTGCCGAGGTCGGTGAAGAGGCGGGACAGATTGCGCAGGCGGATATTGTGCTGGTCGCCCGGCAATATCTGCGCGAGCCGGAGTTCACTCTACGTGTCGCACACGAGTTGGGTGTGGAGGTGAAGTGGCCCATCCAGTACTCTAGGGCACAATGGCAAAAGGGCCAGAAGATTTAGACGAAGATGGAACGGGTTATGATATATTAATGCTTATAAACGGCAGCACGGCGCATAATATAGATGGGGTATAGCAAAGCGTATCCACCGTTTTAATAGACGAAATAAAGTTAAAATTTCAAGTTTCAACTACGTATTATATGTATTGGTGCATTTCTCAATTCTCATCCTAACCCATACTAATTTCTAACCTCTACCCTTGCAACTCCGCCATCACCCCATACGCCTGCCCATGACTTTCAATTCGAATCAAAATTTAGCCCCCGGAGGATACTTCTTATCGTTCACCTCTACCTTGGGCTCACAGACACACCAGTCTTGCGGTGGGATGTTGTCTAGGACGGAAGAAATGTGGCTTCCGCAGCCGACCCACGTAGTTTTGTCTAGCGAGAGGCATGTTAGGTATATATCAGAGATAGTATAGATTTGATGAGTAACTAGGTATTTATATACTCTCTGTAACTTACGGCAGGTGGAGCAATTGGCTTTCATACACATCGTGAGGGAATTAGTCTTGTGTCTGAGGTAAGATGGTTCTTAGAGATTAATGGCCAGTATAGCTTCGATAGATAAACGCGTAATTGTTTTTTTCTCTTTTCTTTTCGTTTCGCTAGGGCGGCGTTTATTTAAGTAGATGCCTAGATAGAAGAGTTGTTTGCCATTAATGCCGCCGACTTGTCTATTTATGGGTCAAAACTACTACATAGGTTAGTCCCCGAGTAGCAGCAGCCGAGGAATTCGGCGATTGGAATAGACGGCGCAAATGCCCGCGTGGTCGGCGAATATGAGCCGCCATTGCCCACATGATCGAACTTTAATTTATTAGCGCGCTAGTTTTATTTATTCTTGCTTCTTGTCTCGTGATAGGTGCTTTTAAGTAATAAAAGCGATTATTCCCCTATATATACAAAGTACTACTATACAATTACATTCGTAAGCAACCATATATATATTAAACTTAAATTCATTGGAAATTATATGAATCTGCCTTTTATAAACAAAATCGATAAGCATGGCATGTTGCTCACTAATTTTCAGCCAATGACATACTATATGGTCTTGGACATAATCGTATTATTTATAAACTTAATGTATCCAAACAGTTACGTTAATCGTCACATGTGTATATTAAGGACGAACCACACAACTAAATACGACATTCTTACGCGAGAATAAACCATTCTAGGTATAAGCATCTACTAGCCATATGACTAAAGCCTAAATAGATTAAATCTCATAAGTTTCACGTAGTTGATGGTTGAGCTCTCCTTTGTTTGAAAGAAATGGGGACTTGAGATGGTTAATGGTAAACACTCACCCGTTTAGAATATGAGGAGTGGACGAGGAGATGCGTGACGGGGGAGAAAATCCTCGAGTTGACTGCGTATGAGTTCGAGGACAAGTATGAGATAGCAGGGGGGTCTGGAGAGCGGGCAAGGAAACGAGTCGGTGTGCTATATTATGTACAGCCGGCTGAAGGAGGGCAATAATCAGGACTGGTCTTGGCGCTATGTAGCTACTATGGGCCAATTTGGGATAGAGGTCTTTGAGGATGTTGTTGGGCTCTTGCATTGGTATAAGAATTGGTCTCAGCCGAGGCAGAGGGACTTTGAGATTATGGCTGAGGAGGTGTTCCAAGCTTGAATAGGACGGAAAATATTTCCTATACGATTTCCATGTCCTAGTATTGATTCCCGTGGCTCAGTTCACGACGCTAAGTGTTTGATAATAGGAGACAAATTAAGCGGTTTACCAAATATTTCGAGGCGACTTTTCAGTCATCGCTAGACCATTTTATATACCTATTCTTGAGTTTAAACGGTATGATTAGTTCAGCCTTAGGAATATAATATCTGGGAAGTAGAACGCCTCTTATATCTTTGAGGTTACTGGGACCTTATTATAAAAAATATTGATACTATAATAATTGGAATTTAATTATTTGCTCTTTTACTTGTTTTAAAGGCCCTGTATTTTCTTTACCCTTTCCTAAACATGTTAGTTTAACTGGCACCTATATTCCCCCATGAAAGACTAGACATCTATGTTTATGGTATGGGTTGTAAGCTCGATATTAATAGTCCTAGCTAAACCCCACGCTTCATTATTCCAACCTGTCTCTGAAAGCGAAAATTGTGTATATCGTTTCATTAACTGTTTCAAACAAAATGGGTTAACATACAAATATCTGTCGTACACTCATACTTAGGCCGTCTGCCATTCATAAAGTACCTAACATACATACCACACAGTTATTAAGATACATGCTCCCGCTGCAGGCCAACCTCGCATACCGACTTAATTAATTGCAAAGCAAGCTCCTTTCCGCGACTGAGAGATTCAGGGTCAGGGTGCAAGGGGACGTGCAAGAAGATTACTTTCTTAGGCCGTTGTTGCTTATACAGGTGAGCTAGGCTCGAGAAGTAGATGAAGTCGCATAGGTAGTGCCCAGCGTTGTCGGAGATCTGTAGTCTGAGGTTATCCTTTATAGTAATTGATATCAGTACGTAAAATATTAAGAGATATGAGATAGGAGCAGAATTCTTACCGGGCTTCGCTCAACCCATCGCTTATAGATCTTTCCGATCTCTAAGTCGGTTAAGAGCTCTCCGGGAACGTCACTGCAGATAATAAGCTGATACCCACGATATGCAGAATGCTATATAGTTCAAGTGTACTTACTGCCATATCCACTTATCCCCTTCAAGCTTATGTCTCTGTTCATCACCAAGAAGTTGACCATCAACATCCTGCTTATCGTATCCATCACGATGACCCCGCCTCTCAATAGAATAAACATGCTGCGGACCCGCCATTCCTATATGGATGACATAGTCAACCTTCTGCTCCGGATCATCCCACAGCGTCGGTACTAAGTCCCGAACAACTTGGTAGTTGACGCGGACCGGGCCGTGCTTTAGGATCCGGACCGCCGGCAGGGCAGACGGAGCTTGCCGCGCGGGATCCTTAACCCTGTCAGGCGGGAGATAATCCGGTAACGAAGCGGTTATCTCCCACGCGGGATTCACGGGATACTGCTCTTTGAAGGGCTACACGCAACTAATTAGCTAGGGAACGAGGGCATGGCGCAGACTGGGTACGTACACCGAAGCCGGTGACCAGCACGGTCAGCTCGTCTTTGGGAGAGTCGAGCGAACCCATCGAGCCTTATTAGTAAACGCAAGGGATGGAGCGAGCGGCCGAGAAGAATATATCCAAAAGGGGGAACGAAGCTGAGCTAGGTTCGTTTCGATTAAAGTACCCGGATATGGCGCGTATACTTTATTGTATATATGTATGACTGTATGTATGGCACGAGTTGCGGGGTATTGCTGTCGTGCTATCTTGGAGGGGTAAAGCTCTCCTATTGGGGCTACGCTTTTCAGCTCTTGGGGAAGATTGAGACAAAGTGTCACTGTCTGACGGTTTTGCATGTACTTAATATACTCCTCCCACAGGCCTATCTGCAATTTCTGTATTCTATACCGACCTACTAATCGCCCAGACGTTAGGCCTCAACGATCCGGCTTTGACGCTGCCTGAGATGACATTGCAAATGCGTTTCCCTATACGAGAGTTGGAGATGGTAGGATACCCCGATCACGACTCGAGCCAAAAACCTATAAGAGCCGTCCCATCTCACGTAAGAAGCGGTTCTGCAGTACGCGGGAGGTATTACTGTGCGTCTAAATGGATATGTAGGTACCTGGGTAGGATAGGTATGTAAGTTGAGATGAACAAGTCAATCAATCAATAATGTAAGCTAAAGTTTGGGTTGACAGGAGCATTCAACGTTGCTATTGGAAGCTTAAGCTATTAAGTTTATGGGGGCATGCGACATGCGACATGCCTATGGGAATTACAGCGCTATCTTATTTAGTGGAGCTTGTCAGACGGCAACCTCAGGGGAATACACTTAGGGACTTAGGTACACTTACATACTCGTACAACGCAGAGCGGGACTACAAAGAAAAAGTACAAAAATTTAATATACGCCATTTTTCAAGCACGTCATATTATCAGATATGGTAGCGTATACCTTTCCTTGTGTCTCGGAGAGCTAGTATTAACGTGATGAATTTCAACCACTCAGGTCGACTATGAAGTGAGCGCCGCCAATAGCGTCGGTAGTCATGTAAGCCAACTCCTGAGAACCATTGGAAACTGGAGCAGACCAAGGTACACGAACACTCATAAACAAGTAGTGAGACATGTATAACTAACTCAATTCCATCTAAAGCGGCCATGGCCTTTACATGTTCCGTTCCATGTTCGTAGCATCCTCTACCGCGGTTTGTCCCCCTTTCCATCTCCCCACCTCCTTAACAAGCCACACACACACACACACATACACACACACATCGCCAAACCCACCACTAACCCACCTCCAGGCTCTAGTAGGTCTAGCCGCCGCCGCCGCAACCGGTATCTTCACCGGCAGCGGTAGCATCGGCTTTCTTCTCGGGTCCTGCGCGGGCTTCGTCGGCGGCTCGCTGCACTACTACCGGATGTGTCTAGCACAAGCGCTCTCCTCGCTCGACGAGCATCCGCGCCTCATGCAGTTGCACTTAGCCTACAATTTCCCGTGGCTAGGCTACCAGCACTTGCGCCGGAACCAGCTGTGTTCTAAGGAGTGGACTCGGGCGTCCTACGCACGTCAGGGGAACCTGATCGCAGCTTGGTTGAGCGCTTCGGACGCTTTGGATGAGATACACGACAGGAAGACGGCCTTGATTCTGGAGGCTATTATTCGCCAGGAGACGGCTAAGGGATTAATCGAAGACAAGGAGGAATGAGACGTGATAGACGTTAGGGAATGTAGATAGATAGGAGGCACCAACCAACATACTTCCCCAATTTTGTTAATTATCACATCGAAATAACTTTTCACAAGTTTATTATAGTAAACGATCTGATATTAAAAAGCTTCACACAAAAAAATGAATATCTTATGGCTGGCCGAGTCAGGCGTACTTATAGCCAATACACAATCAAAAGCAACCCCCTATAAGAGAGTATATTCGTGAGTGTAGCTACTGTATACCTTTAAGGGCACCATTCCCCGTAGGAGCCTCCTTGTCCAGTATTTTCAGCTCGCCAGCGTCATCATACGCAACTCGACCCTCATTAACCGCCCTACGCAAGTCTTCCGGGAGGATATCCTTCTCTCCTGTTTTCGGATCCCACGCGTAGCCCTCCTGCATCCATAACCACCTAAGACAAGCACGGAGTTCCTTATCTTCTGGCAACACTCGCATCCACTCAGGTTGGAATTCTCCTTCGCGCCCCTTACCTCTCCAGTCTTCTGCACGGCCGAGAAGGACATCCCTACAGAATATTCTCCAGCTGTCTATAGCATACCGACCTTGTGTCATGTGGCCAATTTCCCAAGCCGACGACCTGGGATCGTCAGGACTTAATATTTCTGCAGTCCGGACGTCGGCCCCGTCTCCCAGCCGTGGATAATTCTTCACGCCATATCGAATGCCAGCTCGAGGTGGGTTCTCTATCCATATTCGTGCATATTTCTGAATTGCAGTAGCTCGAACCGCAGAAAGACCGAGGTGTCTAATCATTGTTATTATATCGTTTGTATCTGCTTCTGCTAGATGTCTCGGTGTCGGATACTTTTCTACGATATCGTGGAACACGGGTATTGAATGTTTCCCCTTTACTCGTATCAGAAAGGTCACTGCGATAAGCAAACGAAGAGGATCGGTTGCGAGGTCTTCTTGAATCAAGCCGAAATTGGGGGCGTCTAAACGTGGGAAAGGTACGCAAGGAACTGTTCCTCGAGGAGGTCGGGGATATTTTATCTTAAGCGGGTTAAGCATGTCCATTGTGTCAAAGTAAGGGGACTTCGTTTTGCGTTTTGGAGTCAGACATGTTGCTACTGGTTGAGGAGGCGTGTTATCTCTCCCATGAGATGCTGCACCGTTGATTTCTGGTCCCCTATTTTCGTCTAATTTGCCTAAACTTAACGTAGCTGCGCCTAAGGTTCTTTCAACATTTCCGGGTGTAGGTGATGATGATTGCAAGCCTGCTAATGACTTTTCTGCTTCAGTATTTGTATGAGAAACGCGTAGCGGAAGAGTAGTATGCAAAACACCACTCTGGCCACTCATAGACTCCCGGCTGTCTATGAGTGACGACCTTTTAAAGAGATTCTAAGATCCTTAAGAAGTAACGGAGGATTTATCTCCTGTTCGGCATTACGGAATTCCAGCGATGTAGAGATGTTTTCTTGGCTGTGGCGAACTTTGAGGACTTCTTGAAGAATTAGGCTCTCAGGTAGAGGCATAGTGATAGACTCGGGCAGTGACTCTCTAGCCTTTCTGTCTCTCTTTATCTTCTTTGAGCTCTTCCTACTCTTCCTCTTCTCGCTTTTCGACTCCTTTTTGTCATCCGCTGACTGGTGGAATTGCTGAAGGGAAGAATCTGGGTTATTTGCGGACCAGAATGGCGATATCTTGTTCATACCGTGTTTCTTGGTAGGCTGCTCTGGATCTGTCTGTTCGTGAGTTGCATCTCTCTTCCTTTTTCCTGGTTTCGTGCTTGTCTGAGGAGGTTGAGGTTCTTGTGCAACGTCTTTATGAAGATTCGACGCCTGTCCGCTGATGACACCATCTAGAGGGCCAGAGCGTGGGGAGAGAACCTCGGTGAGGAAGGTGAGGAGGTCTTGTCCCTCGAGAGGGTCATCGAAAGAAGAGGCTTCTTTCAATTCTTTCAAAGTGTTTGCGCAGGAGAACATCAGATGCCACTCTTCATAGCCACGCATCAGGCTGTGGTGAGTGAAGTGTTTGATGTCATCCTCAGACGCCCATCCGTTCACTATTATGTCTCCGAGGTACCACTCTTGAGATTTACCGGAAATGTCAAAGCCATATGTGTAATCGAGAGCTAGCCGGCTACGAGCCTCATCATCCGTCTTGGCTAAATGATCGTCCGCCATCTGATTCATAGCACCAACGAAACACCTGTAAGAATCTAAGCTAGGGACTTGGATGGTTATTGAAGACGGATGCTTCGCTACGAATGAAGCGACGGTATCTAGACGAGCCACTTGGACATACCTAGGTATATTTAAATGCTATCTTTTCTAGATGTGTCGAGTCTAGAGTGTGAGTATCACTTCGAAGAAATTGTGTTGGTGGATGGTTGCTATGTTTTTTTGGTTGGATAGGTGATGTGATGTCAGGTATTGTTGGGAAGTTGATTGGGCCGGTTTGGATTAGTTGTAACAGATATGTACGTTGAGAGACACGGTTCATCTAATGAGAAAGGTAAAAATAAATGTATAAATGTAGAAGGACCTCAATACGTACCTAGGTACATTTGGGCGATTGAGGTCACCGCCTTACCTGCACACCTATAGGTGCTAATAGGTATAAGGTAGACGGCGACTATAGCGAGTTTATGTACTATGTTGTAGTCTGGTATGTACACTGAATTATCTGAATTACAGTACTGGAGACTTAAGGTTGAGGCTAAGGAAGACCCCTCCTTCTTTTTCCCCGTGCGCACCTTCTTACTTCTTCAAAAGATTATCCTATCTAATGACTCACTGCGGATATTCTTATACCTTATTAATGTAATGTACAGGTAATCTACCTTATGTATGTGCCTACCTTATGAAGTATACGTGTGGATAGCTTCCGTCGACAAAGGTAGCTTTATCCCCAGACTGAAATTACTCCATGCGTAGTGCCTAGGTACACCGGGTAAGTAAATGTGCAATTCGAGGTTAACCGAGTTGAGAGAAAATATTCTCATCATAAAAATCCATTATCAAGTCGCCCATGTACTTCAAGTAAACTTTCCGTGAACGTCTAAAATTTAGGAACTTGATATACACTCTAGAGTCGTGACTCGGGATTACTCCAACCCCTTGCAACCTCAAGTCTTTTTCTTCTTCTCCCCTTGCCATAACAAAGGAGCGGTATGGTAGCTTAGTAGTACATACAGCAGTGGATATCCTTACGAGCGGACCTTGTCGGTTGCCTTTGGTGGGTCGTAGGCGATCTTCCTCGACTTGAGCGTCGCCCACTTGTATCGCTTAACCCAGACACTTAGAGCGAATAGGACTGCGGTAACAGTCAACACCTTCATGCCCATTCGTTTTCGGTCATCCATCTCAGGTTCCGCCGCCCAGTTCAAAAACTCGGTCACATCCTTGGCCATCTGCGAGGTAGACGCAGGGGTCTCATCCTCATACTCCACAAGACCATCGTATAGGACACGGGCCATAGCAATACCGGTGCCCGGGAAGTAAGGGTTGAAGTTGAGACCGGCGCCGACCTGAGCACCCGCCGGCGGCTCGTCGGGGTATCCAGTCAGTAAGCTGAAAATGTAGTCACAGCCACCGTGTCGGCCCTTGACAATTAAGCTTAGATCGGGAGGAAGGGCACCATTGTTGGCAGCTCGAGCAGCCTCGTCGTTCTTGTACGGGGCCGGGATGTAATCCGAAAGCTTTCCGGGTCGCTTCTCGATTTCACCCTCATCGTTGGGCTCGGTGTCGTACTCGTTCTGTTCCGCCAATTCCTTCGCCTCATCTACAGTTAGGACAGTTCCAACAAGTGCTCGGTAAGGAACTCGGCTAAGTGAATGGCATGCCGCGCAAACTTCTTGGTAGACTTGGAAACCTCGACGAAGTCTAATGGTCTGTAAGTAACGGTAGAGCTTTAAAAGCATGAGATTTTACACTTACGCTTGGTGATCAAAAGTCTTGAACCACTGCTGGTGAACCCAGGGGTATGCCGTCGGGTGCAGACTAATTTGACGTATTAGCATCATTAGTATATAGGATACTAGATAATCTCCCATCTATCCTCCAGTGTCGGATTAAAGGAAGATAAATCGTATGATTCTTCCGTATATAGAAACCCGGACTCACCCTTCCTCGGCGGGCGTCATGGCGTGCGCGGTAGATCCATAGAGATGGTAGTACCATGCCACGGATCCGATAGCGAGAGCTGTGGAAGCGGCGGCGGTTACATTCAGTTTCAGAGGGGATTCGGCTCCGGCACCAGATGTGGAGATGGACCGCTGCAGAATTACTATAGTTAGCTACATTATTGCTTCCTCCGCTATATATAATTGTAACAGCTATTGTTGTAGCCACCGGGCTTTGTAGATGGGAGTTCTGGACGACGTCAGTCGATGCGTACCTTAGTGAAGGCGGTCGCGCCATTTCTGGCGCCGTTGAAAATGCGCATAGAGCGCAGGCAAGACCTTGCCAACATGAAGGGCGAGTTTCTACCCGTTCGTAGGAGGTGGGCAACGGGTAAGTTGACAATGCAATGGCGGAACGGGGCAAGATTCGTCGTTGGGGTTGGAAGAGGTCGAACCGGTTTAAACAACAAGGTTGAATGAAAAAGTGCTCAGGCCTTGAAGCAATTGGAAATAGCTGAATCCTATTGGCCGAGGTTAGCTTCGCTGGGCTTATTCCACTATGCACGTGACTACATCTGCCAAGACTTAGGTTTTTCTTAGTCGTATGGGCCTAAACCCAGCAGATTGGGAACCGCCATTCATGATTCATCGGCCTACAACGAACCTTTCTACCGAGCTTCTTTACTTCACGGATACCTAGAACAACCTCGAGTTGGAGACAAATTCAACACTTCCTGTAATTTGTTTCCTATTATTCCTATTATTCCTACATGGTATTTTATCGTGTTAAACTTAGTTAAACCTATTGGTCCCATTTCTAAGAAGGACCTAAGTATAAGAATTGTAATTAGTTAACTAATGCAAAGAACGCTTTAGTTTATCTTTTTTCCCCTTCCTTTGTGCCGAACTTTTGGATATCTTCAAATTTTTAAACCACCTTTTATTACAGATCGCGAGACTTCTCCTTCTTTGTTTTTTATGATAGGTGACTCTCATCTAAGCACTCCTAATTTCCAACGGACGACCATTTATACCAGCTACCTTCCTCCGCTCTTTGACGGCATTTGCGAGAGTAGCGAGGACTGATTCCGTGTCTTCCCATCCAATGCAAGCATCTGTGATACTGACACCGTACTGCAGACCATCCTTGCCTTCTTTAGGTACCTTCTGGCTGCCTATAAGAGCGAATAGTTAGCAATCTAAACTAAGTACCTGGATCATACGGAACGCTTACCTTCGTTTATATGACTTTCGATCATAACTCCCATAATGCCGGTCTCTCCCTTGGAGATCTGCCCTGCTATGTCAGCAGCAACCTTAGGCTGGTTCATGTGGTTCTTCAGCGAGTTTCCATGACTGCAGTCTACCATGAGACGTTGGCTCAAACCTGACTTAGCTAGGGCAACCTTGGCCTCTGCGATGCTCTTCGCGTCGTAATTGGTACCACGGCTTCCGCCCCGGAGGATCACGAAGCAGTCCTCGTTACCAACAGTGCCAACGATAGCTACAACCCCAGGCTTCGTAACGGAGAGGAAATGATGAGGATGTCTGACAGCACCGATAGCATCAATGGCAACACCCAATGTTCCGTCAGTGCCGTTCTTGAATCCTACCGGGAAAGACAAGCCACTCGCCAATTCACGGTGCAACTGACTTTCGGTTGTCCTAGCGCCCACGGCTCCGACTGAGAGGACATCTGCTAGGAACTGTGGTGAGATAGTGTCCAGCATCTCGCTAGCGATGGGCATCCCTTTGTCGTTGAGGTCGACGAAGAGTTGCCTTGACATGCGCAATCCTTTGTTAATTTGGAAGCTGTTATCGATCTCGGGGTCGTTTATTAGACCCTTCCAGCCTATTGTTGTTCGTGGTTTCTCAAGGTAAGCCCGCATGACGATGAGTAACTCATCCTTGTACTTCTCCTTCTCCTTCAGTAGTCTATCGCAGTATTCGAGGGCCGACTTCGGGTCATGAATGGAGCATGGTCCAATGATGACTAGAAGTCTCTCCTTTTCATCGGTGCCATTGACTACGGCTACTATTTCATCGCGGCTTTCGAGGACCGTCTGCTTCGATTTGGCCGTATGTGGGATTTCGTGCTGGAGGAGGTCCGGAGGCGTTAGGGGATTGTAGCCGCGGACTAAAGAACCAATTAGCTCCATAATCCTTTGTCTTCTGAGGGTCCATACGTACTTCTCCAGTCATCCCCAGTGGTTTTGTTGCCGACGTCCCTGTTTGGAATGTAGAAGCTCTTTAAATGCCATAAGTCAGTCGGTTATCTAGGCTTGCCTTTTGAAGGTCTAAGTTAAGATATACTTACAGACATGATGGGCTAATGAAAGTGAATATAGTCCCTTGTATACAGTAGAAGAAAGCCACTTCGAAGATAATCAGCACCTAACAAGAAATAGGTGGTGAATTGGATATAGTGGAATTGCTTCTATTCTGTCGCAAAGCAGCCGATCGTCGCAAGATCTAGAAAATAAATACATGTATAAGCCCATGCAACCAAGAGTCATAGTGGCCATGCAATCAAGAGTCATAGTGGGGGTGGGGACTATTAGTGAAATTTTTAGTGAAGATTCGGAGGGGCGATAGCTCCGATGGCGGGGTAGGAATACCTTTAAAAAAGCACTGAACAGGGGTTCAATTTGAAGCTTCTTGCGTGCAATGTACAATGCCTAAAATAGTTGCCTCCGTACAGAGAAACTCATAGGTAAAGTATTAAGTTCAAATCAGGAGAGATGTCTAAGTGGCCCCTTTCTCGACTACATTTATACTATCTACAATCAAAGAACCTCTATCAAACCCAAATACTCTAGTATCCCATGTCCATTATCTCGAATCTCTTTGAAAACTCGGTTCGTCCGATATGGTTATCTAATGCTGCTTGTATAAGCTAAGATTTCTACATAAGCAAATACATAAAAGCTTTGATCTACTGAATTTATGAGATATTTTTCATTGTGATGCCCTAATATCCAGAAATCTTATTCACTTCCTCTTCCGGATGCCTGCAGGATCCGCTACAGCCTCCTTTTTAAATTCCTCGATACCGTTGATCTTTCCATACGTCCATTTTAACACCGTAGTGCTCCCGGTCATCAACAGGGCAGAGAACGTAAACAATACCATCCGCTGCCACATGTTAAGCTTATCGAAAATGGGATAGGGGTACCTTTTCGAGAAGTTAGAACGACAAAGCTTTTTTTGGAAGCGGACAAAGGAAATAAAGCAGCATACCAGCCGTTGCGGGAGAAGCAGTACTCTACCCAAAACCAGTATAGCAGCGCCAAGGTTTCGCTCAGAGCCAACGCTGAGAAGCCATGAATCGTCCACGGCGGACTGAGGAGCAGCAGATCCACCGCTAGGAAAACTGCCGGCGCGGCATGGAATCCTAGATCTGGGAGCAGGTCCAACTGGAACTCGGGCGGGAAGACCAGACTTTTGTCGATGGCGCAAAGACCCCAATACAGGATGCTGATCAATACCTCGAGCGGCGCCGAGCACACGGAGAGGATATTCTTCAGCGCAAATAGCCGGGAGGACAGCGTAACGTCGGCTAGAAATCCGACGCCGAAGGTGCATAGCGAGAGAGAGAGACCGATAATGGTGAGAAACTGGAAGTGCCCGCCGAAGGCAGCTGACATTGGCGTTTCCCATGTACTCAGAAACTTGAACGAGCTCGCAAAAGACAGTATTCCCGCCAGGTGAAGCAAAAAGGAAAGCTGTCTCGACGGGGATGCGAGCCTCTGAAGCGGATGACGACCGGCCATTTCGGCAGCAAAGTGAATGACGATGTGATATGAACTTTCCAAATAGTTTCTCTCAGACAGATACCAATACACTCAATGAATAAACAAATAAATTAACCCACACCAAAGTGTCTAGCTCGAATATGTATCCAACGTCGCAATTCAATATAACAACATATTGGGTATCACCGGAAAGGAGGTGTCATGTCAAATAAATTGCCCTTACTTTAGGAAACACACATGAAAATGTGGCTTGAAAGTGGGTATGTACTGGATGTTTGATTGCTTGACCGGACTGTCGGGTCTTGCATCCTGCCCGGCATCTCTGATCTACCAATGGCGCCAGGCGCCGGATGCACGAGGTCTGCGAGTGGCCGAAACTTGCGGTTTTGGTAGGTTATTGAAATTGGTATGGTACTACATTTTATATGACGTAGCTGTGGGTATAAAAACCGTATCCAACTGCACGAAGCCACTGGAGCTGCAATATATACCTGTAAAGCTAATAATTCCTCATTTATGAGATTTATATAATAATATCGTATCTTATTTTCTTCATTTTTATCTTGTAATACACTATTCTTTAAAATAACTAGTGTTATATGTAGGTATCGGCTATTATTCAGTCTCAAGCTCTTAACTCAAAGACGACATTATACTCAAGTTAACTATTATCGAGTTATATATACACACACTTAGGCTATATCAATATTAAGGATCTTGATATCCTCTTCGGGCTTCTCCTTGTACGTTCGTACGTTCTCTATCTTGTGGATCACGTCTAATCCCTGCACTGCCCTCCCGAATATCGTATGCTTATTATCAAGCCATGGCGTTTTCTCTGTCGTGATGAAAAACTGGCTTCCGTTGGTGTTTGGACCAGCATTCGCCATACTGACGGTATAAGGCTTGTCGTGTTTGAGGGTACTGAACTCATCCTCAAATTCCTTCCCCCATATACTCTCACCACCCGTACCGTCGCCCAAGGGATCGCCTCCTTGGATCATGAACTTGCGTATTACTCTGTGGAAGATGGTATTATTGTAATATCCGCATTTGGAATGAGTTACAAAGTTCTCGACGGCCTTCGGCGCAGCGTCGGGGAAGAGCCGGATGTGGATATCTCCATATGTTGTACGAAGGATGGCTGCTGTGCCAGTCTCGCTGGCCTTTTTCTGGGTGGCTTGCTTAGGGTTTATTATGGTTGGCTTCTCGTTCTGAACATCTCTTTCTGATCTGGATATCTCTTCATCGTTCGTAAACATATAAAAGCGAACCTTCCCTACAGCCGTTGTGAACAGTATCGGGTCTCTCGCCTCTGATTCTTGCAAGAGGGGATTGCTTGAAGCAGCCATTTCCACAGTTGTAACACCTTTCTTCTGAGGTTGCCCTTGGTATATAGCAAGGTTAATTGGGCGTATATGTTCATCTTTCCCATACACTTTCACAATTTGGTTAGTATATGTGTTCAACACTTTGACGCCGAGGATGGAGCCATATAAGATGAAGTGGCCCGATTCGTCGAAAATGACATTGACCTTATTTCGAAGCAAAGGAGTTTCAATCTCGCGCTCCGCAGCGAGTCTTCTTCCAAAGTCGACATCATCTAGCTTTTGCATGGATGTCCCTGCTCGTTGCATCTCTTCAATGACCTGTAGAGATTCGTCATAGGTCCGATACAGCTTAGCCGACGCAAATTCGAAAACTCGAATCTTACGATCAGGTAGAGAGAATGTGACAAATTGATGACCTGAGGGTGATATCGTTAAGGAGACCGGCGTCGACTTCGCTTTCTTAAAATCAAAGAGATTGGTAGAGCTCTTGTATTGGAACACATTTTCCGGCTTTTCGTAGTTGGCGCTTGGCGACCAGTACTCAAGCATTCCGTTGTCGTCGGCAGATACCACACAGTCGTAGGCGTCATTAAAGGCCATTATCGACACAGGACTCCTATGTAGGCCCTTGATAGTGTGTATCGGTGTCTGGTTTTCTCCACGCCCGTCATATATGTAAATCAACGGTTTTGAGTCGTCCGAGACAGCTAGGAGCGGTAACGAAGCGCCGAGTTTATGTACCCAACAGACGCACTTAGGGACGTAGTCTAGAGGAAGCATGGCGAGAAGGTCGAAAGTGATGACATCAAAAATCTTGACAGTTTTGTCGATGCCGGCTGTCGCAAAGCTCCGCCCGTCATGGCTAACTGAGACCGACCGTACTTCGCCCTGGTGAGCCTTAAACTCTTTAATGAACTCAATTCCTTGCTCAACTTTCTTCCAGAACTTGACTACTCCGTCCACAGATGTTGTAATGAGAAAATCAGATCGCGTGACGTTCATAAAAGCTAACTGCTCCTTGTGCATAAGAGATTTCGAGTAGCGTGCTGACTTAGGTAGTGCTTCGATATAGAGCTTTTCGTGTGGTAGAACGCGTCGTTTCTTCTTGGGTGCACTTGCTGTAGAGGGCAACTGGGGTCCTATATCATCATCTGAGGAGCTACCTGAGCGTAGGGAGTTAGTTTCACTATCCGCGTGGAATATTGAAAGGGCCATACCGTCGCCATTGTTTTCAGCGAAGTCAGAGTGACTTCTCTTGTTATTTACTTCAGCCATTTTGTAGACGCGTGTATTGCGAAGTTGCTGCCAAGGAACGACTCGATGGAAAAACTGTATAAAACCCGAAAAGCTAGACGTAGTTGTTGATTAAATGTTATATCGGGTTCTACTAGAGCTTCTACCAATAAGAAACTCGACCGGTTCAAGAAACACGGTATCTAGGCGAGGCTGTGATGAGGCTGCGAACAGCTCCAAAAATTCCCGGCGCTGCATCTTGTAAGCTCTTAATCTAGAGCTAGTTAATCTAAATAATGGGTTAGGTAAGCTTTTCCGTTTTATCGGTCTTCACGACTTCCAAGTTCCGATAGTAGCATGAGGCAAGCCCCACTGCCTAACCTTACCCCACCTATTTAGGACTTAAGCCTTGTGAAAGCAGGAAGGGTGCACCCGCTTCCACAACCTGAGCAGCCTTAGCTACAATACCCCACGATTTTAAGGTAACTGGCGCACACTGTACAATACCATGATATACGATACCGAGTTTCCCGATTTTGAGGTTTACGTACTTCGTAGGTACGAATATAATATAAGAATTCGAAAACTCTAGCTAAATTATTGCTAGCGTAGGAAAACTATCACACATGCATAGAATTAAGCATCGGATACCTATCGGATATAACCCCCATCTTGTTCTGCCTGCCCTAAGAACTTGAGAGAAATAGCAGCCAGTTAACGTTGCTTAATTGTGCGAGAGCGGAAAGCGGGGTAACACGTGTGGTGTATAATATACAGTATATAATTAATTATTTCTCTACTGTGACACATGTACACTAATCCTTTTTTTTCTTTGGAAGCCGAGCCGTCGGGGCCCTTGTCCTCCTACCACATTACAGTTTACGTGAACATCCCCGGTTCCAGTGCAGAGGGACTTGACCAATTCCAGTCATCGTATGGGATTCCGGGACTCGCATTCCCGGGGTCTTGCAGAATGTGCGCTTACCATAGGTACCCCTTTGGTCAATCATCCCCCGTCGTTCCGCTGGCTTGCCTACTGTACCTAGTCTTAGCCTTATCTTTTACGCATCCCTAGACCCCAGACCAGAGATAGAGAGAGAAAAGAGTGTTGGCAAGGCCTGGTATATTCGTCATTACCTATCACTCCTGCAAGGAAGAGTGTTTTAAGGCACGGAGCTATATAATATCAATCCCAATCCCCATTCCCAATCTCAACCCCAGATCGGTCATAAAGTCGCCCTCCCACCACCACGAAAGGTATTCGGTATTCTCCTCGCAACCAACCTCTCGGGACTATAACTGGATTGTAACTGTGCCATCTCATCCTTCCTCTTGTCCTGCATTGGTCAGCGAGCTGTGTAACAATCCTTCCCAGTTAACAGCTGCCTCTCAAACCGAGAGTCCTGCATGTCGAATATGCGCCGCGGTCGCTGTCGGAACGAGGGATATTGTGCTCGTACAATTTCCCATACTTAGGCCACTCACCGTGAGTAAGAGTCGCCGGCGTATAATGCCACGTCCGAAAAGACCCGGCGCACCAGAACCGAAAAGGCGAAGTCGAAATGGATGTTGGTATGTATATCATCCTTTATTATTCAGTACTTCCTCCTGCTATACTATCGTGCTGACTCTCACACCAGGCCGTGTAAAAACCGTAAGATCAAATGCGGCGAGGAGCGGCCCCATTGTTTAAAGTACACCATTTCTATTCCATCTTAGATATATCCCCCCACAAGAGTCTATAGTAGCTAACAGTTCTTACCTAAAGCTGTCAAAGAACAGGTGAAAAATGTGACTATAGCATCCGTTTGAACTGGGAAGGCCGAAGGGGGAAGCGGCCAGAGCCCGGTGTGCTAGATTTCAGCCAGGAAGTCTTATCGCCGCCTTTACCTGCTAGAGGGTTCAAGCTGGTGCACCAATATCCTTCATCTGATAACCCAGGAACACGGAGGCTTGAGCCCCTAACCGGTCCACAAAGTCAGCCAAAGCTCGACCGTAATAGGGCACCTTCCCAGATAGCAGTTCCTCTAGACAACCCATCATCCAGGACTGTCGGCGATACGGAATCATTGCCTGCCAGCAAGCGCGCAAAGCTGGCGTCGGATCTTCATACACCTGATCCCCAATCAACGCACCCGATTGAACAGAGGCACAACTCAGCGGCCAGCTCGACTTTAGACTCGAGTGTAGCATCCTTCAGGTTTACAGTTGGCTCTGGCCTAACGTCTGCTTCTCCTCTAACCCCTACCACATCGTCTACATACAGCGATGATGATCAACGTCACGCTAGCCGGAGACTTTCCGTAAACTCACTTTTGTCAATACCTCCAGGTCCTCAAGCTTTTCAAGACGAAAGTACTAGTCGAGTAAGGGCCAGCCTACCACCAATAGACACTCGAGCGCGCATGTCAACAGAAGCAACCTATTACGGCATTGACCGCGGTTTTCCGGATCGTGACCTAGGTAAGAATGAAGACATGATCGCTATTAGTGGGTCATCGCCGCTACTACAGCGCGAGTTTTTGGATACCCCTTTTGAACCGATTGATGATCTGGTTTGGACCGAATTTGGGTTCGGGGTCGAGACTAATGAGTTTATTGAAGAGGAGGGTGGATATTATTCAAGGCCGGTTTCGATATATATTCCTCGCAGCCTCGAGCCGCTTCCCACACAGTAAGTCAGCCGTCAACCACAAGAAAGTGCAAACTCCCTGGTGCGTATTGACATTTTGCTAGACTAATTGATAACCCTATGAACCTTCTTGTGAGTAGCGCTGTCCCAAGATCCCTACGCCATATCTAATAGTCGACAGTATTTCGTGAGTTGTATTATTCAATTCAATGGGGCCTTAACTTATATCTTGTAAACTAGCATCATTTCTTGAACCATACCGCTCGAGGTAAGTAAACCTTCCTGTCTTAGTTGATTATAAACTAAATCTTCATGTAGTTCTTGTTCCTTATGATGATCCACATGCAAATCCCTTCCGGACAATACTCCCGCAGATGGCTGTCAAGAATGACAACCTCTTGGCACTTCTTCTAGCATATTCTGGTAAGGATGTCAACTGTCTAAGTAGCTAAAATCATACTAAATTAGACACATAGCTTCGCATAGAGCACGCGTTTTGAACCACCCGGAGCCTACGATTCGGATTGCCACTTGGGTTGACAACGTATTCCCAGCTCTAAGGCAGGATCTGAATGACCCAGACAAGAATTTCTCAGATGCGAACCTCGCAACGGCTATTATGCTAGCTTCGCTTGAGATAATCTCACCGAAGGTATTCGGATATGATATGCCATGGCAAAGACATCTGGGCCTTGCGAGAGAACTCATAACTGCGCGCCCAGGTGGCCTTCGCGGATTCCAGTCGAACTTTCGCCACGACCCGGTCTGCTCTTTCTTGTGGAGCTGGGCTGCATATCTTGACGTTATAGGAAGCCTTAGTGGGGGACCGAAAGATTCATCATCAACGTGGATATTCGACTACGAAGTAGATGACATTATGGATGGCTATGATGAGATAGACTGCATCATGGGCTTCACTACGCGATGCATCTACCTTCTTGCCAACATTGCTGACCTGGCTAGGAAGTGTGATTCCGAGCGCATCGGAGACGACCTTGATGTGAAACAAGACTGGGAACCAAGCGGCGAAGTATTGGAGCAGGCCTCGAGGATTGAAGTAGCTATTAAGGATAGCATGGTTCAGTTGCCAGTGCCTTGCAAGCACATACACAAGAAAGGAGATGTGGAGAAGTGGGATAGGCGAGAGATGGAGGCAACAAACGAGGCTTTTCACTGGGCTGGGCTCGTACATCTCTACCGCAGGATCATGGGGAAGCCAACCGAAGACAGGTCCGTCCAGGTTGCAGTACAGAAGATCATCGACTGCTTCAGCCGTATTCGACCGGGCGGGACAGCAGAATCTTGCCTTTTGTTTCCTATGTTTACCGCGGGATGTGATGCTATTGATGAGAGACAGAGGACTCTAGTACTCAAACGATTCATGACAGCTGAGAATCACGGGATGACCCAGGTAAGCTTGATAAGTTTACTCTCCTAAGTAGCTACTTCTAACAACCTTTTAGATTCATAATGCACGCCGGCTCATGCAAAAGGTATGGGAAACGCAGAGGCCTTGGGAGACGTTGGTAAGCACGGAATTTATTGGATAATGTTTCGACTACCGAGACAGGAGCATAATGCCTATTGTTATGCTTGCAGAATAACCTTTTTGTAGGTTTGAATCTATCAGACAGGACTGGCTCTATATGAAGCCAACTATAGTCTTGATTATACGTTATAAGGGAGGAGGTTCACCATGGTGGAACGGTTTCAAATCATTAACGAGTAGCTTAGCAATATAAACCATTTGAAATGTCAGGAAATAAGTATGATTGTATTCAGAGAATTATGCTAAATCTTTTTTATTCAAGTACTTGGGTTCTATTTCCTGTCTAACTCATAAGTTGTAGGCCTCCCACTAGCGCTAGAGGCCCACCTTTATAAGGATTGTAACTCGTATACTCAATTACTGTTGTAGTACACCCGTGGATCGGAATGTTATATTACCTCATGTTGAGTAGTAGTATACTGAGTTCATCCTCGCGTATCTAGGAAATATGAGGCTCGGAATAGAGCCGGCTTGGCTTGGCTTGGCAGGCAGCGTTCCGCTATATTAATATTCTTGGCGCAAACTAGGGGATGCATGGTGGAAACCAGTGCCATGGAAGCACTGATAGGTATCAGTAAGTACTGCACAGTAGGTAGTACAGTGGGGTTAAATTTACCCCACCACTATCACGCGCTGTGAGCTCTTTAATATAGCGCGATTGACCCATAACGTTATAGGAGGATACGCAAATACAACGAAAGAGCTACTAGGTAAATCAGCAGCTGAGCCGAATATCTTAATACTCGAATCTCTTCGACTAGACAGATACCAAGAAGACTACCGCTAGCAATGGACATCGACGACATATTACGAGAGGTCGATCCTACATTCGATTCCATCCCCGAAGACACACGCGACTTACAAGCGTTAACACGCGCCTGGGTCGCAGAGAGGTCCTCGCCCGAGCTACTCGAGTATGCAACGCCGTCGCCGGATCCCTCATGATTCGACACTGACAGCCCTTTCCGTCTTATAGTTGGCCGATCGACGGCTTGTTCGAGCGCATAAACGAGCGCATCAAGCAGCAGATCGAGAAAATCGAGGAAATGACGGGCGATATGGATCCCAAGACCAACTTTGCTTTGATCGTTATACAGACCGAGCTTGAGAGGTATAAGTACTTGGTGCGGAGTTACTTGAGAGCTCGTATAGCTAAGGTAAGTCATATGCCGTATGGTCACTTGGTCTCGTATATATATGCGCGTATGTATGGATTGCGGGTGTTAATCATGTATGTATGTCTATCTTCCAGATCGACAAGCATACCCTGCACTACCTTTCCAACCCCGTCATCCGGGCTCGTCTTTCACCGCCTGAGCTCGCATATGCGACTCGGCACCAGGCTCTTCTCCACAATCACTACCTCTCCTCGTTCTTATCGTCGTTCCCGGCGCCGCTGCAGAATCTCAACGATACGGCTGGGAATATTAGTATGATAGACACGCCGGACCTGGATACGGCTGTGTTTATCCGCTTACTAGGAGATACGCGTGTCGAAGGGCGGGGCACAGACGAGGATGGCGCGATGGATGGTAAGAATGGTGACATTGTTATTCTGAGGTGGTCGGACGCAAGGAAGTTGGTTGATTCGGGCGTGGCTGAGATAGTATGAAGCCGGCCTATCTTGCCAATTTTCTCCGTCACGACTTCGCCATAAATGATCCAACAGTCGCCTTCGAAGCTTCTCGTGATATTGTCCCTGATGTTACGGTCATAGCGGCCATGACAACAGTGGACGATCCACTTAGTATCGGCTTCATCAGGAGTCTGGTGTATAGTCTACGAGACGAAAGGATGGGTGGCCTTAACCAGGAGTCATCTTGCCGCTCCATAAAGAGTGTTAATCCCAGCGAGATATCGCGGTGTTTAGGGAACATCGCTGCGTTGAAGGATGATCAGGAGTGACCTCGGTGATCTATTTCTTAGGAACCTAGGCTACGGAACTTGACTGCCGATAAACTCGCTTTGTTGTGGTCTATTTAGATACCCAAGGTGCTAGTATGCCCAGCTATGCTAGTTACCGATATCACCTTTGAGTTAACCTCTTAAGAAGTTGCTAGCTAGGAAACCAATATATAATCTGAAAGAGGACTTTTATATGAAGTCATCGTATCTATAACTAAGGGGTATCACCTCTCGAATTGGATATCAGCTTACAATAGCAAAAACAACGGTAGTCTATGGTCGAAAATGGCTACTCTACCCTGGTTATCTCTTTAAAGTGAGGCATTTATACGAATCCTCCAAGAGATATTCGTTAAAGTAGTTGTATATTGTATATTTTATAGCGAGTTTATACAGATTTATGCGCGGTTTAAATTTAAAAAACTTAACGAATCTCATTATTATGTAACGTAATGGTAAATTAAATGAATTACATAACATAAAAATTTAATTGATTTTTTTATTTTATTTTAATAAAAAGATTTATAAAAAAAAATCATAAATAATATATATTAAAAAATAAAAAGATTAATATATATACGAGTAATTATATAATAAAGTTTATATAAATTAAATGTTAAAATGTTTATACACATGGTATTTATTATATAATAATAAATACGGTTAATTAAATAAAATATTATATTAAAATGAAAAAAATTTTACAAATTTAATTTAAAAAAGTAAATAAACACAATTAACTCGATTTATTAAAATATTTCGTTTTTTTATATAAAAAAAGTAAATTATTTTTTATAAATATATATATTATTTTTATAAATACATATATTATAACATTATATAAAATAATATTTTAAAAAAATATGTTTATTTTTAACTTTTTAATTTTTAAAACTTTAACGGGTTATTTTTATTGTTAAAAATTTAAAATCAATTAATTAAATCAAAAAATTTAATTGTTAATTTAATTTAATTATTAATTTAATTTAATTTAATTTAATTTAATTTAATTTAATTTAATTTAATTTAATTTAATTTAATTTAATTTAATTTAATTTAATTTAATTTAAT